ATATTTATCTAAGACCTACCTTTCGACGGATTTACTTGTCATTCGATAAATCAAATCCGGCGATATGCCACAATTTAATAATCTTCTTGTAACCTCATCGGCAGCAGCATTGGAAGGAGTACAGATTAAAATATTGTTGCCTCTCTCGATTAATTGACAAACAGCTTCAACAATCGTGGCAGTTTTTCCAGTTCCCGGAGGGCCGAAGACTAAATATGGCGATGGATATGATGTGCCACCGACAATTTGTTCTACCGCTTGCACTTGCTCGGGATTTTTTGCCACATTTTTATTAATGAATGACGTAATTACTCTGAAAAATATTTATATTATTAATCCACTGACTTAACCCCAACTCTAGAGCTCTTAAATGTATTTTTTTATAGTTTCCACTAGACGTCCAACTGCTGCTGGATTTTTGGACCATCGAAGATTACTTGGGATAAATTTTCTAATCGAACCACTATACAGAGTTATCAAAGGAACCACCGGAACCACAACGGGCAGAAGTTGATGTCAGTTTTGTACCAAATGTGAGACAAAACTAAACGTCAATATCAACACTTCTGAAAGACGAAGAGGGGTTTTTTTTTAAATCTGAGCTAATGCCTTAATGAAATTGATCTAATCAGATCATTGGGCAAAAATAAAACCGTGAATTGTTAGTTTTCAATTCATTTATTAGTGGGTTATTTGATTCTTTTTCTATATCAGATTCAAGTATCAATAAAGAGATATCCCCCAAAGCATCGAATATTTCCTAAAAATTTAATAAATATTTTACTTTCAATCTTTGGAATATTTAAATACAAATTTTAGTGAAAATTGTGTAAAGAATTAAATGTCTTGATTAAATTCCATTTTCGCCTAAATCTATTTAAATGCTCAGGAATTTAAAACATATTGCAAGTAAATATTTAATAAATTTTCAGAAATTTTTCTGTACTTAGAGGATACATCTTAAAAAAAACAAAAGATCTATGGAATGACTTTATATTTTTACGTACGTTTTTGGAATATACGACATTCTCCTCGTATATGTAGAGTTGTAATGATTCAAAATTTTCAGCGATTAAATCGATTGCATATTGACAGACTCTGATAGGCCAATTGGAAAATTCAAGTTCAATGTAATACGCATCACTTTTTTCATGTTGTCTTCTGAATCTGTTAGAATATTTTAATAAAATTATAGCGTTTTGGATAAAGAATTATATTTTTAATTTCTCTTCGTATTTATTTTAAAATGGAATACTTTCTACAGATGATGATAAAATTTATCAAAAGCAGATGAGATGTTAAAGAAATTTAGAACTTACTTTTCGTAATTTTCAGCTCTTACAATAATATATCCTGATTCTGATGACACTTCAGTTACAATGAACCTATATGCTTTTCCACATCTATCTCAATTGACTCAATCTTATCATTCTTGGATTTTCGTTTAGGAAACATTTTCACATTTTGTACGTCTATAACAGAATCTTCTTTCAAAAAGTAAAGTTCTTTCTCAATATTTTGCAGATTTATTTTGAAATGCAATTCTTCCTTTGTATAATACAATTTTACTCTCTCCTTTTTTTTTACATCGTCTATAGAATTATTATTAAAGCACTCTTCCAAATATAAAAGATTGCTCAAAGTAGAGAAGTAATTATCATCATCAAAACCTTTTAAATTTTCTATTATTTTTAAAAACATTGTCCATTCATTAAAAGGATTAATCATATTATTTCCTATTAAAATATTCTTTAAAATCTCCAGTAGTCCCTGAGGAACAGCATATCGTGGTATAGGATCGAGTTCATCTCTTTAAAATGAAATATTGCAGAATAATTAAAAATAATTTATAATTTAATAACATTGCTAATTAATTCAATATTTGTTATTATAAGAAATACAAATTTTTTAAATAACTATTTCCTTTGTTTTCTTGCTTGTTTAATAATGTTTGTTAAATATATAATTACATTAATTATTAATATATATAATTTATAATTATTTTTATAATTATTTATTATTAATATATAATTACATTAATCTGTTAAATTAATTAATAAAAACAGAAGAATTATTACTTGCGATATTAATATTAAAAAAATGTTCAATTACCTACCTTTCCCTATAAGATCCCATTTTGTAAAAATTGAAAATGACGACTCAGTTCTCTTTTAAATAAAATAAATTAAAAATAAGTCTCCTGCTAAAATTATAAAAGTTTTAAAAGTAAATGTTATTAAAATATACATGTATATATATATAGTTTATAATTTGTATATATATATATATATATATATATATATATATATATATTGATTAGTAATTATAATTTCTAATGAATATAAATAATTAAAAAAAAAATTTAATTTAATCTATTTAATTAAAATGATAATTATACAATGAAATAAATAAAAATATATATATATACCTGTATATATTTAGTTTGAATATATTGTTTATATATAAATATTTTAAAAATTTCACTAGATTTAAAAAAAAATATTATTGCACTATTTATTGTGTAAGTTGATATAGTTTTATCGTATGAATCACTCTACTTATTGTTTTTAAAAATATATATCACGTTAACATGATATACAAATATTCAATTATTTTACTAATAATCAATTTAAAAAAATATAAATTATTTTGAAACTTCTGTTCCCAGGTGCGAATTTTGGTCGGCCGCCAGAGTTGGAAGGTCGGGCGCAGGTCGGCCCATCTATGGCTGCCAATAGGTCGGCAGCCAAAGTCGGGCCGACTTTGGTTACTGTTTCCACCCAAGTTTGGGCCGACTATGGGTGCCAAAGTTTAGAGAACCTAATTTTAGTTGGTCGGGCCGACTCTGGCCTGAGTCGGGCCGATGGTCGGTAAAACTATGGCAGCCAGAGTTTAGAGAACCTAATTTTAGTTGGTCGGGCCGACTCTGGCCTGAGTCGGGCCGATGGTGGGTTAAACTATGGCAGCCAGAGTTTAAAAAGGTTAATTTCTGTTGGTCGGGCCGACTCTGGCCTGAGTCGGGCCGACGGTCGGTAAAACTATGGCAGCCAGAGTGCAAAAAACCTAATTTCACTTGGTCGGGCCGACTTTGGCCAGAGTCGGGCCGATGGTCAGTTTGAAGTTGCAGCTTATAAAATCATTTTTGTTCTTAGGCTTTCATGTAAGCGTAGCGTAATGGTTAGCGTGTTAGACTTCGGTGCGTTAGGTTGCGAGTTCGATTCCTGCGAGCGTTAGAAATTTTAATTTGTATTTATGTGTAAGATTGCGTTTAGTGTTAAGATGTATACAATAAACAAATAAATAATGAATAATAATAATTAATAATAATAATAAATAATTAATAATTTTTTGCAATCGGTCGGCCGACTTTTGGCTGCCAAGGTCGGCACGACCAAGGTTGCCAAAGTGAATCCGACCTTCTTTCTCATGGTCGGCAAAGCTTTGGCACCCCTGGTCGGCCCGACTTTGGCAACCATAGTCGGCACGACCATGTCAGCCACTGGACGGCGGGTGTTACAATTCGCTAGTTCGGCCGACCTTTGGTTGCCAAGGTCGGCACGACTATCCACTTGGTCGGCGCGACCATGGCCCGACCAACTTTTCGCACCTGGGTTGTAATATTAATCAGGTATTAATTTATAATAAATAATTTACTTTAAATTGATTGATTATCTGTCGATAATTTTACGTTCGGATTTATTTTGATGCGATAATTTATTTTTACGAGACCTTTTACCGAAAATAGAATTTTTCTGAAAAAATTGAATCTCCGAACTCTCATGGTGGGAGTCGAACACCACATCTACTCATTTCCGGTGAGGTGCTCTAACCAATTGAGCTACGCAGGAGACAGAAATTCAATTTAATCAGAAACCTCTTGAAAGAAAGCGACATTGCATCACCATCTGTTGTTATTTTTGGTCAGTAATTTTAATTGATTGATTATCTGTCGATAATTTTACGTTCGGATTTATTTTGATGATAATTTATTTTTACGAGACCTTTTACCGAAAATAGAATTTTTCTGAAAAAATTGAATCTCCGAATATTATTAAAATATTATTATTATTATTATTATTATTATTATATTATTTATATTATTATTAAAATATTATTCTTACTAAATTATTGTGAACATAATATATTATACGAAACTTTATTTATAAATAATCGAATTTGAAAGTACTCACTCGATTTCAGTATTATGTACTTTGAAAATTCAAATTTCATTTGAAGTATTAAATAAATATTTGTTAGATCGACATATGTAAAACATTAACTTTTAAAATTTCAAATAACACACGCACAATACAACAATTTTTATTACAGAACAATAGAGAAAGAAAGTCTTATCTCAATATATAGACATATATAACGAGTGAACTCGGGGAATAAAATGATAAATTTTGCTCTTGCGCATATTTATTTTTAAATTATAAAAATTTTGAGAAATCATGGTGAATAAAAACTATAATCTAGGGATTTTTGTTGAAACGAACAAAAAAAATTTTTTTAAAAATGTTTTTATGCGATTTCGCAAATTTAACTATGAAGGTAAATATTTTCGAAATAATTTACTTCAAATGAAATATTAATTTCATATATGTAAATTAATTTATGTATTTGCGCAGTAAAAGAACCTGTTACATTAACTAAAATATTTTATAATGTCAAAAGGTCAAAAACGTCGAAATATTATAGAAACAAAGTGGTGACACTGTAAATTTAGTAACTGTTTACCTGTTTACTTTTTAGCAGGAAGGAAGCTTTTTAGCAGTTTAGTAATTGTTAGTAATTTCCTGTAAGTAATGGCTAACGCACAATAAATTCGCGATGGGATAGAAAAGGACACAAGTATAATATTTGCCGCCTGGTACACGATTTCCATGGGCTTGATTTAATATTTCTTGAAATATTTTTTAAAATTCTGTTAATGTTTCAAAATTAAGGAAAAGAGAAATTAAGGCAAAAAAGGTAAAAAAAAATACAGGATTTAAAAATTTCCATTGTATGAAAATATTTCTTTTATTTTCACTGTTACAAAATTATTTTTCTCTTTTTCTTAAATTTATCTTTCTAGACTTCGAAAAAATCTAAGAAAAGTCATAAATAATTTATTGCTACTAGAACCTGAAGGTGGCTCATTTGGTTCCTCCGGTTGTGCTGCTTCGGCGACTGTTGATATTGCAGCTACTGGTTCTGCGTGATTATCAAGCGATAAATTCCCCTCACTCATTGATAATTCAAAACTCTTAATTCTGAAAAAAAAAATTTCAAAAAATATATATAAATTAATTTATATTTAATAAATAATTAATATACAAATAATAAAATCTGCGCACTCATTTCCAGTAGAATTCGCTGGATAATTTATTTCCTTGCTTAGATTTTCTTTGTATAAATTGTCAGTTTTTTTCTTGTTCTCAACTGTTCTTCCCCTTCTATTTCTATTTCTAATGTTTTGATTATTCGCACTTTTATCCTGATTCTGATCTCTCTTTCTTCCTCTATCTCTTTTCGATAATTGAGGATTTTTTCCATTATTAGATTCAATAACTTTCTTCGTGACGACTTTATCTGTATAATAGGCATTATTGTCCTTACAATAGGTGATAAAATTTCTCCAACAATCGGCGATTTGTAACGCCCTTGGATGTCCAATAACGATTAGCAAACACTTTGCTCGAGTAATTGTTACATTAAATCTCTGTTAATGGAATAAAAAATTTTAAAATATTATTTTTACCCTTACTTTAGAATTTAAAAAAAAATGTTTATTGTTAAATTATATTCTTAAAATAATAATAAATAATAAATTATACCTTATCATCATTTAAAAATCCAACGTGAAGTTTCTTTCCGTTTTTGAAGATCGAAGATCTAACTAAAGAGACAATGATAATATCTCTCTCCTGACCCTGAAAACTTTCGACAGTTCCAACAGATATTTTGGACAATTCTTTATTTTCAAGTTTCTCCATAATTATACTCTTTTGATATCGAAATGGCGTGACAATACCTATATTCTCTTCGGGGATTTTCACACCTTCCAAACCTTCATCAAGTAATTTTTCAACATAGTTCATAACAATTTCTGCCTCAACTTTGTTTGCAACGCTAAATATAATTAAAAGTGTACAATATTAGTTTTTTATACTTTTTTTTTTGTTTTTTGCTTATCCTGATGGTGAAAGCAAAAAATGATTATGTAATAAATTGTAATGATGACAAATTTAGTTATAATAAATTAAATTATTTTTTAAATATAAAAAAATTTTTGTAGAGACCTATAAGACTCATTATTTTCTTCATGTCCATACACAGCGTGAAATATAATCGGAAATCCTTTCTTCGGTAGATGATTCCAATTTTCGGCAATTTTCACTTCATTACCGGCACATGCAACGAGTTCGCTGTCGTAATACATTTGATTTGGTAATCGAAGTATTGTTTCGTGACTCCGATAGTTCTGGACGAGTTTCGTTAAAAAGTTCGGATCGTATTTATTATCATAATCCTTCTTGTAAAGATAACTCTTCTTCATTAAATGTTCCAACATTGAAATTCCTAAAAAGAAGATTAAATATGTAGTTAAATTTTCGGTATAATAATTAGAATGACTTCGGAATGACGAAGTGGATGATAAAAAAATAATTTTAAGAAAAAGATTTTTTAATTGTAAGGACCTCGAAATTTCTATTTTACAAACCTAGTAAATGACTTCCATATTTGGTCATTACAACTGGTCCCAATTGCTTCGGATCTCCAGACATTATAATTTTACATCGTGTATGTCTCATTGAGATTGCAAACGGAATAAAAGTTTCCGGCTGAGTTGCTTGCCCAGCTTCATCGATAAAAATATAATTGAAAAAATGAGTGAAATATGTTAATCTCAAAAATCTGAAATATTCAATACTTTTTATACTATACATATCCTGATTTAAGTGCGTTAATGATCATAGAAGATTTTTAAGAAATTTCATTAGAAGGAAAAGTGCAAATAAATTATTAATTATTAATTATAAATATGTACCTTGCAGCTGAGATAAGTGTCGATATGATTACTTTTTTATTATGCCTCATATCATAACTATGTAGGTACTCAATTTCTCCATCTTTAAAATTTATGCAAACCTCAACATCCTCGGGTATATCTTCTCTAAATATAAATATTGTAAAATTATATCAAAATTAATCGTATAAATAAAATATAAATATAAAAATAGGTAGAAAATTCTTTCTTATCCTAATTTTATAGGTTATGTGAGACAACTTAATCATCCCTGCTGGAAGTAAAGAGATACAAAGAGATTAAAAAAAGGGGATAAAAAAAGATTAGAAAATATAATAGTTTGGAGATGCAAAATGGATACTTAAAAGAGATACAATTTTTTTATCTCTTTCTATAACTTTATATTTATATATCTTTTTATCCCTTCTAATCTCTTTATATACAGTTTTAGATATAGAAATATATAGAAAAAAATATATAGAAAGAGATAAAAAATTGGGGATGCAAAGTGGTGAATTAAAGAAGATAGAACTTTTTAATCTCTTTCTATTCATACATTTCTGTCTTCCTCTATCCATTTTCACATCCTTTCTAATCCAAAGGAAAGTAAAAAAGGAGATACCCCTTATAGAAGAAATCGATTAATTTCAATTAAAAACTTTCTCTATTGTTGTTAATTGAGTTTCTTAATCGTGTTGTTTTAATTCATTACGATTAACTATAAAAAATTTGCAAGTAAATCTTTAATACATTTTTAGAAAAGTTTCGATGCTTTGTGAGTTTAAAACTAATTTTGGTTGTCTATTACTGATAAACATTTATTGGTTAAATATATTTACAATAAACTATAAAAATATGGAAGTTATAAACTCAAACAAAAACGTACAATCGCACAGTGCATAACACACGCTTTCTGATCTACGGATCTACTGACCCGACGCCATGACACATAACAGCTGGGAAGATCGACGCATGCGCGTATAAGTTTATGAGTATGTATATAGAAAGGGATATACTATAGTAGATTAGAAGAGATAATCTTATTATATCTCCTCAAATCCCCATATTCTTAACTATCCCTATCTCTTCTAAATGAAGTAAGGAGATAGAATATGGGATTGAAAGAAGATTAAAAGAATAACATTCGGAAAAGAAGAATGATAAAAAGGAATAAAAAAGGTTTATAGTTTTGCAGTCTCGCATTTCTATCTTTTTCTATCTCAATAATGGGAATAATGGTAATAAATAAGTGTTAATAAGATCCTACATAAAAAGCGATGGAAAGGTATAAATAGGATATCAATAGTTATTAAGAAAAGGTTATAAATGTGGAGAAAGAAGAGTATCGAGAACTTCTGTCATAAAAAGAGATAGAAGTTTATAGACAGGTTATTAAAAGGTATTGAGAATAGGTTATTAATAGGTATAAAGAATAGTGTCTATAAGGTCTAACATTGAAAGAGATACAAGGAAATAGACAGGATTTTAAAAGTAATAGAGAAAAGGTGATTGAAAGGGATAACAAAAAGTTGTAATAAGATTGTATATAAAAAGAGATAGAAGGGTTTAAAATGGCTATTAAAAGTTATTCAAAAAAGGTGATTAAAAGAAATAGCGAACAAGTTGATAAAGGTAGGAATAGAAAGGCATAAAGAAGTATAGGTAGGAGATTAAAAGTTATACATTATTCATATCTCTTTCTATATTAGCAATAGAAAGGGATTAAAAGAGAAAAGGTTTCTATCTATTTACTTCCAGCAGGGATGTTATCATCGTCCTACAGAAATGTCACTGAATCACCGGATTTTGGAAACGGGACATGTGGGGAATAACAAGATAACTAAAATATTTAACTCATTGATCTTTGTAGTTATGAAGGAAGATGTAAAAGACCAAAGTGAAAAATAGTGATTCACAAAAGTGGAAAAATTAGTGAAGCGAAATATTCAAAGTATAGTGATGAAAATTATGGTTATGAAGAAAACTAAGGAAAAATATAAAATATTTCTCACCTTTCGACGGATTTACTCGTCATTCGATAAATCAAATCAGGCGATATGTCACAATTTAATAATCTTCTTGTAACCTCATCGGCAGCAGCATTGGAAGGAGTACAGATTAAAATATTGTTGCCTCTCTCGATTAATTGACAAACAGCTTCAACAATCGTGGCAGTTTTTCCAGTTCCCGGAGGGCCGAAGACTAAATATGGCGATGGATATGACGTGTCACCGACAATTTGTTCTACCGCTTGCACTTGCTCGGGATTTTTTGCCACATTTTTATTAATGAATGACGTAATCATTCTGAAAAATATTTTTACTATTAATCCACTGCCTACACTGACTTATCTCCACTCTAGTGCTCTTAAATGTAATTTTTATAGTTCAAGTGTTGCTGGATTTTTGGACAATCAAAGATGCGTTTTCTGATCGAACCACTACAGAGTTATCAAAGGAACCACCGGGACCACAACGGACAGAAATTGATGTCAGTTTTGTTACAAAATGAGACAAAACTAAACGTCAATATCAACACTTCTGAAAGACGAAGAGGGGTTTTTTTTTAAATCTGAGCTAATGCCTTAATGAAATTGATCAAGTTAGATCATTGGGCAAAAATAAAACCGTGAATTGTTAGTTTTCAATTCCTTTAGTGGGTCTTACGTACGTTTTTGGAGTAAAGGCCATTCTCCTTGTATAGAGTTGTAATGAATCAAGATTTCCAGCTATCAAATCGATTGCATATTGACAGACTCTGATAGGCCAATTGGAATATTCAAATTCAATGTAATAAGCATCACTTTTTTCATGTTGTCTTCTGAATCTGTTAAAATATAATTTAATAAAATTGTAGCGTTGGATAAATTAAAAATAATAAATTTTCAATTTCTCTTCGTTCTTATTTTAAAATATCATTCTCTTTAAAGAGGATGATAAATATATATCAAAACCAGATAAGAGTTTAGAGAAATTTAGAACTTACTTATCGTAATTTTCAGCTTTCACAATAATAAATCCTTCTTGTGATGATACTTCAGTTACAATGAAACTATGTTTTTCCACATCTACCTCAATCTTATTATTCTTGGCTTTTCCTTTAGGAAACATTTTTACATTTTGTACTTCTACAAAAGAATCAACTTTTAAAAAGCAAAGTTCTTTTTCAATATTTTTCAGATTTATTTTAAAATACGATTCTTTGAATGTATAATACAATTTTACTTTCTCTTTCTTTTTTACATCGTCTATAGAATTATTATCAAAACACTCTTCTAAATATAAAAGATTGCTCAAAGTAGAAAAGTAATTATCATCATCAAAGTCTTTTAAATTTTTTATCACTTCTAAAAACGTTGCCCATTCATTAGCAGAATCAATCATATTATTTCCTTTTAAAATATTTTTTAAAATCTCCAGTAGTCCCTCAGGAACAGCATATCGTGGTATAGGATCGAGTTCATCTCTTTAAAATGAAAATATTGCAGAATAATTAAAAATAATTTATAATTTAATTAGTAACATTGTTAACAAATTAAATATTTGTTATATTAAGAAATAGAAATTTTTCTAAATAACTATTTATTTTTTGGTTTTGTTGCTTAATGTTTGTTAAATTTTTCATTGATTTACATTAATACTGATTAATTAATAAAAACAGAGGAATTATTACTTGCGATATTTTTATGAAAAAAAATTTTCAATTCCTTACCTATCGCCATAAGATCCCATTTTCTAAAAATTGAAAGTGACGACCAGTTCTCTTTTAATTCAAATAAATTAAAAATATGTCTCCTGCTGAAACTAAAACTTTTAAAAGTAAAAAATTTTAAAAATTTAATAATATTTAAAGGTAAAAATAATATACAATAAATAAAATAAAAATAAATACTTTGTAAAAATATAAACTATAAAATAAGAGCAGGTGGAAAGTATAACCACACAAAATATTCTGAGACTTTATTAGCATGGTGGTCAGAATTTTATATGTACGGTTTTCGATGGCTCATAATATATATAATAGGTATACTTCATGGAAGAATTTATATTTAAAAACTTTGTGGGAGAGAAAGATTCTGATTTTATATATATACATATTACATAATATTTTACATTTAAAAAATTTCAATATAGCTTTTTAAAAAATATTATTTCACTATTATTGTGTAAGTTGATAGTTTTGTAAAGATCTGCTTAATCACATACAATAGTTCTTTATCGTATGAATCACCTCTACGTCTTGTTTTTAAAAATACATATTGGTATATAATCACGTTCATTCATGATATACATATATCAAATTTTTTTCTTACTAATAATCAATTGAAAAGAATAGAAATTATTCTGAAAATTCTGTTATTATACCTATTAACTATATTAATTTATAATAAATAATTTAGTTTATAAAAATATAAAATTAAATAAAATTTATGAAAGATTTAATAATTAACCAATTTAACTGAGTTTTTTTTAATAATATTCAATTATGAATGAACAAATAATACTTTTGATAATCTTTAACAAATATTTATTAATGTTATTATGGGATTGAAATTTATTAGTTAATTTTTTAAATTATTATCAAAAATAACATGATATTAATTAATAAAATAACATATTTAAAAAAATGTTTTAAAAATGATTAAACTTTTAAAATTGTTAAAAAAATTAATTAAATATTAAATTAATTAACTAATTACAATTTTTATTATTATTATTAATTATTTATAATTATAAGCATAAGAATATATGTACTAATTAAACTGAAAAAATAATAGAAATTTAATAATTTTAATAAATAGTGAAAATTAACGATCACTTCGAGTCAAGGAATAATTAATAATTTTAATAATTTTAGTTGAATTTTTTAGTTATTAATTATTTATTAAGATCTTTTGGAATATAAATAAGTAAAATTAAAAATAAATATTATAATTAAAAAAATAATAAATTTTTGTTATTTTTAATAAATATTATTTAAAAATAATAACGAAAACAAAATCAATCTAATTATTATTCGTAATAAATTATTTACAGTAATAATATTATGCAACTTTGTTTGTAAATAATCGAATTTTGAATGTATACTCACTCGATTTCAGTATTATTTTTAAAATTCAAATTTTATTTGAAGTATTAAATAAATATTTATTAGATCGACATATGTAAAACAGTATAAACTCTTAAAATTTTAAATAACACACGCACAACACAGAAATCTTCGTTACAGAACAAAAGAGAAATTATCTCGCAATAAATATAAATACACAACGAGTGAACTCGGGGAATAAACTGATGAATTTTGCTCTTCTCTTGCGCATTTATTTTTAAATTATAAAAATTTTGAGAAATTATAGTGAATAAAAACTATAATCTAGGGATTTTTGTTCAAAAGAACAAAAATATTTTTTTTTATGTTTTTATGCGATTTGGCAAATTTAATTATGGAGGTAAATATTTTCGAAATAATTAACTTGAAATGAAATATTAATTTCATATGTAAATTAATTTATATATTTGCGCAGTAAAAGAATCTGTTACATTATCGAAAATATTTTATAATGTCAAAAACGTCGAAATAAACAAAGTGGTAACACTGTAAATTTAGTAACTGTTTTTAGCAGTTTAGTAATTTCCTATAAGTAAAGGCTAACGCACAATAAATTCGCGATGAGATAGAAAAGGACAGAAGTATAATATTTGCCAGTGATTTTTGTATAGTGCCGACGCCGAGTGCGTGGTATAGTGTGTGACTGTGTGTGTTTTCAATGTTTTGACATTTTTCTTTGTTTGCAGGGTTTGCAGTCTCAAGTGATGTGATTTAATATAGTTTAATTTAACTTTTTTGAAATAAATGCAAATATGGTATTAGTTTGTTTATTTTGTGGGAAAAAGGAAGCGAAAGGTGTTTCTTTTCACAAGTAAGTACATATTTAAATAGTATATTTTTTATTTTTAACTGACATTCATTAATTTCGTTTTAAACGTTTTAAACATATGCAATGAATAGCAAAATTTCTGGAGAATTTGAAGCTTATGATACAAATTTTATAAATATAACATAAAATATCAAATATTGAAAAATGTCCATTTTACCAGTGAAAGAATGTTGACCAGTAAAAGAACAGTTGTATTTTCCAGTGAAAGAACAAATCAAATTTATATTAATACAGTGTCTAAAAATAACAAAAATTATATGAAAAACGTTAAAAATATTCTGAAACAATTTTGCAACTTACTATTATTCATATTTTTCTGATTACAAAGCCAGAAATATTATTTAATTGCACCTGAAACTTGTAACCTTTTTTCTGTTTATGCTTTGTTCATTTGTCATGTTCATAACCTACCAAAATATTAAAAAATTATTTTCCGAAATAACTTGCATATTGAATCTATTTTTTTATCATAAACTATATTCTGAAAAAATAAGGAACTGAAATAGTTATTTTCGTATCAAGGGCGCAAAATAGGTGATTTCGCCAGAGTCGTAATCACCTTTGCGCCCATGATGCTAACATAATTTTTTGTCCTAACTGCATGGAAAGTATGTCATTGAGGGCACGAACGATTAAACGCTCATATTAGTTAAAAATTAAATTCTATATAAATGTTAACTCTTTGAAGTCTATAATGATACAAGTTTTAATATAGAAATAAGAAAACAATTTATTCTGAAAATATAGTAATTTCCAATTTTTATAACCGAAATGTGAACAAAACCAAATGTGTCATATTTTTTTTAGAGAAAATCGAAAAAAAATTGCACATTTTTCTAGACAAAATAAAAAAAGTTGAAAATGTTTGCATTTTTATAGTCAACATAAAAAGAAACTCGAAAATATCACATTTTTATGAAGAAAATCGAATAATTAACATGCGGGCGCAAAATACTCTTCCGCCTGCTCGAAGGTAGGGGAAGCGGGCGCAAAATATTTTGCGCCCGCTCGGAGGTAGAGGAAGCGGGCGCAAAATATTTTGCGCCCGCTTCCCCTACCCCTGGGTGGTAATGAGTCACTTTGCGCCCGCTCTAAGTGCCCGAAATGACATACTTTCCGTGCAGGTAGGACAAAAAATATTTTTTTTTATAGTGCTGAAAGTACTGAAAAAAAATAAGATAAAATAATTTTTTGCAGAGTAAAAACTTTGACTTTTTAGGTTCCCAAGACGAACGGAATTATGTCAAATGTGGATTAAAAATATGGGATTTGATGAGAATTTTGAAATAACAGCACACAATAGATTATGTTCCGATCACTTTAATGAAACCTGTTTCACAAAAGAGACTAATGAAAGAGAGAGAATACACTCCGAAAGCATACCAACAAAATTTGGAAGATATTACTTACAATGCATTTGTTGTAGTAATGTTAAAAGGATAGGATGCAATATTATTTTTCGCAAGTAAGTAAATAACTAATATAAATATATATAATTTTTTTAGTAGTTAAAAGTTAAAACTTTCTAATTAATCATGTGTATGCAATACATTATTTAAGTTTTCTAAGTTCACATGCAGTTGTGACTTAACATTTATAACTATTCGCAGATTCCCTTTTAAAAATAGAAATCTTTTAAAAATATGGATCGAAAAAATAGGATTAGAAAACTTTTGTCCAAATGAAAGAAGTCTTATTTGTGATGAACATTTTACAGAACATTGTTTTTACAAACGCAAAGAAGGTGGCCTCATATTAAAATCGAATGCTTTTCCAACTTTATTTTCATCAAATATGCTAAATGGTAGGAATAATAATTTCATTTGAAATCCACATTTGGATATCTTTAAAAATAAGTTCAATGCATGTAATTTGGTGTTGGAATATTTTATATTTATTATTTTCAGATTCTTCCTGCTCGAATGAAGCTATTCAACTAAACACTGAAAATACTTCAATGGAAGTAGATTCGACGAATGAGAATAAAAAGACAGAAGAATTAACCAATGAATCTTCTTCTTCATTTGAGAACAGGCAGAATCCTAAACTTTTGAAATCAAGTAAACCTGAAATAATAGTATAAGTTTAAAATAATTTATAAGTTAACTATTAGACTTGATTTTTAATTAGAATTTTTTAAATATACAATAATTACTTTTTAAAGATTATCAATATTAAAAATAATAATTCTTTTGAATTACTTTTTACAGATACAGATTCACCGCTTGAATCGACATCAATTTTGGAAAATGAACAGATTGTTGCAGGACCAACAACTCCAGAAAAAAATAGTTGCCTCAGTCATGACCATCATTATCACTCCAGTCCAAAAGGTTTAATGGAAAAATATACTGGAATGCGAGAAAAGCTACAGAAAAGTATGAAAACTACATATCAACAGAAACAAGTTATTAAACGTCTGCAGAAGAAAGTTTCTACTCTCAGTTCCATAGTAAGCGAATTGCGTTTTTTTAAAATTATTGTTAACAATGAAGTATCTCTAAACAAACATTTTTTTTACTTTACAGCTACTTCAGGTTACTCCAAATATAGAAGCATTTCTTGAAGATGAAGTTTGAAAACAATTTACAGAAAATTTGTATATAAATTCTATATGTATATTAATAAATAATATAATATTTTAATGTTATTAAAAGTCAATTTTCATATTGAACTATTTTTTCTTACTATTTACTTATTTATTTAAATCTCAGCCTTCAATCACAAGGATCATTAATGGTCAATACAAACAAGAAAATAAACTATAATAATTATAAAATATTATCATAATATTGAAACAAAAGAAGAAATATTGAAAATATGTAGTTTGAAAAATACAGTAATATTATTTTTTAATATTATTATTATTATATAATAAATATAAATATGTTAAATATAAATAAAATAAAATAAAAATAATAAAAAATTTTTATTTTTTTTTAAATAAATAAATAAAATAAAAATAATAATAAATAATAATAATAAATAAAAAAATAAAAAATTCTAAGCAAAGATTATTTATTTTCATAAATAATAAAAATTTCACTGGAATTCAATTATTTGCAAATTTTTTTTATAAATTCCTTCGCAATAATTTCATTATTTTCATAAACGCAATAACATTTTTCAAAGGAATTCAATTAGTTTGATAAATATTAAAATTCTTTTTAGGAATTCAATTATTTTCATAAAGAATAAAAATCATCACAGAATTTGAATTATTTTTAATTCAATTTTAGTTGAATACGTCGATGTAATTATTTTTAAAAATTCTATAAATTCGTCGCAAGAATTCAATTATATATAAAAATTTTCTCAATAAAATTCGTTATAAAAATTCTATTTTAAGAAACGTTCAATTATTTATATTTTTGTATATTAAATAGTTTAAATCTCGTAGAATTTTCTAATAAAAATTGATTAAAAAATGAATTTCAGTTAAAAATGTAGAGGATTATAATTAAATATTAAATTGAATTTTGAAAAGATTTCAAATTAAAATCTTTGGAAATTTGAATTTTTATTCTTTTAAATAACAATTCTGTAGAAATAATTTTTTTTTGTGCAGTTTCATTGAATTTTGAAATTGTTTGAGATTTTTATTTTCTATAATATATTTAATTGAAGAATTTTCGAATAATTGAAATTTCGTAAAATTTTGCTCGCTGGTACTTAAGGGGATGTCAAAGTCGATGCGATTTTCCCATTGAAGCTCAATGCAAAAATCCAATCGACTTTGACATCCCCTAAAAAACTAAAACATTAATAAAAAATGAATTTTCAAAACTTTCATCAAAATGTCGCTAGTATCTTATTAAAATTTTGTTTATGTGTAGTAATAAGCACCTTATTGTTTAAAAACATTTTCATCGCTTTTGTCATAAATTTTTGTCAATATACAATTAGAAGAGATAGCAATAAATTTTTATGTAATTTATTACTGGTTGATTATAATATACAGACTTTAGTGCAACTTCTTTCACTGTATATATACTCGTTATCCCAGTATGTAGGCCTACAGTTTACTTCAAATATTAATTTCTATATCAACATCAATATAAACTATAAGGAAGTACATAATTTAAGAAAAAGAATGCATTTCTCTTTATTATTGATGTTTTTATTATTACTTTCAGTACATGATGAACTTGGGGTGTTTGGTTGTAAGTTTATAAACTTTTCTTTAATGTTAATAATAAGATTTTTGTTTTTTAACTCTTTATATGTATAATGTCGAAAGGACAAATATTAATATTTTTGTGAGTTGTAAAATAACAAATACTCTAACTTAATATAATAAGAGAGATTGTGCAATGTTATTAGAGTATAATGAAAATAAAATACATTACAGCTTATTGGCGATTCAAACAGCTAAACTAGCGCATCTGGTGGCCGAGTTTAAACTAATATATACACGACTCCCTGCATGGTGTTCAATGTAAATATCAACATTTTTAAAGTTTTTCAGTTTTATTTTCATTATATTAAATCAATTTTTTTTCTAAATTGTTAACCTTATTTAAATATTTATTAAATAAATTATAATAAATATGGATAAGAGCATCGTTACTCATGAACAGAAGAAAAGAAAAAACGGGATCGAAACAATTATTATGTTCCGCTCTAATTCTAATAATTAAATAATTCTAATATTAATAATATTATATTTCTAATAATCTAAAATTCTAATTTTATATTATTAATTTAATGTCTATAGAGATTAAATTAATAATATATAATTAGAAGTAATATAAAATTAGAATTTTTGTCAAACATATAAAAACATAACCAAAAAATGTTCTTTCTAGTTGATATGTAATCTTTAGATTTAAAATTTGTACTGCAAACTTTCATTTTGTCGGTTAATTTTTTTCCTGTTTTAAATGCAATAGCCTACTGTTTACGTCTTACAACATTTTTTGGAAGCTGATAAAGATTTTCTGTTTTTTTTCAATTCAGAGCGAATAACATTTGTTTCGTTCCCATTTTTTCTTTTCTTTCTGTCCGCGAGTAACGATGCTCTTTCAAAATTATTATAATATATTTAATAAATATTTAAACAAGTAGAACAATTAAAAAAAAACTTGATTTAATAGTGAAAATAAAACTGAAAAACTATAAAAACGTTGATATTTACATTGAACACCATGCAGGGAGTCGTGTATATATTAGTTTAAACTCGGCCACCGGAGGCGCTAGTTTAGCTGTTTGAATCGCCAATTACGGGACTGCAGATTCAGCAAGCATGTATCGATGTTACACATGCATTAATGATACACATCTTAAGTTTGGAGACTGTAAGTTAAAAGAGGATGACTGCAAATATAATATACCAAACGAAAAGCCTACTGCTCATAAACATTGTCTAGCAGGGGGACCTTTTTATTGCTGCTATCATGTTATTTCAAGGTAATAACAAAATTAAGTTTTTTTTATGATTATTTCTATTTTCAAATATAAATGTATAGATAATCATTATAATATACATACATTAAAATGTATTGATTCCTTTTTGCGATCAGCAAAAAAAAATGTGCTTGTTCTCGTGAAGGAAGCAATAACATTATTTACTTCTTTATAATAAAATATTATTTATAAATCGATTCACTTTAGCATATTTCTATACATAGAGAAAATGTTCTTAAACCATTTCTAAAAATTTTATAATTTAAAGGCCTCATGAGATTCCTAAATCAAAGGTTCATAAGATTCCTAAAAAACCTTTTCCTGCTGACGTGTGCGCTGGCAAATCCTAAGTCTGGTTCCTGCATTGCCAATATAGTGGATATTGGCATAAAAGTTTTCTCGGAAAGATTATCCACAGTACCGTAGCTGAGTTAATATGTTTGGTCATTCAAACCTAATTCTGTATTCTTTTTGAAATATTGTATGTAACCAAAAATTGTAGTGCAAGTTACTGCAAACTATATGAAACATGAATTATATAATTTACAATTAAATCAAAAGAATTATGTTACTACCTTCTCTATAAATGTCATTCCAATTTTTTGAAATCCAAAAGTTGAAAAAATTATTGGCAATTCTATTATCCGTTGGCGTAAGTCATCCATCTAAAAACAAGTTGTAAATCCAGATGTTCATTACATGAATATTTTGCTTCTTCTTTACGACTAGCGAATAAATTTTTAGAGGAAGCATTAACGACAAGTACATTTATAATTTTTAAGTAATTTTCAATATAATCTAACATTTATAAAAATCAAGTTCATTCGTCTTAATGAAAAGAACAAAATTTTATTATACAGTAATATGATTCTAAATAAACAAAAAAAAATTAGTAAAGTGAATTTTTAAACTTTAATTGTAAGTAATTCTATAAATTCCAATATACTTTATATACATCAATTGATTCGTCTTGATGAATATTAAGATTTTTGAAAGAAAGAAGATTTTATTGTACAGAAACATAATTTTGCTGAAAGAACTAAATTTTTGAGAAAAATGCGAATTTTTCGGCTTCATAATTGTAATTATAATAACTCCTATATAAATTCTCATAAAATTTATACTTTATATACCTATTCAATAAATTATTCATTTTTGTATTTCAATAATTGAATTTATTTTTTGTAAATAAGATTTAAAAATTAATTTCAGTTAAAGTTTTACATTATCATTGAATATTAAAAGCTAATATAGCGAAAATTTTTAGAAATATTGGAATTTTGAAAAGATTTCAAATCTTTGAAAACTTTAACTTTTCGTACTTTTTGATTAACAATTCAGTAGAAATAATTTTTTTAAAAAAGTTTAATTGAATTTTTCTTTAATTCTTCAAGTTTCTATTTTCTAATATATATTTAATTGAAGAATGTCACAATAATCAAAATTACGTATAAATTTTAAACAAAAGGATTTGGAAATTCTCAAAGAACGTTTTCAAAAATTATAAAAAAAAATGAGTTCGAGAAGAATTTTAGTTAAAAATTCTAGAAATGAAGAATTGAATTGAAAAATTCAAGAAAATAAGGTGTTTATTTCGTAATTTACCAATTCTGACAGAGTTTCTTTCATTTCATTGCTCTGAAATAAAATTTTTTAAATTTATGAATAAACTTGTAAATTTTAATTTCTAGAAATTATATTAAAAATTTAACATTATCACATATTACCTGCTTCTCGATTTGACAACAAGGCGCGACAATGAGAAAAAATCTTAAAGCGCTTTTGATAACTTTTAGTAAACACGCATAAAGTACAAAATAATCGTCAGGATAATAAACCATTATTGAGAGGCTAACCCATGTCGCTAAATTATAAGCATTACAAATCATTTGCAAAAGTAAATGCATTTGATAAATTTGATTTAACTGCTTAGAGTGAATGTAAAGACTCAAATAAATGCATCTGAAAAAAAATATTTTTTTATTGTTTAAGATTTTAGGTTTTTTTATTTACTTCCGAGTCAGTAATATATTTAAATACATATTACTTACTTTATCTTTTGCAAACAACTCTTCTTTTCTTCTGTCAAATTTTCAGACTCCAAATAAATTGTTTCTATTGACGAATGGAATTCAGAAGCAGCAGATGCATTTGTGTTGAATGCAGAATTTTTCTTAAAGTTTTCTAGTAGCAAGTTGTTTAAGAATTTGATTTTAATAGCAATGAACCTGGTACATAAAATAAAATTAGTTTATTTGCTTATTTCTTAAATAACATCTTCCTAAAAGACTTGTAAATTATTTTCAATTGCCGTCTGATTTTAAAATATCACAAATATAATGTATACGTACTTGATACTTGAGTATATATTCAAATCTATGACTGTTGCAAAGTATATCACCGAAAATTGTATTCCAAAAAATTGTAATCTTTTAAACATAAAACTTTCTGTCATGAAGCCTAAAACTAAAAAGGCAAATATCCATCCTAGTAGACCTTTAAAAGTTCTGCTATAATTTTCCTTGAAGCCAAGATTTCTAGTCGCATCATCCAATTCCATCATACTTTTATAAAGACCATTCAACTTCTATTTAATTTGATTAATACAAATTACAATTTTTGTGGGAATTTTTCACATGCTTGAATTTCGTCTCAAAATTAAAAAATTAACTTTAAGGTACCTTAAAGTTAATCCAACCGTTTATGTGAGCAGCAAATATTATTATTGTGTCCGTGATAAATACTCCTTCGACAGCATACGCAAATGGGGTTTTCTGTACATATTCGTGAAAAATCTTACAAATCGTCCAACAAAGAATACCTGCAATAACAATAAAATGAACAATAAATTGAATGAAAAAAGAAGTGTGGAAAAGCTAGTCATTAATAAACGATTATTATTTAGCAGAGCCATTTACAGAACATACCAAAAAGTATTATCCCCGGAATGGAACGGAATTTATTATATTTCGTACCGCCTAAGGGATATCCACTGAAGCCAAATATTGACAGCCAGTTTATGAAAATCAGTGGATAAATACTTTCATGAACATTATTTGGAACCCACTTTACAATTTTCAATAATCTCTTCATTATAATAATTTTTTATGCTCTTCTTTGTTGTTCTACTATAATAGTGACAATGTAGTAAACTAAGTGAATAATGTATGTCAAGTTCTTTTTTTAAAATCAGCCAGATATCTGATATGTTTATTTATAGAAAAAATTAATACCACTTTTTTCTCTTAATATTAAGAACTCAACTTCTCTTAAAATCTACATAACTTTTTACCTAATTAAGCGATTTACTTTTAGAGCTGAAGATTTTTAATTTTCGATAAATATTTTAAACATACTTTGTTGTATGAAACAAATGTTTCTCTAAAAAAAAAAAAAATAAATAACATTTATTTTTATTTTATATCGTCTTTAAAAATTATTCCAATTTCTGAATAAAAGCTTCTTATATTAAATTTATAATCCTTTAAAATATAACAAGACTTTTGAAACGTAACTATTTAATGAAAATTTAATTCTTTCTAAAAAAAAAAATAGGTAAAAAGAAAATGTTTAAGACAAAATTTTAGTTCACAGATGCAATCAATTTTCAAACTAATATATGATTTTGATACTTTATTGACATTAGAATCATTTATGAAGAAATTGTTATTTGTTATCTAACTCAATATAATAATTGAATTATTATTTATCTTCATGAAAATAATGGAAATATTATTTATAATTGAGGTTTAAATTTTATGGTTTTTTTTATTCTGAAATTAGAAATTAGTGATATAATCCAAGGAGAAAAAATAGAAAAAAAATTGTAAATTATATCAAATATTGAGAAATTTGAAATAAAAAATAATGAAGTGCATAAATCATTAAAAAAGATAAGGGAAAATTGTACAGTGCGTATCGATCCTACTTCATATTAACAGATAAGAAATAGTTACAAGTTTTTCGAAATTTTATATAATTCTTTTCAAATTTTCAATGAAATGTTAAATGTACATTTTTTAGGAATTCAATTATTTTCATGAAGAATAAAACTCATCGCAGAATTTGAATTATTTTTAATTCAATTTTAGTTGAATACGTCGAAAAATGTAATTATTTTAAAAATTTTTATATTAAAATTCCTCGCAAGAATTCAATTATATAAAAATTTTTAATTTTCGTAATAAATTCGTTATAAAAATTCGTTATAAAAATTATAAAATATAAAATGCAGACAATTATAATTAAATATTAATTTGAATTTTGAAAAGATTTCAAAGTATAAAATCTTTGGAAATTTGAATTTTTTATACTTTTAAACAAAAATTCTGTAGAATTAATTTTTTTTTTTGCAGTTTCATTGTATTTTGTAATTATTTGAGGTTTTCATTTTCTGATTCTATATTTAATTTGAGAATTTTCGAATAATTGAAATTTCGTAAAATTGAGTTGAAAACAAATGGATATTTGAAAAATTGTCATAGAACTTTTTCGAAAAGTATTAAAAATAAAATTTGATTTAAAGAAGAATATTAGTTAAAAATTCTTGAAAATAATAATTAAATTGAAATGATGTGAAAATTGCGGTTAATTTTTATTATAATTAAAAAAAACCTATTTTTATTCTTTTTCAATCATTTCCTAATTCAATCTAGTTTTTAAGAAAACGAAACATTTTTTAAAATATAAAATTTTTATTTCTAGAACCAATTTTAAATGTCACTCACTAGGAGTGAATCTAGCAACGCTTTTACAAAAAAAATCTTTCATAATCGTCAATATTCACGTGTTCAAAAAAAACACAGTGAAATATAAATAACAAACTGTAATAAAACAATTTTATTTTCGTAGTTAAAAAATAATTTTGCTTAAAAATAAGACAATTATATTGTCGTTTAAACTTTTTCAAAAAGTATCTATATATATAAATTAATTTATATTTAAAAATGCGGCAAAATTTAATGTACAAAAAATAAAATCTGCGCATTCATTTCTAGGAGAATTTGTTTTATAATTTATTCCCTTACTTATAGTTTCTCTGTTTTTGTTATTGTCATCACGGAAAAAATTAATTTAGTACATTTTACGAAACTAATTTTGGAATAGCGGATACGGAGAGGAGTTTAGTATAAGATAAAACAGAATCAATAGTAATATATTATGATGACTGCGTTTCTCGAAAACTCAAAAAAAATTCTATGGAATTCACAAATGATCGGTTGGACGTTCTAATTCAAGAGTTTTGTAAAATGTTTAGCCTGAAGCGCATGCGCCACGGAAAAAAATATTCACGGAGAAAAAAACGAATAAAGCAGAAAAAAGAATTTCTTAATGTACCAATGAGCTCTCAAGACCATTTTTTCTCGTCTTCTATAGGAGATAGATGATTGGTTCGACACATGTGACTGCACTCTACAACGCAATGGTTCGCTTGGATTGGCTTATTTTATTCTGACACTAACTTAACGGAAATACGCATACATATAAACGAATTCTGACGCAACGCACATACAATATAACTCGCACTTGTAGATGAAAGAATTGAGTTTCTTTATATACTAACTGAGGAGATTAAAACTGCGCTTGTGAGAAATGTCAATATACTGAATATTAATTTTTAAAAAAATCATTTTTTTAAAAGTTATACAAAATATTTTATGGTTTTTAAAATAACATTTTTTGATTATAATTAGTTATAAAATCTCTATAAAATTTTTCAATTTTTAGAAAATAATTTTATTCTTAATTTTAAATTATAAATAAATTGACAAAAAATTTTCAAAATTAAATTCAAACTCAAAAAATGTTTATATTAAATTGTCTAAAATTTGAAGTAATAACAGTTAAAACTTGAGAAATTAATATATATATTGTCATCGGTAAATATTATGATAAACTATAAAATTTATTGGACTGTAAATTAAAAGAAATTAATAATAATTAAAAGTTTGGATTACAAAAGCACATAAAAAATGTTACGAATTTGGAACAATGAAATGTGAAATACGTAAAAGAAAACAATTATCCAAATGTTACCGGCAGGTAAAGCAGTTCTCTTTTTCCTTCCACATATTATATCTATATACAGCAGACAAGTTAATACCGACGCGAAGAGACAAGCTTCAACATATCTATTTATAACGCGACTTTTGGTACACCCAGTACACCCCGTATAGAATTTTACGAAACTTTGTGTTCGAGAATTCACGATAGACAGCGAAGTGGAAACTCAAACCACGCGTTTTTAGATTGCACGAAACATTTTTACCATTTTCTGATAAAATGTTCACCAGAAAATACGAAACATTTCTACATTCAAGCTTGTTTTATAAATTACAACACTGGTTGCAGTTTCTCGACAATTGTTCTGCTTAAAGTAGTGAAAGTTTCTGGGTTTTTGAAAAACTTCGTCTAGGAATCTTAAATATCCGCTAGTGCGAAATTAGTTTCGTAAAATCTGCTGAACTTATTTTTTCCGTGCAGTTTTCTCCTTGTTCTGATCATTTCTTGCTTTTCTAATTTTATTTTCAATATTTTGATTATTTGCACTTTTATCCCGATTCTGATCATTTATTCTTGTCGACATAAGTCTATTTGGAATGTTTTGATTATTTTTACTTTTAGCTTGATTCTGATAATTTTTTGTCCTCATAAGTCTATTTTCAACGTTTTGATTATTTTCATTTTTCGCTTGATTCTGATAATTTCTTGTCCTTGCATTTCTTTTACCCATATTTTGATTATTGTCACTTTTATGCTGATTCTGATCATTTCTTGTCCGTCTAATTTTATTTTCCATATTTTGATGATTATTGTCAATTTTATCTTGATTCTGATGAATTCTTGTCGTCATAAGTCTATTCTCAATGATTTGATTATTATAAGATTGAATAGGATTCTTCGTGATGACTTTATCTATGCAATAGGTGTTATTACAATACGTCATAAATCTATTTTTAATGATTTGATTATTATAAGATTGAATAGGATTCTTCGTGATGACTTTATCTATGCAATAGGTGCCATTACAATAGTTGATGAAATTTCTCCAGCAATCGGCGATTTGTAACACCATTGGATTGCCAATAACGATTAGTAAACACTTTGCTCGAGTGATCGTTACATTAAATCTCTGTTAATGGAATAAAATATTTTTAGAATATTCTCTTTACCTTTATTTTTGAATTTTGATAAAAGAATGCTTATCTTAAAATTATTAAATTATATTTTTAAAAGTAGGTAATAGGATTAAATTTTAAAAATTGAACTTGAATAAAATAAAAAAATTTTAAATACTCCATTTTATTTGAATTGTAATTATAAAAAATAGAAAAGAAATTTAAAAATACTTTAAAATTAAATACCTTATCGTCATTCAAAAATCCAATGTGGGGTTTCTTTCCGTTTTTGAAAATTTCTGACCTTACTAAAGAGACAATGATAATATCTCTCTCCTGACCCTGAAAACTTTCGACAGTTCCGACAGATATTTTGGATAACTTTCTATCTTTAAGCTTCTCCATAATTATACTCTTTTGATATCGAAATGGCGTGACAATACCAATATTCCTTTGAAAAATTTGCATACCTTCCAAACCTTCATCAAGTAATTTTTCAACATAGTTCATAACAATTTCTGCCTCAACATAGTTTGCAATGCTAAATAAATAAAAAGTATATAGCGTATTAGTTTTGTATTTTTTTTTCTCTTTTTTGCTTCCTGATGATAAACGCAAAAAATTATTATATAATAAATATAAACATGATAATAAATTTAGTTATTGTAAATTAAATTATATTTTGTAAATTAAAAAAAAAATTGTATAAAGACCTATGAGACTCATTATTTTCTTCATGTCCATACGCAGGGTGAAATATAATCGGAAATCCTTTCTTCGGTAGATGATTCCAATTTTCGGCAATTTTCACTTTATCCCCAGCACATGCAACCAGTTCGCTGTCGTAATACATTTGGTTTGGTAATCGAAGAATTATTTCGTGATTTCGATAATTCTGGACGAGTTTCGTTAAAAAGTTCGGATCGTATTTATTATCATAATCCTTCTTGTAAAGATAACTCTTCTCCATTAAACGTTCCAACATTGAAATTCCTAAAAAGAAGATTAAATAGTTAAATTTTCGGTATAATAATTAGAATGACTTCGGGATGACGAAGTGGATGATTTAAAAAAAATAATTTTAAGAAAAAAGATTTTTTAATTGTAAGGACCTCGAAATTTCTATTTTACAAATTACAAACCTAGTAAATGACTTCCATATTTGGTCATTACAACTGGTCCCAATTGTTTCGGATCTCCAGACATTACAAGATTACATCTTCTATGTCTCATTGAGATAACAAACGGGATAAAAGTTTCCGGTTGAGTTGCTTGCCCAGCTTCATCGATAAAAATATAATTGAAAAAATCAGTGAAATATTTCAATCTCAAAAATCTGAAATATTAAGTATTTGTTATATTATATATCCTGATTTAAAATATAAGTATAAATGGTTATTATAAAAAGAAGTTAGAAAATTTTGAATGCGTTAAACTATATTGGTGGCAGAGAATTTTAAATAAAGTATATAAAATAAATTTATAATAATTATGTACCTTGCAGCTGAGGTAAGTGTTGATATAATTACTTGTTTACGCCGAATATCAGAACTATTTAGAAACTCAATTTCAATATCTTCCTTTCCGAAATTTTGGAAATGCATACAAATCTTTACATCCTGCGGTATAGTATCTCTAAACAAGAAAAAATTATTGATATTAATAATATATAGAAAAGACTTGCAAAACAATGTTGATGTAGTGTTTAGTTAAAAGAAGAAATTATAAAAAAACAAAATCAGTCAAAGTTATTATTAGGTTAAATAGAGATATAAATATTTTCTCACTTTTCGACGGATTTACTCGTCATTCGATAAATCAAATCAGGCGATATGCCACAATTTAATAATCTTCTTGTAACCTCATCGGCAGCAGCATTGGAAGGAGTACAGATTAAAATATTGTTGCCTCTCTCGACTAATTGACAAACAGCTTCAACAATCGTGTCAGTTTTTCCAGTTCCCGGAGGGCCAAAGAGTAAATATGGCGATGGATATGATGTGCCACCGACAATTTGTTGTACCGCTTGCACTTGCTCGGGATTTTTCGCCACATTTTTATTAATGAATGACGTAATTACTCTGAAAAATATTTCAAACATTGCAATTAAATATTTAATAAATTTTCAGGAATTTTTCGATCCTGTAGGGGATACATCTTAAAAAAACAAAAACTACCTCTATGAAATGATTTTATATTTTTACGTACGTTTTTGGAATATTTGACATTCTCTTTTTATAAAGTTGTAATGAATCAAGATTTTTAGCGATTAAATCGATTGCATATTGACAGACTCTGATAGGCCAATTGGAATATTCAAATTCAATGGAATACTCATTATCTACTTTATGTTGTCTACTGAATCTGTTAAAATATTATAATAAAATTAAAATTAAATTAAATTATAAAATGTCATCCTTTCAACAAAGAATGATATATATATCAAAATGAAATGCATGAGAGGTTATAAAGAAATGTATAACTTACTTTTCATAATCCTTTTCAGGTCTTACAATAATATATCCTAGTTTTGATGACACTTCAGTTATAATGAAACCATATTTTTGTTCAGGAACCATTTTTACATTTTTTACTTCTACAACAGAACTTCTGCTTAAAAAGCAAAGATCGCTTTCAATATTTTTTAGAAATATTTTGAAATACCGAGCAGAACTGTATTCATTATATGAAAAATTATACAATTTTACTTTCTGCTTCTTTATTACATCGTCTATAGATTTGTTATCAAAGCATTCTTCCAAATATAAAAGATTGCTCAAAGTAGCGAGGTAATTATCATCATCAAAATCTTTTAAATTTTTTATCATTTCTAAATACGTCCATACATTAGCAGATTCAATCATATTATTTCCTTTTAAAGTCTCAACTAGTATCTTGGGTACTGCATATTTTGGTACAGCAGCCAGTATATCGCTTTAGAATAAAATATTTCAGAATAATTAAAATTAATTTATAATTCAATAACATTGCTATAACAAATTAAATATTTTTTATTAAGAAATAGAAATTTTTTAATAACTACTTTCTTATTTGATTCGTTGTTTTTTTAATGTTCGTTAAATTTATAATTAATTTATATTAATCAGTATAAATATTAATTATAATAAAAACAGAGGAATTATTACTTGCGATTTTATTATTAACGATTATTAATTATGTACCTGTCGTAATCAAGTCCCATTTTGTAATAATTGAAACTGACGACTTGTTCTCTTTTAAATAAAATAAATATATATGTCTCCTGCTGAAATTAAAATATTATAAATTAATTTATTTTATTACCTACTATTTTAATAAAAAAAAACTCGAGGTTACTAAAAAAAATTATTTATATATAAATTTATATATAAATATATAGATATTATATAATATTTTACATTTTAAAAACTTCAATAGCTATAAAATTTCAATAATACTATTACCCAATGGGAAATGCCAGTGTAGTGCCGATGTTCACCACTGGCTTAGTACTCAGACGATTGTTCGGCGTAGTCTAGCCGAGCCTCGACACTTAGTGCTGGCGCAGTACAGAATTTTTGTTTCGCCAAAGCTTGGACAAGCCACGGCGGCAAGTGCTGGCTGAGTATAGAAAAATTGTTCACAACGCTCTTTGCCAACATTGCTTTTTTGACATAAACTTGAAAAAAATTATAAAGAAAGTTTATAAATGTTTATAAATATAATATTATTGAAAAAAATTAATATTTTACTTTTCAGTTGTTCATTTTTTATTCTTGTCAAATTTAATAATAACAATTTAACACAATTGTCTAATTTTGTAAATAATAAATTATTTAAACAAATTAAAATTATAAACAAAATTTAAACTTTAATCTCAATAATAATTTAGTTCCTATTAAAATACTATTATACTTCTTACTATGAATAAAAAATTATTAAAAAATTACCACGTAATTTAAGAATTACGTAAAATGTTAAATGCAATAAATAAAGTAATTTAATTTAATTATTAAAAATTTAGTTTAACTTATTTTACTTCAATTTATTATTTCTAACGTATCCCTTTTTTTCTCATCTTTGACTCAATAATTGTATGTCTGAATGATACTGAGATATTAATACTTTACTGTACACATGTGTCGTTAGCATAGTGGTTAGAGCGTTAGTCTGTTAGTCCGTAGGTCGTAGGTTCGATTCCCCTCGTCAGCAATTTGTTTATTTTCATAGGTTTACGATATTTCTAGATTCCAATCGTTAGGTACTAAAATATGAAAATCTAATGCACACTTACTGTAATTGTTTATTATTTAATTTTTAAATGTTATAAACAATTTTTTTCTACTTCATTTACTATATCCATTGTTAGTCTCCATCTTTAATATAATTTCTTTAAGAAGAGAAATATTTTATGAATAATAACTATTTATTAATATTATTTACCATTTTGTTGTTAAATTATTTATAATTATGAATTTACGACTAATTAATAGCAATACGGCATTTATTGCGGCAATATTCTCAGCCAGCACTGGTCCAGTGCTGCGCCAGCGCTGTCTGGCAGCACTGACAGACAGTACTTCGGCAGCGCCAGACGGCGTTATCATCCCAGTGTCATGCCAGTGCTGGCTCTCAGCCTTGCCGCCAGTGCTGCCAGTGCTGGCGCAGTACTACGCCAGTTGTAAATTTCCCATTGGGTATTGGGTAAGATGATAGTCTTGCATGGATCTGCTTAATCACATAATTATAATACAATAGATGAATCATTTTACGTATTGTTTTTAAAAATACATATATATAGGTAATCTCACGTTCATTCATGATATTATATACTTATATTCAATTTTTTTCTTACTATAGATAATAATCAATTTAAAAAAATATAAATTATTCTAAAAATTTTGTTGTAATATTAATTATTTATTTATAATAAATAATTTACTTTATAAACATATAAAATTAAATAGTAGTAAAATTTATGAAAAATTTAATAATAATTACTAATTTAAATAAGTTTCTTAAAAATATTTAATTATAAATTAACAAATAACAAATATTTATTATTATTATTATTATTATTTTATTATTTATTATTATATTATGGATTGAAATTTATTAGTTTTAATTTTTAAAATTATTAACGAAAATAACAATAATTATTAAATATAATAATTATTTCAAAATAGTTTTAAAAATTATTAAACTTTTATAACTTTATTTAATTAATTAACTAATTACAATTTGTATTATTATTATTATTATTATAGGTATTATTATTTTTTTTAAATAATAAATTTTTATTTTGAATTTAATTAAATATTTAAAAAAAATTGAAAAGAAAATTTGCTGGCACTAAATACCCAGTAAAAAAAAACTAATTCAAATGAATTGAAACGAATTAACATTTTTGGTAGGCTCCAATTCGTATTTGTCATAAAGCGGGATTCACTCAAGCTCTTTGTATATTCAATTGAATTTAATTCAATATGTACCAATTTGTCCAAACGAATTCGCATTCGAAAGAAATGGCCAAGGAATGCATTGAATTCGTGCTAACGAATTGAAAAAAAATTAAAGACTCAAAACTTGTCCAGTGAATTGGTACGCATAGAAGGTTCGGAAGTTCAATACAGTTTCGCGAATGCAGGAAAATTGCATCATGGCTCCAATTCGTATTTGTCACAAAGCAGGATTCACGAAAGCTCTTTGTGAATTCTTTTTAATTCATTTCAATTAGTTTTCGTTTACTGGGTATTATTCTTCTTAATTATTGTGTACAATACAATAATATTATGCATCTTTGTTTGTAAATAATCAAATTTGAAAATACTCACTCGATTTTGGTATCACTTTGAAAATTCAAATTTTACTTGAAAAATTCTTTAAAAATAGAGAAGCATTCATAATCTATTTTAGACGATTAAATATAAATACTTTTTAGATCGATATGTAATCCAGAAACTTTTTAAAACTATAAATAACACACACTACAAATGTACAAAAATCTTTTTTTCAAGAACAATAGAGAAAAAAAATATTCTTATCTAAATTTATATATAGACAACGTCAACGAGTAAACTCGGGGAATAAAGTGAACATTTTAGCTCTTGTGCGCATTTATTTTTAAATTAGAGAAATTGTGAGAAATCATAGTAAATAAAAATCATAATCTAGGGATTTTTGCTTTTTAATCAAGATGCGATTTTATTCTCGCTTTTCACTTCTGCGGTTCTGCCTGCAGAGGTGTAACCAGGTGTAAGCCGTAATTTAGTGTGAGGTGTACTCTCTATGTTCTTTTTTTATTCTTTATTGTTCTTTATGCTTCTTTCTTATTTTTGATACTTTTTATGCGTCGTTTTTTTAGAAATGGCTTTGATCGCTTTCATATTATAATAATTCTATAATTATTCAGTGAAATGAACTAAATTTATTATTATATATTATTATATTGACAGTTGATCTTTTTTCTATTTTTATTCAACAAATTTCAAACATAACCTATAATTTTTTGCTCTTAAGGTTAAGTATATATTTTTTTGTATATTATATTTTATATTTTTTCTATATTATTTTATATTTTTATAGACTCTCTGAAGAGGAAATCATTTAGATTTCGAAACTTTGGAGTAAACTAATTTTTAAAAACTATTTGTCCGAATGTTTTTGTTTTATTCTCCATCACTACGATTTCTATTTCTCGGACGTAAAAGATTGTGAAATATTATCTTTTTTATTTCAGATATTCAAATCTTCGAACAAACAATTTCTTATATTAAGAATAATGTCTTCTGGAGTCGGAGATGATTTTTGGGACAACGATTGTCATCATGATTATAATGACTATGATGAGCGCTATGAAGTCGGAAAATATGATTTCCATCATTCAGATGTGTTTGATTTACATGTACAGAAAAGTGATTTGAACGCAAAAAATTTTCAAGCAAAAAGTCCCCTTTTTCTTGCCACAAGGACGAATCAAAAACAATTAGTAGAGAAACTTTTGACGAATGGTGCAAATGTCAATATTCAAAATGAAGCAGGAGAAACGCCACTTTCCATTGCAACGTCTAGAGATAATATTGAACTTGTGGAAATTCTTTTAAAAAATGGTGCTGCACTATCTGAAGCAAATAAACAAGATGATCTTCAATTAATGTTTAAACCACTTTTTTATGCTGTTGATAATAGAAATTTCAAAATGGTCAAATTACTAATGCTCAATGGATTTAACGCAATTGATGTTCAATATGGAGACAATACTCTCTTATCTCATGCCATAAAACAAAATAATTTTGAAATGGTGAAATATTTATTGGAACACGGCTCAATAATTATGCCAGAAACCGAAGAATTTTATATATTTGATGAAAAATGCTTTATATTCTATCAAGGTTTACATTCTCAAATACTACTTCAACTTTCAATTCATAACGGATGTCTGGAGACATGGAAATACTTATTAAAGAACAGTTCAAAAATTGATGCTTCCACAAATTCTAAGCTTCATTTAGCAGTGCGAGAGGGTCAAGTGGAAACTGTTCAAGAGATCATAAAACAAGAAGCTTTGAATTTTGATGCAGAGTCTATTGCTAACAAATTAGCTGTTTACATTGCAGTGGAAAACGGAAATGAAGAAATTTTGAAAATCCTTCTAAATGCCGGTTATTCTTTTCAAATTTTCAAAAATAGAAGTCCTCTTCACGTTGCTGCAACTTTCGATCACACGCGACTAGTCGAGATGCTATTAAACGCCGGTGCTGATTTAAATTCCAAGACCGATGATGAAGAGACTTTGTTGCATTTCGCAGCGGCTGCTGGACAACCAACGGTGGTTAAATTTCTTCTTAAATCCGGTATTGATATTAAGGCTGCTACTAAATCTAAACGGAAATCAGCATTAGAATACGCACTACAAAGAGGTCCTGAGAATGAAGAATATTGGACTCTTACCACTTTTGAGTATCAATCCACCTTGAACATTGTAAAAATGTTAATTCCCGAGATTGAAGATCATAAAATCGACGATTTGAAGAAATATTTATTATATGTAAGTAAAATTAGAGTTTCTGAAGAAAAGTCTACGTCTAGTTCAAAGGTACATGAAGAAACGTTGAATTGCGATCAAATAGATCAAATATTTGGGGAGAATGCAAAGAATCAATTTAGAAATGAAATTCTTTGGTTCTGTCTTAATTACATGAATGATAGTGAAATTAAATTAGTTTCAGAAGCAATATTAATGAAGCCTAGTCTTCCCTCTGATTTCATTCACACTATTTTTGAATACAATGATTATGAGTTGGGCATGAATGACATTAAACGCTTGATAGAAAGAGATTATAAATGTTATTTACTTCTACTATGTCACACAAGTGGGTTTCCCGAAAGGTCGATTCACAGATGTGAATACTTTCTATTTGCTAATGGTATATTTAAAAATGATCGTTTAAAATTGTTCATTGCACGTTTAGTTGTACTAGCCAATAATTCTTATTCAGAAGATGAAGTCAAATTTTTCAAGAATTTAAATGTTATTGAATGGCGCAGCGAATGTGAGCAGCAAATAGAAAACATGCGAAGAACAGAAGTGGTCAGTGACTGTAAGATAACTTTCTATGATGTTTTAACAAAACCAGTGAATAAACTTGCGATTTACGTGAAAGACGAGCATTTCCTGCAAAAGCTAGAATCATCCTACAAGCGATTTCCAGCTTATGCTGAATTTTTAAAGTTAAATGTCGAGATAGGTAAACGTAGAAGAGACTTAATTGACGATTGCACGAATTTGATGTTTAATCTGATTGAGAGAAATTATAAAATTCAGTTTACAACTGTTGATATCCTTAATATTTTTGAATATCTTTTAGCAGCTGATCTGCATCGTTTATTAGCAGCATTTTCATAATTATGTCTCAACTGTTAGAAAGCCAGTTTTTTTTCCACTGTTCTTACGTACGTTCTTCCACTTTAGGGCAGATTAAGTTTTAAATACTTAAAAATACGTTTCATTTTCACTAATTTGAATGCCACACTTATGTCTACATAATGTTAGTAAAGTTAATAAATGGATGCTTCGTGTTTCTTTTTTTTCTATTTTTTAAAAATGTTTTTTCTAAAAAGCTATATAGAAAAAGTTGTTCATTTTAGTTGTAAGATCTTCGATTTAAAAACGAAAAAATTCTCGATTTTGTTTAAATTAATTCTACAAAAATTATTTCTTATCTTCCAATTTTTACTTTAGATAAAATTGTATAATTAAAAACACGATGATTTACAATAAACTTATGTTATAAAAACAAATAATCATTAAAATTCTTTAAACTGAAATCAATTATTTTCTACAATTTTTAATAAATTCTTCTAAAAAATTCAATTATATTTATAACCTAGTAGAAATCTTTGCAAAAATTCAATTATTTTCCCAAAAAAAAAAAAAAAAAATTCACGAAAGAATTCTATTTTTTTCTTCATTTTGTTATAAAATATTTCAAAAGAATTCAATTATTTTCTAAAATTTTAATAAATACTTCAAAACAATTCAATTTTCTTTATAAATAGTAAAATTCTTTGCAAACATTCAATTATTTTTAAAAAAAAATTTTCAAGAAATAATTTTTTTCTTAATTAGTTATAAAATTTTTCAAGAGAATTCAATTAGGTATAGGTATTTTCTAAAATTTCAATAAAATTCAATTATTTTCAAAATTTTTAATTAAAATTATTAAAGAAACTCCATAATATTTTTAAAAAAATATAAAGAAATTCTTGAAAAAGAATTTAATTACAATTTTCAAAAATTTTAACAAAACTCATTGCGAAAATTCAATTATTTTCATAGATAATAAAACTTATCGAAGAATTTCAAAAGTTCTTATGAAAAATCCAAATTATTTTTAAAAATACCAAAATTTTTCAGAGAAATTAAATTCGTTTTGAACATGACAATTATTTTTAATATAATTTTACAGGAATTTTGCAAAAAATGTAATTACTCTTAAAAATTTAATTTCAATTTCTCGTAAAAATCAGTTATTAAAAAAAATGTTTTTTTAAAATTCTTTGGAAGAATTCAATTATTTACAAAAATGTTAGAATTTTTCACTGATTTCAATTATTTTCAAATATTTTAATAAAATTGTTCGAAAGAAATCAATTATTTTAAATATACAATTTTAATTAAATTTTTTTGAAATAATTCAATTATTTTAGTTTTTAATAAAATTCTTCCCAAGAATTCAATTATTTAAATAAATAATTCCTCGAAAAAATTCAATTATTAAAGATAAATAACAAAATTATTTTGGAAAAATCAATTACTTTAAGACATTTTAATAAAGTTCTTTGCAAAATTCAATTATTTTAATAAATAACAATATTCATCACTAGAATTCAATTATTTTTAAAAGTTAATAAATTTATTCTTGGAAATTCAATTATTTAAAAAAATTCTAATAAAATCGTTCGCAAGAATTCAATTATTTCCAAAGAAATTTAATAAAATGACACACTAACATTCAATTTTTTCAAAAATTTTAATATAGAATTCTTTGTAAACTTAATTTAATTAATTTAAAAAAAAATTAATTTTTTTTTAAAAAAGTTTTTAAAACTTAATTTACTTTAATTGTTTTTTAAAACTTTTCGCAATTCAATGATTTTCAATATCTACTATTTTCATAAAATTTCTAAACAGAATTAAATTATTTTTATAAATATTTAAATTTTTTAATGAATAATTAAAATTTGTTGCAGGAATTTAATTTATTATAGCAGGATAAGAAAGAAGTAAATATTTTTGAATGAAAATTAGGAAAAAGTCAGGAGAATAAAATATAGAATTTGAATTTTTGTCAGTTTTTTTACTACCTACTTTTTTTTAGTTTGAAAGCTACTTTTTGATACTTTTGTTAAAATTAATTATCGAGTGCGAAGTCTGATATATAAATGTTTATAATTTTTAAATAAGATAAACGCAAGATAGCTCCATCTATTTTCGTTTCCATTTGCAGTGTGAGGTGTGCTCTCTATGTTCTTTTTTATTCTTTATGCTCATTTCTAATTTTCCGCATGTGCGTCCCATACTTTTCAATTCCACCTTTTTATGCTGTTTTTGGAAAAAAGCTTTGATTGCTTGGATATTATAATCATTCTATAATTATTCAGTGAAATGAACTAAATTTATTGTCTATTCTTCTACTGTCGAAAAAGAATTAGATTAAAATAAAAAGGTATGTCAAATAAGCAACATATTATTAAGATTTTCTAACCTAAAAAATTTTAAAGTTATACAATAATTGCTTCTTAAAATATATATTGTTGATTCAAATTTAAAGTTCATGTTTGTCTTCTGATTAATAATTTAAGTAACAAAATTTGTTGTTATATTTGTAAAATTAAAATAAGTTCAGTGATTTTACTACACGCTGCATAGGAAAATATAAAGGCTGACGCAGCGTGAGCGATATATTTATACTATGTATGTACTTCATGGATACAGAAATGGAATTATTTATTCTTAATGATTTTTTCAGATTTACGATACTTTTGCATTGACATTTAACATTCCCCATATTATTTCTTTGTCGTAAAGTCGTTTCTATTTTTATATGAATATTTTTATAATGAAAAAAATGGCTAAATTTATTATTTTTCCTCAAAGCATTTTTATTCGCATGACAAACATAACCTATGCAATTTTGTTTCTTTTTAAAAAATAGACCTTTTCATTTCAATTATTTTCTTTGCGCATGCGTTATATGGAATTGAAGTTCCGTTTCAAGTTTCGGCTCTGTTTACAGCTATTGCATTATTCAGATATGAAAAAAATTATAAAAAGTGTTCTAAATTATTATATGTTGCATAAAAATGGAGTATAATAATTATAACAAATACTGGAATAAATTTAATGAAAAAATTAAGGACGGAGCATATATTAATTATTTTATCAATAAGTTATTTTTTAAATATCAATAATTTATTTTAGTTTTTATGCATTTCTACATGCAACGTTAATAAAAACAATAAATAAAAGTGAAAGAGGTAACTATTGTGTTTTTCACATTTCATCAGCGAATAACAATATGTCAATATATAGTAAACATAACCTCACTCTGGAACCAACTCTTTTTTCTTCTTTTAGTTGACTGTTTTCTGCACTGCAGTGATATTTTTAATTGCAAATTTAACTGCGTGTTTTTATGTTTAAATTTGATACCAATTTTGCACCGGACACATTTTCTTTTCTCTAAAAAAACATGAGCAAAAGTAAAGTTTTAAAACATGTTAATAGAACAGGGCCGAAACTTTTAAAATTGGTGAACTGTGATGGTTGCTGCGCAGGCGCATTCGCGACTTCCGAATTGAAATGAAAAGGTCTATTATAAATACTTTTTTTAATATATGGGGCATTCCAGGCCAAATCGGAAATTATTTTGCTTTTGCATCTCAAATTTTTTTTAAACATTTTTTTTCTTTTAGTACTCTTTGAAATGAGCTGCCTTGATTTTTTTCAAATTTTCTCATAAAGCTTTTCAGGAGGTACAGATTTTTGAAAAATAACGTTTTTTTTACGTAAACTTTTGTTTTAAATGCTTATAACTCGGTCAAAAATTGATCAAATTGGACGTTATTATAATGAAAAGTTTTGTTTTCACGCGTAGTTTTTAATAAAAATATTTTTAAAAAAATTTTAAATAATTTACGATAAGATTTAAAAATTTTTAAAATAAAATTTCATTTTTAACAATAATGTATGTATCGATCAATTTTTTTCAAAATTTTTTGTGAGAAACTAGCAAAAAAATTAACAATTTTTAAGCCTTGTCCGATCGTGGGCAAACGATGGGATCTATTTATTTAAAAAATTTTAAAGTGGTGGCCAATGACTAACTTGACATTTGACAAAATCACACAAATTTTTCACAGCAAATGTGTTTTCAGACTGAGTATCTCCAAACTTAACCTTCTTTCTGTGTAAAATTGTGATTTGGTCAAATGACAAGTTAGGCCTACCGTCTTCACTGTGTATATAAAAATTAAAATTTTTAAATACATAAATAGATCCCATCGTTTGCCCACGATCGGACAAGGCTTAAAAATTATTAATTTAGTGCTAGTTTCTTACAAAAAATTTTGAAAAAAATTGATCGATACATACATTGTTAAAAATGAAATTTTATTTTAAAAATTTTTAAATCTTATCGTAAATTATTTTAAATTTTTTCAAAAATATTTTTATTAAAAACTACGCGTGAAAACAAAACTTTTAAAACCGAGTTATAAGCATTTAAAACAAAAATTTACGTAAAAAACGTCATTTTTCAAAAATCTGTATCTCCTGAACCGCTTTATGAAAAAATTTGAAAAAAATCAAGGCAGCTCATTTCAAAGAGTACTAAAAGAAAAAAAATGTTTAAAAAAAATTTGAGATGCAAAAGCAAAATAATTTCCGATTTGGCCTGGAATGACCCATATATAACCTACTAATGGTAGAAAATGTAACGTTGTATGATTTTAGATATGAAATATTAACTTTTTTTTTTATTACAGATATTTGAATCTTCAAGAAACAATTTCATCTATATATAAAGAATATGTATTCTGATGAAGAGGATTTTCAGGACAACGATTATGTTGATAATGATGATAGTGACTATGAAGACTATGAACTGTATGAAGTCGGCAAATATGATTTTCCCGCGATGAACACTTCACTGTACAAAGCTGTCTATTCTGGCGATTTCGACCTGGTTCTATCTTTGATTGACAACATTTCCGAAGAGGAGAGAAACAAAATACCATCATTAATGCACACAGCGGTAGCAAGAGGACACGCGAAAATTGTTACCCTACTTGTCGAGCGCAATTTTTCTTTCAACGAAGGAGATGAAGAGGGGAACACTCCTTTGCATCTAGCGATAAGTTACAATCATCCTGAAGTGTTTGATGTACTTGTGCAGAAAAGTGATTTGAATGCAAAAAATTTTAAAGGCGAAAGTCCTCTTCATCTTGCAGTAGATGATGATCTCATCCGATTTGCAGAAATTCTCTTAGCAAATGGTGCAAATGTCAATATTCAAGATGAAAATAAAAAAACGCCACTTTGCATTGCCACGGACAGAAATAATATTGAACTTGTCGAAATTCTTCTAAAAAATGGTGCTGGACTATCTGAAGCAAATAAACAAGATGAAAATCTTGAATTAATGTTTCAACCTCTTTTTAATGCTGCTCTAAATAACAATTTAAAAATGTTGAAGTTACTAATGCAAAACGGATTTATCGCAATTGATGTTCCATATGATGTCGAAATTTCCTTATCTTATGCTTCACTTCTCAACGGATGTCTGGAGACATGGAAATACTTATTAAAGAACAGCTCAAAAATTGATGCTTTCACAAATTCGAAGCTTCATTTAGCAGTGCGAGAGGGTCAAGTGGAAGCTGTTAAAGAGATCATAAAACAAGAAGCTTTGAATTTCGATGCAGAGTCTATTGCTAACAGATTAGCCGTTTACGTTGCAGTGGAAAACGAAAATGAAGAAATTTTGAAAATCCTTCTGAATGCCGGTTATTCTTTTGAAATTTTCAAAAATAAAAGTCCTCTACACGTTGCTGCAACTTTCGATCACACACGATTAGTCGAAATGCTATTAAACGCCGGTGGTAATTTAAATTTAAAGACCGATGACGGTGAGACTTTGTTACATTTCGCAGCAGCTGCTGGACAACCAACGGTTGTTAAATTTCTTCTTAAATCCGGTATTGATGTCAATCCTGCTACTAATTCTAAATGTAAATCAGCATTACAATATGCACTACGAAGAGGTCCTGTGAATGAAGAATATTGGACTCTTACTCCTCATGAGTATCAAACCACATCGAACATTGTGAAAATGTTAATTCCCGAGATTAAAGATAATAAAAGCGACGATTTCATGAAATGTTTAATATATGTAAGTAAAATTAGAATTTCTGAAGAAAAGTCTACATCTAGTTCAAAGGTGAATGAAGAAACGTTGAATTGCGATCAAATAAATCAAATATTTAGGGAGAATGCAAAGAATCAAAAATTCATCAATGAAATTCTTTTGTGCTGTCTTAATTACATAAATGATACTGAAATTAAATTAGTTTCAGGAACAATATTGATGATGCTTAGTCTTCCCTCTGATTTTATTCACACTATTTTTGAATACAATGATTATAAGTTGGCCTTAAATGGCATTTTATACTTGAATAGAATAGATTATAGAAGTTATTTAATTGTACTGTGTCACTTAAGTAGGTATTCCGACGCGACGAATTCTAAAATTAAAAACTTACTTTGTAATGATACATTTAAAAACGATTCTTTTGATCGTTTACAATTGTTCGCTGCACGTTTAGTTTTAATATCTGATACTTTTTATTCAAATGAGGCATACCATTTTTTTATGTATTTTCAACTATTGGATTGGCGTAACGAATGTGAGCAACAAATAAAAGAGATGAAGAAAGCAGAAGTTGTCAGTGACTGCAAGATAACTTTCTACGACGTTTTAACAAAACCAGTAAATAAACTTGCGATTTACGTAAAAGACGAGCATTTCCTGCAAATTCTAGAATCATCCTACAAGCGATTTTTTGCTTATGCTGAATTTTTAAAGTTAAATGTCGAGAAAGGTGAACGACAAAGAGACTTAATTGATGATTGCATGAATTTTATGCTTAATCTGATTCAGAGAAATTATAAAATTCGCTTTACAACAACAGACATCCTTAAGATTTTTGAATATCTTTCAGTAGCTGATCTACATCGCTTATTAGCAGCATTTTCATAATTATGTCGTAACTGTTGAATAGACATGTTTTCTATGTTCTTACGTACGTTCTTCCACTTTAGGGCAGATTAAGTTTTAAATACTTAATGTTACTTAATTTTTTCATTTTCACTAATTTTAATCTTATACTGTGTAAATGTTATGTAATGTTAACAAATGCATTTAACAATCGATAACTCATTTTTTTGTTTATTTTTCAAATGATTTTTCTAAAATCATTTAATTTAATAAAACAAACATTGTCCATTTTAGTTGTAAGATAAATATCTTCTTCGATTTAAAATAAAAAAAAAATTGTCCATTTACTTTAAAAGTAATTCTACGAAAATTGTTTCTCATTCTCTATTTTTTATTTTAAATAATATGTATAGTTAAAAACACAATAATTCACAATAAACTTATGTTATAAAAACAAATAATCATTGAATTCTTTAAACATTTTGTCGAAAATTTAAAGGAACGATAATTCAATTTAAAAAATTTAATAACAGTTTTTAATATTAAATTTTTTTTGAATTTTTTTTTCTTTTCATAGCAAAAATGATTATTTACAAGAAAAAAGAAAACAGAATGTTTCTTGCTTGAAGAAATAAAAAAAAAATCTTAATTAAATTACTATTTTCTAAGAAAGTCACCTAATGTGAAACCTCTCCTCTTTTTGTCTTCGTCTTCTGCTACAATTTCAATTCTGTTGTTTACGAGACTTTTCAATTCAATTGCGGAAAAAACATCGTTCAAGTGAAAATTATCTCCGCGGCAGGCTTCATTTTCCTTACAATACATCATAAATTTTTTCCAACAATTGTCTATTTGTAATACTTTCGGATGTCCAATGACAATTAATAAAGATTTTGCCCTAGTGATCGTGACATTAAATCTCTGCATAAAAATAAAGGTAAATTTTTCATTATTGTTTAAATTGATACAGTGAATGTTAAATATATTTTTTAAAATCATTTTTAAAAAATATTTCACTTTTTTTTAAAGTTTAATCTTTTTTTATCAAATCGTACAGAATTTATTTCAAAATGGCGTCAAAAAAAAAAAAAAAAAAAAAAAAAAAAGCGTCAAAATTATAAAAAAAGAAGAAAAGGAAACGGTATTTTTTCTTAAAAAAGGTGTTAGTTGAACTAAAGTAAAATTAAATTAATTAAAAAAAAAAATACCTTTTCGTTGGACAAAAATCCTACGTGATATCTGCCTTCATGCACAAATATTGCTGATCTCACTAACGATACAATGATGATTTCTTTTTCCTGCCCCTGGAAATTTTCGACAGTACCAACTGAAATGTCTGTGAAATTTTTCTCATTCAGAATTTCATTAATTTTCCTTTTCTGCCATCTAAATGGTGTCACTACGCCAATATTTTTTCCCTCAATTTTAATACCATCTAATCCATCATGAATTAGCTTTTCTATATATTTAATGACAATTTTCACTTCCGCTTCATTTGCGACACTGCATATAATAAAAATGAAAATTGAAACATTTTAATAAAATTAAACTTTAATTATTTTAATAAATAAAAATTAAAATTATAAATTTTAATTGTAAATATTTGCAATTTTATATTTAAAACTCTAATAAAAAAAATCGAAACCTGTGCAATTCGTTGATTTCTTCATAGCCATAGACAGCATGAAAAATAATTGGAAATTTTTTTCTTGGCAGTAGAGTCCAATTTTCAGCAATTTTGACATTATTTCCCGCGCATGCTATCAATTCGTTTTCGTAAAAAAGAAAATTTGGTAATTTTAAAATTGCCTCGTGACTGCGGTAGTTCTTCACTAGTTTCGTTAAAAAATTCGGATCGTATTTATTGTTGTAACCCTTTTTGTAAAGTTCGCTTTTTTCCATTAAACGCTCCAGCATCGATTTTCCTTTAATAATTATTGTAATTAAATGGAATTTATGAAAAAATTTCATATATTTGTGACGAGCACTGAAGAAAGGTAGAAACCTTTCTTCACTGCGCGTCACAAATATATGAAAAATTGTAGGTTATGTTTACAATTTTTTGAATAAAAATAAAAAAAAATACAACGAAGATCAACTCTCAAAAATCATTGTTCAAGTCTTCAATTATTTAATCACTGACTTCAAAATTCTTCAAAAATTTGATTTTTTTATATTTTTCAAAGTTTTTTTTTCATTGATTTTCTAAAAAAATTTATGGGAAAAATGTAAAGTTTGTTTATATACAATACCAAGTAAATGATCGCCATATTTTGTCATTACAACCGGTCCCAATTGTTTTGGATCACCTGACATGATAATTTGACATTTCGAGTGATTTTTCGAGATAGCGATAGGGATCAGCGTTTCCGGTTGTGTTGCTTGTCCCGCTTCGTCAATGAAAATATAATTAAAATATCTGCTAAAACTGTGCAGTCGCAGAAATCTGAAATTATATTATAGATTATTAATTACATTAATACTTAACAAATATTGTGAATTTATGATATAATTATTTTATTATATAGTTTTTTTTATATTTTCTTAGGTGCAATTATTTTTACTATGATAATAATTATTATTGATGATTATTATATTATGATTGACCTATTGTAAAATAATAAAAGTAGAAAATAAGTATACCTTGCACTTGTGACGAGTGTTGCTATAACTATTTTTTTAGACCTATAAATCTCCGAACTGTGGTAATAATCGAGTTCTCCATCTTCAAAATTCATACAAATCTCGATATCTTCCGGTATATTCCTCCTATATATAAAACAATAAATAACTTTTTGAAGCCCTCTCTTTATGATGAAGAAAACTCAAGAAATTTGAATGAAAAATATTAATCCTCTTTATAGATATTAAGCTTTTTGAAAATGGGACACGTGGGACATTAATGTCCCAGAAGCGTTTAAGGATTAGGAAAAAAAGTTTTTTTAAAAAAAAATAGTATTTTTATAAAAAAATGATATTTTTTCATACCTTGAATCTTGTAAAACAGAATCTTGTAAAAATTAAGAAAAACAGTTTTTTTTTTTAAATAGTATTTTTATAGAAAAATAATATTTTTTTCTATATACCTGTCGACAGATCTACTTGTCATTCGATAAATTTCATTGTCATCAATTTTATTTTGCAGCAATCTTCTTGTCACCTCATCGGCCGCAGCATTAGAAGGGGTACAAATTAATACATTGTCCCTTCTTCGATTTATTTGACAAATTGCCTCTACGATTGTGGCCGTTTTACCCGTTCCCGGTGGTCCAAAAACTAAATAAGGCTCCGGATATGATGTACGTCCCACCATTCGTTGAACAGCTTGCTTTTGTTGCTCATTTTTTTCAATATTCTTATTGAACCAGTTTGTAATTTCTCTGGGAAATTGTAAGCGTGTATAGTATTAAAAATTATGGTAATAATTATCATAATTTTGAAATTATTCAAAATTCTTGAAATTTTTGAAATTTTTAAAGGTCCAAAAATTTGAAGTGGTTGAAATATTTTTGATAAATTACTAAATTAGGAATATTTATATATATACTTACACCTCTGGTTTTAATGAAAATCTCTTTTCATAAATAAAACATGAATCAAGTGATATAGAATCAATTAATAATTCTAATGCAAAATGGCACACTCGGTTCGGCCAATTCGAATATTCGAGTTCAATGTTGTAAAATTCTTGTGAATTGTACTGCTTTTCGAAACTGTTGTAAAAAAAAGTCTTTTAACTAAAATTAAAAATTTTTAAAAATTTTTAATTTTTTTAAATTTGTAATAAAAAATTGAAAATAACCAAAATTTTAAGAAGGGACACAAAATAAGTCGGAAACCTGTTTACATCTTAAGATTAAAATAATTGAAAAGTAGCCTATTTTTAAATTTAAAACTTAGTCATAACTTTAGATATTTTAAAATCTAAATATTCATTATTTCGTAAAATAATAAAAACAGCAGAAAGAATTTTTTTTTAAAAAAAAAATTTTTTTTTGAAAATTTTTTTTGAAAACAAGTAAATTCTAAAATTTCTGAAAAGGTAGAAAATTTATAAAAATTATAAATTTATAAAAAAATAAATTCCATACCTAACTGGATAAACTGCTTCGACGATAATACGATCGAAATGAATTTCAGTAATTTTCAGTGGATGCTTAACAATACTGCCTTCTTTATACACATCGAATGTTGATCCTTTTTTCAAAAAACAAAGATCATCTTCAATATTTAGCATAATTTTAAAATTATTTTGTTTCTCATTAAAGAGAATTCTAATTGTTTTTGCCTTCGATGTGCTTTCTAGTGTCTCATTATTATAAAATTCCTCCAGATAAAGTAGATTTTTAAAAGTCTCATAATAATCCGTTTCAACGTCAGGTAAATTCGATATTTTTTTTAAGAATGACGTCCAAAATTGATCATTATTTTTTTTATTCGAATTATTTTTTAACACTTGCTTTAGCTCTTTTGGTAAATTATACGTGGAAATTGGTAACAATTCGTCCCTTGGTAATTTTTCATAAGGCCACTGGGACGAATTACGACGTCTGGTAATATTTATAATAAATATTTAAAAATATGTTTAAAAAATTAATTAACACATTTGTAGAAGAAAAAAAAAAATTCTTTATTATTAGAGAAAAATATTCAAAAATTTAATGAATATTATTTACCTTCTTTCAGATGAAGTAAACATTTTCTGGTACTCGCTCTTATAAAATATATTCAACAAAATATACTTTAATACATACTTTCTGAAATTTTATAAAAAGAATAAGAATTTCTGAAACTTGCCGCATCAAAAAGTTGAAAATTTTCATTTTTTCTTAAATATTATTTTTTTTCTTCATATTATATATTATATATTATTTCATATTTTTATTTCGCTATTTCATACGCGATATCAAGTTTTATTTTATCTACTTCTCAATACGTGCCATTTCTCTTCTCTTCGGAATATTATTCGAAATGCTTTAAAGAATAAATCGAATTTTTTTTAAAGCTTTAAATTCCATTAGTAAAGTGGTTTGTCACGCATATTTTTTATAAAAATTTTTTATAAAATTTTTTTTTTATATATAAAATGCTATACATAAAAATTAACATTTAGGAAAAAATAAAAATTTTCAAGCTTCGGGAGACATTTTTAACAAATTTTTACCCAAAAAAACAACAATTTTTAAATGATTTAATATAAAATTGAGGAGCAATTTTTCAAAAGTTGATAAATCTATTTTTCAAAAAAAATTGAGATAAACACATATTAAAAATATATTAAAATCCTTAGTAATTGATTTATCACTGTTCAATTAAAGAAAAAAATGTATTACCAAAGAATTTTCAATATAAAAATATTTTGACCTAACCTTGATGATTTTTAATTTAAAAAAAAATTTTTTTTATTAGAAAAAATTAGAAAAACCTTTAAAATCCTTTATTACAAATAGACATTAATTACAAACAGAGCGTTTTAAGTATGGAAAAATATTCAAAAATGAATAATTTATTACACTTTTTCTACATTAAAGTTAATTTTAATGGTTATGTGTGAGAATTGTCATTTGTTTAAATTTCTCGAAATGACAAAATTTGGATTTATTATAGGTTTTGAAAACTTACTCCTCAATTATTTAATGCAAAAATTAGTATATAATTGGATAATAGTTGAAATATTAAAAATAACCATTCATAAACGATTATTTATTGAATCAATAAATTATTTTTCTTGCAATTTAAAGGAAATGTTTACTTACTCATTTTATGATACAATATTAACAGTACATTTTGACAAGTCTTGATCAATATTTATGAATATTTAAAAAAAGGACGGTGGACGGTTTATATTTGTTTATATGTATTTTGATAAAAGTAATACTAAATGGAAGAAAAATGGGGAAGAACAAAATTTAGTATAGATGAACCTTTCACTTTAGGATTGGAAAGACGAAAATAGTTTCTCCACACATCCACAAGTCGTGTGACCGCACCTTTACTGTGGTTACTGTAGAAGCAGCTTATTTACAAAAAACTATTGTAGAAGGGGCTTTCGAGTGAAAGTAGGGATCTAGGGAAATATCACTATAGTTTCTCTACTTCCCTCTGGTGTTTCCTTCTTTTCCTTGTCTATCCACCTTAGGATTAATCTGTTCATCTCATCGCGATTAAACTTGTCTGTTTTCTACTATTCTCTTAAATGTGTGTTGTATTTTTCTCCTCTAATTTTATTCATAAATAATTGTATTTGAAAGTTTTAGTTGAAAATCTTTTTGTGCGAGTGCGCGAGCTAATAAAAAAAAACACTGCGATATTTGTAACCATAACCGTTATTTAACGTGATTTAACGCGTTTGTGGCGCATTGGGTTCGTTTTTTTTCGACAGAAAACACGTGGTGAGAGGAATATTTTTTTTTGTTGCTGTATAGGTGAATTTGAAACAAAGAAAAGAAATTCAGACGTCTGTTTATTCAGTTTGGGATAGAAATTAAGGTAATTATTACGTATTTTAACTTTTTTCTGATAAATATGGTTTTAATTGTGCTGCGAAGTGAAAAGTGTATTTGTAAACGTCCTTCATTTGTCCTGGTGCCGGTAATATTTATTGTTAGTCTTTTTTTTCAAGAACTCAGAATAATTGTTATGAAATTATGTGAAAAAAATGTTTGGTATTTTTTTAATATGTGATAAAATTGGCCTAACAAATTTATTGATAGTAATTTTGTCTAAAAATCATCAAAAAATACTTTATCTACGATTTTTAATAGTAAATTAATTATTTTTAAGCAAAAAAAAAAAAAAACTATATTGTTTCTAAAGAAAAATTATTTTTGACCATTTTCGAAATTTTATGAATTTTATTCTTTAAAAATATTAAAATTTTGTATCGAAATTCAACAAAAAATTAGTTTCTTTTATAGTGACGGAGAATAAAAGTGAAAACATTCGGACAAATAGTTTTTAAAATTAGTTTACTTCAACGTTTCGAAATCTAAATGATTTCCTCTTCGGAGAGTCTATAAAAATATAAAATAATTTTACAAAAAATAGAAAATAATATACAAAAAATATAAATAATATACAACAAAATATAAAAATAATATGCAAATACTTAATATACAAAAAAATATAAATTAATATACAAAAAATAAAATAATATACAAAAAAAATATAAAATAATATGCAAAAAAATATATACTTAACATTCGTCAATAAAAAAAATAAACTTAGCATTCGTCAATCAAAAAAAAATTATAAAATTTAAAAAATATATAAATTTCAAAAAAATTATAATTAATCTAACATTCATTCATAAATAATAAAAAAGGTTATAATAATATCTTACAAAAAAAAATTAATAAATAAACATTCGTCAGCAAAAAATAAAAACAAATTCACACATCAAACGTCAGAGAAGTTTCTTTTAAATTTTAAAAAAATTCTTTAAAGAAATTCAATTATTTTCGAAAAATTACATTGCAATATTTTTAGAAAACTAAGTCTTACAATTGTTTCATTATAATTTTTTAAGATTCATTTTTATAAGAATTATTTTGTTCAAAAATAATTATCCTCAAAAACAAAATAAATTAAAATTTTTTCAAATTTACCTTTTTATATTTATTAAAATTTTCGAGAAATCATGTTTGTTTTTAAAATTATAAAATTCTGGAGAAAAATTTATTTATTTCTTTTTTTCTTTAAAATTCCAATTATTTTTAAAAGATTTTACCAAATTTGAATTATTTGGAAATTTTTCAATATTGTATAAATTATAAAAACCTATTGAGTTTCAAAATTTATTTAAAAATAATATATTTAAAAAATTAATTTTGAGAATTCTTTTATTATAATTTTTTAAAAATCAGTTACTTTCAACAATTTATGGTTAAACATTTTCAGTAATTTTAATAACTTTTATAAAAAAAAAGAACAGTTACAGCTTTAATTATTATGAAAAATTGAATTTTGTATTTTTTTTTCGAATTTTATGGAAATTTATGAAAATAATTGAATTCTTGTGAAGAATTATTTTTAAAATATATTCAAAAGAATTAAGTAAATCTGAAGAATTTTGCTATTTATATGGAAATAATTGAATTCTTGAGAAGAATTTTTTTTTAAACATTTTTTAGAAATAATTGAAAAAGCGATAATTTTTCTTAGAGAAATTGAGGGGCTGGATGCTATAATGTGTTACGCGCCATTCACTTAACATGGCGCGTAACACATTATAGCATCCAGCCCCTCAATTAAAAGAACCATTTTTCTTTATTTTCATTCTTTTGCAGAAATGATCAAAATGAAGTATTCCGAAAATGCACAAATTTATTATGGAGATAAATCGTTGAATGAATATTTATATCAACTTGTAACATTCGTTGGCTCCGAGGATGACGAGGGAAAAAAAGATGTCGATATTGTCCTATCAAAATGGATTAGATTCAGTGAGGAGGAAAATAAATTTTTCACTCGTTTTCCATCGCCACCCTATGACACCTGGACAATGAAGGAATTCAATAAATTATTGAAAAATTGCATTTCGGCGCCTACTATTTGGATGGAGTACGAAGTTGAAATCGAGAATCACGCAAGTATGGTTTTAATTTAAAATTTTAAAACATTTCAATTTTTGAAAGAATATTTAATATTAAAAATTTTAAAGAACTTGGATTTTTGAAAAATTTTAATAATTGAAATTCTTTCGAAATTAGTTAAATTTTTTAAAATATATATATTTAATTAATGTTTTAGAAACTTTTTCTGAAGCACAGAAACTCTTTGAAGAATTGAAGGCTGAAATGAAGAAAAAAAATTCCAAAAATAATTCTGATAAATCGAAGAAAACTGATAAAAACAGAGGAATTTTTAATATGGAAAATTTATTTGATTCAATGAACGATTCTTTACTGCCTTACGTCTTAATTGAAAAATTGGATTTTGTTGGTAAGTGAAACTAAAATTTTTTGTAAATTTAGATAAATTTAAAACACCCATCAATTTTTTAATCGAATTCCTCGAAGTTTACAATTCTTTTTAAAAATAAAATTTTTCCCAAGAATTCAATTATTTAGAAAAAATTTAGTTAAAAAAAAAGTTTAGTTGGATTTTTTTTATATTTTAAAAAATTTTTATTTTTTAAATACTTTCACTGGTTCGAGCCCTGCGTTAGGTTATAATTTTTAAATAAAAACGTTTTTTGTATTTTTTTTCATTTTTTCTTTTATTCCTGTTTAATGGATTTTTAATTTTGTGAAAAATTCACAAAATAGAAAAAAAAAATTACAAAATACTGAAAATTATATGTAAATATGCAATTTATAATTTATAAATTATAATTTATTTTTTGTAATTTTATTTTAAGAATTAGAATTAGTTTTCGATAATTAAAAAATATATTTTCAGCGTCAGAATGTACAACACCAAAGAAAAATTCTTCTAATGAAATAAATGATAGTCAGGTGTCTGCAGTCTTGTCCTCACCGAGAAATTCAAGAAAGCCACGATCCAAAATTCGGCAAACTGCTGTTCAAAGTTGTTAGTATTTTTTTTACATATTTGTCTTTTACTAGCGAATGTAAATTTTAAATATTTACATAAATTTTCTTTTCAGCCACACTTAAGATGTTGGATTCAAACAATATAATTTTGAATGAAAAGCGAAGTTTACGGAAAAGGAAGAATTCACCGCTCGAGAATTGTATGGATTGTAAGATAATTGTTTTTTTTGTCATTTTTAAAACTTATTAATTAATATTTATTATTTTTAATAATATTCATTATTATTATTATTATTCATATTAATATTATTATTTTTAAAATTATTATTATTAACAAACACTTAATACTTTAAAAATAATATACCTAAATTTTATTTTTCATCTTCGTAGTTCCATCGAAAAAATCTTATAAGTCTCAAAATGATAACAAAAGTAAGTTTTATAATTTTATAAATTATCCATTTTTTCTACGATTTTCCTTTTAGTGGAAATTTTTAAATTTTTAATGCAAAAAAATTCTTATTTTTAGTCGTTAATTTTGAATCAGCGATATCTGACTTCAATGGCAATGAAAAATCTGCAAAAAATTTTGAAGTTACTGTAAATCTAACAATGTTAACGGAGCGAGAGTTGGAGCAAACGAATAGTTTTAATTTCCCGATCGAAGAATCGGGATTGACAGTAGTTGACGTTCACAGGTGTTGTTCACCGGATGAAGAAGTAGAAACAATAAATTCTACTCAACAGTCTGAGTTACCAATTTGCAACTCAAACGAAAATGGTATGTGTAATTGTTTTAAAAACACAACGAAAATAATAAAAAAAAAAATTGTCAACACTATATTTTATAATATTTTTTTCAGAAAATACTTCACAGAACGAAGACATTGATAATAATGAAAATGCTCAGGTCGAAGAATCGGAAATGCCAGTGATTAAAGTCAGTTATTCACAGATGCAAAGAGTAGAATCAAATTCTGTTGAATCTACTCAACAATCTGAGTTAACCACTTGCAACTCAAACGAAATTGGTATGTGTAATGGTTTAAAAAAAAAAAAAAATGAAAGTAACAAAAAAATTTTTTTTTTAAATTGACAACGTTAATAATACGATTTTTATTTAGAAAACACTACATTGAACGAAGACAATGAAAATAATGAAAATGCTCAGGTCGAGGAATCGAAAATGACAGCAGTTAAAATCAGTTGTTCACAGATGCAAAGAGTAGAATCAAATTCTGTTGCATCTACTCAACAATCTGAGTTAGCAACATGCAACTCAAACAAAAGTGGTATGTGTAATAGTTTTAAAAACAAAACGAAAATAATATTACAACAGGCTTCGCACTCATCTACAAAAATCTACTATTTACTACTTTTTTTACGTTATGATACTATTTGAGTACTTTTTTTAGATTTCAGCCACTAAAAACTACTATTATTGTTTTTTTTTTAAAGAGTTTACTTTAAATTCGCTAATTCTAGAAATCAAAAAACTTTTTTTAGTGTAATAAATTTTACGAGGCCTTATACGGTTTAAGTAATTTTATTTATATTGACGACGTTTCGATACATTAAGTATCCTCTTCAGGTCAAAATTGAAAATTAATTAATTAACAAACAGTCATTCAGTCATTTTATCGAAAAAGAAAAGAAACACCTACAATGAAAAAAAACTATTTTCAAAAATTAAAATCAAATTCTTTAAAACAATTTAATTATTTTTCAAAAAATATTCGAAACTCATTTTCAATATCTAGTATTTTCATGAAATTTCGCAAAAGAATTCAATTATGTAAGAAAAAATTTATTATTCATCCAAAATTAAATTATTTTCATAAATAATATTTCCACAGGAATTCAATTAAAATTCTATTATTTTCAAAAAAAAAAAAAAAAAAAATCGAAAAAATAAAATTAATCAATTATTTAACAAAATTTTTATACAATTCTTCACAATAATTTAATTACTTTCACTAATAATAACATTTCTCAAGGAAAATCAAATTTTAAAAATAAAAAAACTTTTTCATAAAATTCTAAGCAAGAATTCAATTATTTTTGCATAAATAATAAAACACGTCGAAGAATTTCAATTATTTTTTTAATACTATTTTAAATTAATTATTCGAAAAATTCAATTATTTTTACGAATAAAGATTTCCAGAAGAATTCAATTATTTACAATAAAATTTTCATAATATTTATTATACTACAAAAAAAAAAAATAATTATTTAAAACAATGTTTATAAAATTCTTTGCAAAATTTAATAATTTTTAAAAACTTTTTTTGCAATTCAATGATTTTCAATATCTACTATATTTTTATAAAATTTCCAAATAGAATTCAATTATTTAAAAAATTTTACGTAAAAATCTTCATAAGAATTCAATTCTTTTTATGACTAAATAAAAATTTCTTAGGAATTCAATTATTTAAATATTAGAATTTGCATAAAAGTAAGTCGTAAGAAATGAATTACATTTAAAGATTTTTATAAAATTCTTCGCATGAATTAAATTATTTTTATAAATATTTAAATTCTTTCACGAATAATAAAATTTGTTAAAGGAATTAAATTTCTAGCAGGATAAGAAAGAAGTAAATATTTTTGATGAAAATTAGGAAAAAGTGAGGAAAATAAAAAAATATGGAATGGAATTTTTTTTCAGTTTTGTGAAGTGTCTAAAATGAATTTTTTTGGTCGTTAAGTTTAATTTTTCGATAGCTACTTTTTTACTACTATTTTTAGTTTGAAACAAGGTTTAAAATATATTTTTTGCTACTTTTTTAAAATTAATTATTGAGTGCGAAGTCTGTTAAAAAAAAAATTGACAACACCAATGATACGATAATTTTTTTCAGGAAACACTTCACGGAACGATGACACTGATAATGATGAAGCTATATTCAGTGAAGTAATTACAGAAGAAGAAAAAGGTGAAATTAAAACTTTTAATGAAAGAAATTGTATTTTTTTTGTCATTGCTGCTACAAAAATTAGTATTTAAATATTTTTTAAACTACAAACTTTATAAATTTTTTTTTCGTATCTATACAATTTTTTCATTAAATGGGTTTAATTTAATTTGCAGAAAATTCGTCTCTATTATTTAAAAGGATACTGAAAGCACTTAATATCATTCATCTAAGTCAATTAGATGCACAAGGAAGCCTTCGAGATATTATGAATTTATCGACGAATAACGATTTGCAGCAATCATTTTTTGATAAATTAAATTTTATCTTACCAAATTCATCTGTGGACGAGAATAAAACGATGAATAACGATTTACAGCAAGCATTTTTTGCTAAATTCAATTTAATCAAACCAATTTCAACTGTGGACGAATTCATCTTATTTGATGATGAATTGAAATCGAATGCAACATTTAAAGAAAACTTTGTAAGTATAGAAAAAAATTGATTTAAAAATTTCTTTTTTCAAACTTTCGAACATTTTACTTTTTTTTCTAAATCGATTATTATTCACATCTAACTAAGTTTTTTTTGCAACTCAATTTAATTATTTTTGCAATTTTTTAAGAAAATTATTCGTCAAATAATTTGTAAGTTATTAAAAAATATTGACAATGAATCAATGATAATTGAATTCTTTAGAATAATTTATTTATCCTTTTGAATGTAAATCGATTTTTTTTAAATAATTGTAATTAATAATTTTTTTTTATTATATTTTATTAACACTATTGATAGAAAATTAACTTCTTTTTAACAATTTTATTTGATTTTTCGTTTCATTAGTTAATTTTATTGAATTTTCTAGAAATTAACTTCTTTTCAGAGTTTTATTACAATTTTTTAAATTAATTGATTTGATTTGAAGAATTTCATTAGGTACATTTTCTTTTTAAATAATTAAATTCTTGGAAAAATTTTATTGCAATTTTAGAGAATAATTGAAGTTTCTAATTACTTTTTTTTAAAGTTAATAATGAAAATAAATAAGTGTAGTTTTAAAAGAAAAAAATAAAATTAGGTTCTAATTTCAGACACAAATGTTGAAAAGTTTCATAGACAGCGACAAGACATTATTGCAATGTGTAAATAAAATTTTGAATGAGTGCATTGCAGTGGAAGTGAGAGCTCAATATAATGCAACAACAGTAACAAAGAGCGAATCAAGAATTTTTAAAGATACGGAATTTTATAAAATCCTGCTGGGTATGAAAATTTATTCATTTGCTTTTACTCGACGAACCAAAATTGAATATTTATCTATATTTTTCTATTGCTTTTTACAGATTTAATAACCAAAAATTTTCAGAAACGATCCATTGAAGTAACGGAAGATGAACTTTTAAAGCATCTTGAGACAGTATTTGGAAATTCTTTCGATTAAAATGAATACTCAAGAAGAGAGAAGGAAGTTAACAGAACAAATTTTGAGATTATTTTCAGGATATTATACTTAGTTTTTTAGTATAAAAAAAAAGTAAAGAGTTATTTTTTTAGTGAACGTTATTTTTTTATGCCAAAGTTTTGTGTTAGTCGAAGAGCTAATTTATAAGGATTATAAAAGTATTAAAATGTATTACGTAACTATTTTTTTTTATGTTCTAAATGTAAAAACAAATTTTTTGAAAGAAAGTATTTGATTAATAATACTCGATGCTTTTTTTAAATTTCTGTTAAATTTAATAATTTATTTATTAACTAGCAAATGATACGCGCACCAGCGAGCGGAATGCGGTATTTTATTATTTTGTAAATTAAAAAATTTTATATTTTCCAGAAAAAACGTTTTTAACATTTTTTTTTAATTTTTCAGTAATTAAAGATTTAAAATTTAAAGAACTCAATTATTAAGTACATAATATTAAAAATTCTTGTTTATTAATATTCAAAATTTTTAAACAAAAATTTGTCGCAAGAATTTCATTATTCTCATAAATAATAAAATTCTTTAGAGCAATTCAACTATTTCCAATACAATGATAATAAAATTTCTCGAAAGAATACAATTATTTTTGAAAATATTAATTAAATTCGATTATTTTCAAGAATTTTAATTATAAATTCAATTATTTTCGCCAATTTTGATGAAATTCTTTTTAAAAAAAAATCATTATTTTCATAATTTTCAATAAAATTCCTTCAAAAAGTTCAAATATTTTCAAAAATTCAGATAATTCAATTATTATTATTATTTTTATAAAATGTAACATTCTTGTCAAGAATTCATAAAAATTCAATTATTTTCAAAATTTTTGATAAAATTATTAAAAAAAAATTCAATTATTTTTATTAAATGTAAAATTCTTTGTCAAAAATTCAATTATTTTTGTTATTTAAAAATAAAATTCAAAAACTAAAATTTGAAAATTGAATGAAAATAAATTTTGAGTTGACTTTTGAGAATGCCCCATTTACATTAATCATATTAGATATAAATTTCTCTTATCACAAAACTATTTACCGAATGTATTAAAAAATTTAAGGTATAGAAACATGAAATAAATATTCGAATCAAAAATATGTTTGAGACAATTATTATAATATTCATAGTTCTTTATAATCATATATTTATAACGTATGCTCGTTTTCATTTCCCCAGTTTACAATATTTTCTCCTTGAAATTAATAAATAAAAATAAATTATTAAAATTTTTGTTTTACAATTTATACAGTCAAATTTCAACAAAAACCTGTTTCAAAGATAAATTTTTACTTTAATTTCCAACGCCAGTCAAGTTTTTGGGATTATTGAAATTATATTTTTTAATTATAGTTCCAAAAAATTATTGATATTATGATAATAATAATAATAATGAAATATTAGGATAACAAATGCAAATCAAAATGACTTACTTACTTTTTGAATTGTTTTTGGGTTTCTATTTCGACATTCATTGTAAAACAAAAATCAAAAAAATTGTTCTAAAAAGAATATTTTTTTTCTGTTTAGCAAGATAGGGATTTTTAAAATATCAATTCAATAAATTATTTTCTTATTGTATCCAAAATCCACTTTAAGTAATGGGAAACTTTTGTATAGACAAGTGGTAACTCTAAAGAGCAAGCAGTATTGTAAAAACTAGCGACACCCAGTTGATGATGAATATAACCGAAAGTATGAGACATAGCTCCTCCGTCATCTGGTGAGCAAAAAGGTGGCATTTTGTTCGGTCTCACACAGAGAAGAGTGTCATCAATTTTTCTAGGACTATTGCTCCTTTGGTAGAGCTTTTCACATTCAAATTTGTCCACAATTTTAACGGTGGTCCTTGTTGTAACATTAGTTTCACTACCACGAGCAATAGATACTCCATGTCCATAAACATCATGCTGAAAAAAAATTGTTTTAAAAATTAGTCGTCGATTAGTATAACCAAGCATAAAGCTTTGATAGTCGATTTGGTTAACATCTGTTGACCAAAAATTAAGATTCTTTTTAAAACAAGAAAAAAAAATAGTGATTTATAATTACCAGATTATTAAATAGAGGAATTTTATTATTGAATGGAAGACAGACTGGCGAAATATTTTGTGAAAATTCTAATTCCTTGTTTAGTCTTATTAAAGCAATGTTATTGGTCAAATCCTTTTCGTTAAAATTTTGATGAGGATAGATTCCTTCAACTCCTACAACTTCAGACTTTATGCATGTACTTTTTCCATTTCTTTCTTTTTGACAATCAGGATTGCTGCTAAGATCATAGTCTCCCAATACAACCTTCACTTCTTGAATTACTGAAATTTAAAGTGTGCCTATAGTAATTTTCTAAATTACTTTTCTATGTTCCACTATAGCATATGTGGACTTTATTCATCCTATTTAATAAATTATTTAACTATTTCGATACAATCAAAATATGAAATATTTATCAATTAGTAGAATACTACCCTCCCAACTAGTAGTTATGCTGAAAAGTATTCTAATCTTTAAATTCTTAAATAGATGAAATATTTTATTCTTGTCAATATGAATTAATTATATTTACCTTCTTGTAAATTTCTAGCATATTGAGCACTGGTGAGGACGTAACGATTATTAATTACAGTGCCTGATGAAATAAGTCTGCCTCTAACTTTAATTAACGCTATCCAAGGAATTTCTAAAATGCCAGCTATATTATAGTATTCACTTAAACTACCAGGATTGTAATTTCCATACCCACATTCGTCTTCTACAAACAACTTTCGATTTGGGTGAACATTGAGAGAATTATAATCAATCTCAATTTCTTTTTCTTTCTACAAAAAAAAAAAAAAATGCGAGTAAATATTAATCAAAATTGTCAAATAATTGTATAGTAATGCTAATTGTCATCTTTGATAATGTAATTCTAACATACCTTATCCATACAACAAAAATACGGTGTTCTTGTATTTCGATTATAATCACATTGTAATGATCTAAAATAAATTTCTATTTTTTTTCCTGAATTTTTTTGATCTATAATTTCTTCCCTCAGTTTACTTAATGATTTGCACTCGTACCATGGTTCGCAACTTCCATCGCATTTATTGAAGGTTGCTAATATTAATAAATTTCTGATTATAAAGTTTCTTGAGTATAGCAACTTAATAGAGAATAAACAGTAAAATAGAGATTATCTTTGAAACTCATTATACAAACGTTGAAATTTTTAATATATTATTCAAACATATAGTACTTACGTTCTGAAGTAATGAATGGAAGGCAGACAAAGATGCCGCCCAATATGGTAAAAATCAGTTTCATTGTGATCAATCTATTGACGTTATCAATATTAGAGTCTATTCTTGAAAACTACAATAATTTTCAACTGCTTGCATTTTATATATACTCAAGTTTAGAGAATAAAATTGATAACATTATGTACAGACATATTTTAAATAAAAAAGTAAACTACAATACGTTTTGTTATTGTATAATTAACACTTGCGTTGACAGAATAATGATTTACTATTAGAAGTTAGAATTAAAAACATTAATTCATATTTATTTTGCCATGTCGTAAAATAAATATTTTCCGAATTCTATAATTTAAATTTAAAAGTTGTGACGCGGCATTTTGCCACGCACAAAATTTCTTAATTTTCTCTTGCTTTGCTATTTGGTACTTTGAAAAATGATCCATTAAAATGAGAATCATTTTATTATCCTAAAAATAAATAAAAATTATCAGCTTATTATTGTGAATTTTTACCTATATGTCTTGGATGTCTCAAATCTATGTATTACTTCCCGTTCCCGGACGAATTTCCTAATCTTAGATTCCTAAACGTATTTTCTTAACAACTACTTTTCCTAATAGTTAATTTTTCCTAAAACTATATTTTCCTAAATCATTTTTCCGAACTCAATCTTCCTAATTTTTTTTTTCCGAACAATATCATTTTTCCTGTATTTTTTATGACGCTGCGATATGCGATCTGCAATTGTTTTTTCAATAGCATCAAATACAAATATGTCAAAAGTTCCAAAATTTTGATTGTAAATTAATATTTCGAGTCTAAATTAAAAGTGTAATTTATAAATAAAATAAAAAATTTATATTTTAAATAAAAACAATGGAGATTGGTCCTTGAATTGTGGTCAAACAATTGTTTGTGAATGGTTTTATATATTACAAAATCTAAAAAAAATCTGCAAGGTTGCAAATGTTTTTCACCTTCTCGTCGAAGAAATGGAAGAAGAATTGCTTCCTATGGCGGATTACTTCGAGGAAAATTATGTCTCTAAATTTTAATAATTAATTTTAAATTATTTCCACATACAATTGTTCTCTAAATTTTAGTAATTAATTTTAAATTATTTCCACTTCATTTTTAAAATAAAATTTCTATAGGAAATTAGGAAAATTTAATAACTTTAGAAAATTTCGCTTAGGAAAATTGATTTAGGAAATTCGTTTTTAGGAAACGTTGAAATTAGGAATCTAGGATTTGGAAAATATAGTATGGAATTTACAAAATTTTCTGGAATTTTCCCTTTTTTTAAAGATTTCTGAGAAAATTTCGTTCTAGCCATTGTATAGGAACAGTAAATAATTTTTTTTATTATAACAACTGTTAACAAACAAAACATATAAAGTTCGAGCTAAAAATAATTTTTCATCTCCTGCTGATTATGGGCTGTGGTTACTTTTTATGAATTGTGAATTAAATTATAATTTGAATGACCTATTTGTTATTGGGCCAGAAATTTTTTAAACTTTTGACTGGAATTTCATATATAGGGGAATGTAGTCAAGGTTGGTCTACTGTCTAGGTAGGCCATCGCGATTTTTTGGACAAGTTCACTAGCGCCACCTACGCGCATGCTTGTCGAAGCTTGTCTTAGTGTAACCTAACTTTTTGTTCCATTACATTTTCGGAGAATCGAAAGTAGTGTTTTCTGTGACGTCGGTACAAAAAAAGCTGAAAAAAAGTTTTGTGCATCATGTGAAAAACCATTAATAAAAGATAAAAAACAAATAATTGAATCGTCAAGGCAAGTATGCAGAAAATTTGTGGGACTCATGGTTGAAAGAAAAACAAAGTAAAAAATCGAATCCCGAAACGTATTTCTTTATGGTTACAACAATTCGGTAATGTTACTTACTGTCAAGGTCGGCCACTATGTGTTTAAAATGCGCAAACTACTTCATTTGCAAAAACTGCAATTCTGTATAACTCATAATATAATTGATCATCTTATTAATATTTTTATTTAATTTTATTAATATTTCAGTGCAAATTTTTTTCTTTATTTATTTTTATTTTTTTATATTGTTTATTGTTATTATTTTGTTATTTCATTAAGTTACAAGCTGTAAACAATAAAGAATCAATTTTCCGTAACTCCAAACATGTTATTTTATTTTTTAACGATTAATGCCCCTTTGAATTTTAAACATGGCCGACCTTGACTGTAATGGCCAACCTGGACTACAAATTTTTTTTTTTAAATCTTTATAACTTTTTCATTTTTAAACCTGTCAATTTACTTTGTACAGAAAAAATGTTCCTATTAAACTGGACTTTCCAACCATATACTTCAATTGTCCAAATTCATTTTTTAAAAAAAGTTATAAACAAAAGTTAAAAAGGTGGCCGACCTAGACTATGTTCCCCTATGTATTGACCTGGAAAATCCTGGAATTTTATATTTATCATTCTGTGGCAACCATGTATAGTAATAATATTAAATATTTATTGTTTCCTATATAAGTATAAGATATCTTTTGAATATCCCACATTGCGGCAATTTGGATATATTATGAATATATCTAATGGATATAACTATTTAGATGTCCATGAGATATCTATAAGGGATATTTCTAAGATATTCTGGATCCAAGTCTGATACCTATCTTATGGTTATCTTTTTACTGTAAGGGTCGGGATAATTTAAAGAAAAGATATAAAAAGACCAAACTCCTCTTTTAATATTATTATTTACTAAAAAAGAGAAATATGATAACGTTATTGCATATTGATATAAATATTACTTTTATATCTTGAGTTAACATAATTAGCTGGAATAAAATGTGAAAATAAATTAAAAAACACTTCTATAGGCTAATACTGTTTTATTTTCAAGGCACATTTAGATACAATATGAATACTAGTGTGGTATACAAATATCTGTACAGTAAATGACAAAAAACAATTTTTACAGTCTATTAACAGTGGCAATAGATTGTTTCGAATGGTCAACTGAAGATTTAGTGAGAAAGGAGCAGGAGAGTAATTTTTCCAAAAGAACACTTGCGGAGGGGATAATTTGGAATTCTCTTAGAAGTGACCTTGGCTTGGTGGAATGTAGGAGTTCTCGATTTCGCTGGCCTCAGGTGCGAGATAAGTGTTGTCAACTTGTCTGGATTCCTGATGTTCAGGTGCCAAGTAGAGGTTGCTTGCTTGAGCTTGAGGCTTGGGGTACTCGTAACCGGAAGCTTTAGTCTCTGAGGCTGCGGTTTGTGGTTCCGGATAGTAATAACCGGAAGCATCGTTTTCCGAAGCAGCTGGTTGAGGTTGAGGATAGTAATAACCGGCAGCAACGTTTTCCGAAGCAGCTGGTTGAGGTTGAGGATAGTAATAACCGGAAGCAACGTTCTCTGAAGCAGCTGGTTGAGGATAGTCGTAACCGGAATTAGCTACATTCTCTGAGGCTGCCGGCTGGTGATAGTGATAGTGGTCCTCGTCACGATGTCCAGGGAGACGTCCTGCAGCAGCCGCAGCCAAAATTGCACCAAAGATGATAAACTACAGAAAAATAATCATTTTAATCTTCTCCAACATTTCTTTAAGATCAAATTAAATTCAAAACAAACAAAGAATTGTTTTGTTGCGAAAAATCTAGTTTTTTAAATTATATTTTAAAATTTTAGTTTAATTTTATATACAAATTATATATTTAATTTAGAGTTTTGTTATTGTAATTTTTTTCACCCTCACCGTTTTCATGATGAGAGAAAAGATTTTCAAAATTTAGCAACTTGCGTAGTAGAAAATAAGTAAAGAAGTGAATGCAACACGAGACTGATGATTGTATCGATGATTCGTGAGTTTATATACAGATTCTCATAAAGTGTGAATTAGATTGTTTTCATAAGGAAGGGATTGAAGTACCTTGATCTTTGATTATTAAGCCATTTTCCAAAATATTGGAAATATCGAAATTTTAATATATGTAAAACTATTATTAATTAGAGGCGAATGCTAATTTTAATTTTCATATATATACCCAAAGATAAATCGTCAATCAACTTGACGTCAATTTTGATCATTATAAGTTTATGATCAATGATCAAAATTTTTACAAAATTGACAAAAATTTGACGATTTTGTTAAAAGTATTAATTAGTCGTAATAATTAATATTATTAATATTTCATTAAATTACTTTACTTGTATATTAAATGTTATGCAGTTTTTTTTTTAATTTCAATTTCCATCAAAATTAACGTCAATTTTGATAAAAGTCAAAATTTCTCAATTAAATGATAAAATCTAATAGAAAAGTGTATAAATAAATTATATATTCTAATATTCGTTGGAGCAAACAATTTTTACTTAAAATTAAAAATGACAAAAGTTTGTAAAAATACAAAAATTTTTGAATTTTATTCCCTATTCAAAATAATCACGTGTGTAATTTCTGGGGTTAAATTTTATTTTTGAAACAAAAAGTAATTATTTTAACTATTATTCACTTTGCAAGTCTCGGTTAATTCAAATTTTAAATTTGAAAATTTCTATTTAACTATCTATTATAAACTTTTCATATGAATTCCAAAATAATTCGTTATTTTATACTTAATATTTTTATATTATCTTTAAAACTGACCTCAGCTTCTAATTGAGGAACAAAAAAACTAAAACATTTTCTTGAAAAAAATTTTGAAAATCTTTACAAATTTTTAATATTCTCCTTAAAACCCCCGTTTTAAAAATTAGAAATATTGACAATTATATGCATGTTTCTACTCCATAAAAAGACAATCGAAAAAATGTTAAAGAATCGCATTTAAATTAGATTAAAATTATGTAAATTAACTTCGTAAAGAAATTAATTTCAAAGAGTTTGTTTTGTCAAAAAAGTCAAATTTATATTTTTGTACATTTGGACCTTGGTGAATTTAGATAAAAATGTTTAGAATACACACATTGTAAAAGTGAAAGTATACGCGTATTGTAAAGGAACGTTTCTTTATGCACCAAAATGGGTATAATTTCGATAAATATAAAGAAAATTTTATTTTTTTTTTTTGAATAAATTCAAATAAATAATTTATAAATACGAAAAGTGAATAATAATAAGTTAATGTATAAATATAAATGATTTACAATTTTAATTTTGTTGGCAAATTCTGAAGGCGTATGTACATGCACAATTTAATTGGACATTTATTCTGATTTTGAAATATGCCCTTGATAATGAGAAGGGCATGAAATAAAGGCCATTCTTTGTAGTTTGGCTAATGTATTTCTATTTCTAATTTCTCTAATCTCCGTTTTACAGAAAATTAAAAATTCTAAATAATTCATTTTTAAAAGTATATAAACACATGAATTTGGGAATGACAAGTATCAGTCTCTTGTTGCTTTTCGATTTGTTCGGCTCTGAGAAAACCGCGATATTCAACATGAAAACGGTAATATATTTATAGCAGAATAAACATAACTTTGAAATGTGATTTAAAAAACTAGATTTTTCGCAACAAAACAATTCTTTGTTTGTTTTGAATTTAATTGGATCTTAGAGAAATGATGGAGAAGATTAAAATGATTATTTTTCTGTAGTTTATCATCTTTGGTGCAATTTTGGCTGCGGCTGCTGCAGGACGTCTCCCTGGACATCGTGACGAGGACCACTATCACTATCACCAGCCGGCAGCCTCAGAGAATTTAGCTTCCGGTTACGACTATCCTCAACCAGCTGCTTCAGAGAACGTTGCTTCCGGTTATTACTATCCTCAACCTCAACCAGCTGCTTCGGAAAACGTTGCTGCCGGTTATTACTATCCTCAACCTCAACCAGCTGCTTCGGAAAACGATGCTTCCGGTTATTACTATCCAGAACCCCAAACAGCAGCCTCAGAGACTAAAGCTTCCGGTTACGAGTACCCCAAGCCTCAAGCTCAAGCAAGCAACCTCTACTTGGCACCTGAACATCAGGAATCCAGACAAGTTGACAACACTTATCTTGCACCTGAGGCCAGCGAAATCGAGAACTCCTACATTCCACCAAGCCAAGGTCACTTCTAAGAGAATTCCAAATTATCCCCTCCGCAAGTGTTCTTTTGGAAAAATTACTCTCCTGCTCCTTTCTCACTAAATCTTCAGTTGACCATTCGAAACAATCTATTGCCACTGTTAATAGACTGTAAAAATTGTTTTTTGTCATTTACAGTACAGATATTTGTATACCATACTAGTATTCATATTGTATCTAAATGTGCCTTGAAAATAAAACAGTATTAGCCTATAGAAGTGTTTTTTAATTTATTTTCACATTTTGTTCCAGCTAAATATGTTAACTCAAGATATAAAAGAAATATTTATATCAATGCAATAACGTTATCATATTTCTCTTTTTTATTAAATAATATTAAAAGGAGTTTGGTCTTTTTATATCTTTTCTTTAAATTATCCCAACCCTTACAGTAAAAAGGTTACCATGAGATAGGTATCAGACTTGGATCCAGAATATCTTAAAAAAATACCCCTTAGGTATCTCATGGACATCTAAATAGTTACAAAATATATACAACATTAAAATGTTAACTAATTTGAATTACTGATTGACTTTTTGCTTCTATTTATTAGTAAAATTTACTAATTTTACCACACAGCACCGAAAATTTTCTGAAAGTTGAAATTAACTTGACTGCAACCTTCGAAATCTTTATTTCCGAAGCTCGCATGAAACTTGAAGTTGTTCTTTAAATGCCCGATGTTGTTCAATGTTTGCCGTAAAAGTTCAGCAATGTTCAGTCAACTTTCACGTCAAACATTGAAAAACAATCGAAATTTAATTACTTCAACTTTAAAAAGCTTCGTAAATTTCGCTTAAAAAATAATTTTTCATCTTCTGCTGATTATCGGCTGTGGTAGTTACTGGTTACTTTTTATGAATTGTGAATCAAAATAATTTTGACCCCACTGTGCCACGTGGGGGAAATTTGCAGTTTCCAGAAAACAATACAATGCCGTCATTTTCGCCGAATGTTTTGATAATTTTAAAATGAAACGGACGATTAGCAGTAAACATCTCTACTGAAGAACCAAATTTATAAACTATTGAAATATCTGCAATAAATTCCATAAATAATATTAATTTTTGTTGATACTTCCAACAAAGGTAATATGCTATGGTTTATGTGCAAATGTGCTTACCAGTAGCTGCTGCAGCTTCAGCACCATCTTCGTTGACTTCAATGACAGTTTTTTGCTTAACTTTATCTACATTCAGTTTTCCTTCTGCAATTCCGGTTAAATTCGCTTGAGAAGTAAATGCTTCTTTCATACCCATCTATTAAAAACGAGATTGTTACTTGTTATTTTTTAAATTATACTTATTTCATATTTTTTATTACAATAGTATTAAAAAATAATGAGTATAATAAACCTTTTTAAGAAATACACACCTCTTCTAAAATACTATTCAAATCAATGGTACTTTCAATTTTGAATTTAGGTAAATATACTTCAACTTCTTCTTCAGATCGTTTCATTCTCAGATTTTTGAGTCTCATTGTTGCTAATTTTCTTTCAACTTGTTCGAGAGTGTTATCACCGACAGGAAGTACAATAATCATTTTAAGGCCATTATTCTGAAAACAAAAAAAAGCAAAAGCAGGCAAAAGTTAATTTATACAAGGAAAATATAAAACCGTTATATAATATTTGACTTTATTGATTAGAGGATTATACTTCTTACCTTGTATGGCAATTCAACGAATTTTGCATTTATTTCAGGAACATATCCATAATCTACCATCACATTTTGATACATCATATCTACTTTATGTAATTTTTTATCCGAATCAGAATAGAAATCCATATTTAAAACGTCGGAGAATTTGTACATCCAATCGTCTTTAAAGTAAATGACATTGGCGATAACCAAATCCGTATCTGAACTCAAATCGTCTGCAGAGAAAAGAAATGTTGACAATTTTTGAAATAGGTATGTATCAAATTTCTTAATAAGAAATATTAAATTTAAATTTCTTCCTTAATAATGTGTAAATCATAAAATATTAATTTTACATAGAATAGAGAGAATCACTAACCAGAACGGACAATATCCTTGATTTTGCCATTTGTTGCATTTGACGCCCAAGTGTTGATTTCAGTTGATGCTTGTTCTGTTTCATCAAAATTTAATCTTGCTGCCTCTCCGTAATAGAAGCGCATGACATCACCAATGAATGCCTTCTTAACTCTCAGGCCATTATTGACGAACACTTTGTTATTAATTGCAATTTTCGAATTAGCATCATGCTATAAGGAATATAATAACTGTGATTAGACTGCGCGAGATCAACAATAAACTTAGTCTACGTATTTATTTACTAAATAGTGATTTTAAGTTCATAGACTCTCGATTTTACGAACACAGGATATTTTTCCGATTCCATATAAGTATTAATTCCGTAAGCATAAAAATTTGTTCTTGTTTTCAAAATATGATTTGTTTCTTACCATCAAATAATAGTAAAGTCTTCCATAATTTAATTTGATGTCTTCTCTATTTTCCGGTAAACGGAGTGTTTGAAGTATTTCTCTTTTTGTATTTCCTTTAGCTCCGGATGCAAGCATAGCTAGGGCTAAATTTGCACTCAGGGGAGATAGAAAAATGTTTTTTGTTTTCCCATTTGTTGCTGTCTGAAAATCCAGAACGAAAATTATTAATCTACATTCTGTCATCACAAATTTTTAAAAATTTTATTCTCATACCTTGTAAAAGTTGTTAGAGAATGCTTCCAAAGCATCAGTAAAGTAAGTGTTTGCATTAAGTGCATCGCGTGCTTCCTTTAAATAAACATCACTAGCTATAACGATAGAAATGCTAATTTCCACCAGTAGACAAATCAGTAAATCTAGAAAATGAAAATGTAAAATTAAAGCAAATTAATAATTTGTTTCAAATGTTATGTATTACTGCGTGAACCGCCCCGAGTCGGAATTTAAATCCTACTTTCAACCGCTATTTAGAGTTTTAGTTAGGTTGATAGCAGGGTTTCAATTTTTGACTCATATATTCAAATGTAGATAGTGTCTTTTTAAATCAAAACGGTATATAGTATTATGGTAAGAAAAAAATTCTATTTTTCACAGAGTGGATTTAAGAGATATTATACTTACAAAGCTTCATCTTCAATGCTGTAATTTTCAACTATAAGAGTTTTAATTTTTCGAAATTAATTGAATCGAACTTGGTGACTTTCTGAAAATAATGATTAGACGCTGTCGTATTTAAAGCGAAACGTCTAAACGCTTTATTTCATTAATATATACATTATATTATCTTTTGTTTACTTTATACAAGTGTTTGAACTCTATCGTTAATTTAGTATTTTCATTTTATAGTTTACCTTTACAGTGAGTTTTTGCACGTGTAACTTTAAAGGCAATGTCATTATCAAGGTATATTTACGATACGTATATGGAAACACCGAAAAAAATATAATAATTACTAAAATAGTTATTTGATTCCATAAAAAATTTGTAAAAAATATTCAAACTCAGCAATTAGGAAATTATTTTTTTCAAAGTAACGCATAGAATTTTAATTCAAATTTTTTTTTTTATAAAAATAAAATAAAGTTTTAATATTATTACAATCATAATAATAATAATAATATATTCTGACAATGCAGGGTACTTTTATTTCTCTATTTTGTAAACAATTTTCTTTTCTGAGAAAATTATACTTTTCTCACAGAAGTATACATAATTTTCCTACTTGTTACCTACCTTATAATTCTATAAGGAATACAAACTTTCTTTCAAGGTTAAATAACCCTAAATTACGTATATTTGGAGATGTTTCGAATGTTCATTGAATGGGAATATAATGATGTATTTTTGAAAACATTTTCCATTCCATAAGGTCAAGTTAAATATTTCCAACGTCCTTTGTAATTCGCATTTTATTCAAACCTTTGCGGCTACTGTATATACAAAAATTGTTAAATTTTAACATTCAAAGTTGGAAAAATTCGGTAATAAAAAATGTTTATTAAAAGTAGAAATTATCTTTTTATATTCTTATATACCGTGCGCGTGCCATTAATTGCTGCAAGAATAGAGGAATGTATGGATAATTTAAACAACTACGTGGAGAAGAATTTCAAACCCTATCAAGTTGCACTTCTGACTAATCCGAATACTCTCTCGATTGAGAAACAAATAATTTTGTCAGTATTACGAAATTTGCCCTACATTCGAATCGATCCTGAAAAAATGTCATCAGAAGATTTAATGAAATCAATGAAGCATCCATCGTTCGGTATTCCAAGGGAGACATCCCTATTCCTTCTGGTCGAGTACCAGAATAAATCCTCCTCCTTGGCATCATTGAATTATTTAACAAATCTTACACCTGCGAAAGCTCGTCCTACAACATTATTGATTTCCTTCACTACGGAAAAATCATCATATCAAGAATTTCTCCATCAAATGTGGTTGAAACAATTCCTGGATTTTACAATTCTAGAAATGGAAAATGAACCAAAAAGATGGATTCGTAAATTAAAACCGTTTGTTCATCATTACAATCCTTTTTTGAAGACTTATTCAAAAAAAGTATGTTCTGTAACAACGGATTGGTTTCCGAATAAATTGTTAAATCTTCAGGGTTATCTGATAAAGGGTGGTTTGTACGTGAAACCACCATTCAGTTTAGCTACATATGATAAAGCTACGGGACAATTAGTAAATTGTAGTGGTGTGGATGTGAAGAGGTTTTACACTTTATCCGAAGCTATGAATTTCACAGCATATATCGATTCGAACGTACACTCAACACTTGGCGTGGTTGGGGGAAGTAATGCAACCGGACTGTTGGATAAACTTTCAAACAACGAGATTAGTATAATTGTCACATCGGACATTCGTTTTCGACCAGCTGCAGACGGTGCACTATACGAATATTCAAGTACAATTGCATTGGAATCGGTTGTTGCCCTAATTCCCATCACTCGCACCAACACTCAGCAAGAATATCTAAGCGTTAAAAGTCTATTCTCAAAAATTATTTTCTTCATAACTTTTGTCATAATAATGTGGGTAGTAATAAGTAGACACAAAAGTGAAAATAACTTTTGGAAACCAGAAGAAATTGCAGCTATTGTACTATCAACAACAATACAACAGCAACCAACTAATTTTGGTAATCGAATCTTCTTCACATACCTGATAGCAATTGGTTTCTACTGTTCCTTTAGCCTACTGGCTGGTCTAACCGCGACTAAAATAAATAATTCCAAAGAAGATGCAATCGATACTTTCATCGATTTGGCAAAATCACCTTTGACACCAATAATTCATCCTAATATTCATAGAATACTTGGTGACGATGCAGAAGATGTTAAACTGCTAAAGGAAAAAATGCTTCTTGGCGAACTTGTCGATACTGAATGTATTTCCACTCTTGTGAAATACAAGAATGTTTCTTGTATTATTAATTCATCGTACGCAAAGCAATTAGTTGAATTATTAAGAGATGGAGATGGAAATCCTCTGAGTAAGGTACTCAAGCAGAATTTTTTTAATGCAATGCGAGTTGAAGGTTTGGAAAAAAGTTCACCCTACAAACCAAGAATGAATAAACTAATTGATATTTTCGTTGAATCTGGTTTGCAAATTAATTGGGAGAATAACAATTTGAATCGAGAGTTGATTTTCCATATTCTTAATCACAGGAAAAGTTCGATAAAAATTAAAGACGTTGGTGCTGTGTCTGAACTGAAGACTGTACTTCTCTTTGTATTGATTCTGGGATATTTTCTTGCCCTTCTAATTTTTGCGGGAGAACTATTGGGCAAAAAAATCGCATTACAATGTTTTCGCTTCAAATTTTAAATTCTTTCATAAAATGGTAATTAATTGACTGAAGGTCGTTCTCATTTAGTAACAATCCGTAACGATGTATTAAAATCTTAATTTTTGACTTTAAAATGAAAATTTAATTAAAACAAATATCAGGAATTGAAAAGGGGTCACTTTATTTTAAAATTCTTTGTAATTGTAATTAAAATGTACAAACTACATCGCTTTTTCTTTATTATATATAAATTATTCTTAATAAATGAATTATGAATGGGATATTTAATTTCTGTTTTTTTTTTGAGAATTTCCACTACTTTAAATTCACTAATAGGCTAATACTATAGAAATCAAAAAACTATTCTTAAAAATTTTAATCAAATTCTTTTAAAACGATTCAATTATTTTCATAAAATATTCGAAATTCATTTTCAATATCTCTAGTATTTTCATAAAATTATGCAAAAAAATGCAATTATTTAAAAAAAAAGTTCGATAAAATTTATTCAAAATTCAATTATTTTCATAAATAAAATTAAATTTCCAAAAGAATTCAATTAATTTAGAATATTTTCAAAAAAATTTCGAAAAAATCAACATTAACAAAATTTTTATACAATTCTTGACAATAATTCAAATACTTATTTATTCACTAATATTTTTCATGGAAATGCAATTATTTTTAAAAAAAAACTTTTTGATAAAATTCTAATAAGCAAGAATTTAATTATTTTCGGATAAATAATAAAAACTCATCGAAAAATTTCAATTATTTTTAATACTATTTTAAATTAATTAATTAAAAAATTCAATTTTCACAAATAAAGTTTTCCACAAGAATTCAATTATTTATAATGAAATTTTCATAATATTTATTATAGGTATATTTCGAAAAAATAAATTATTTAAAACAATATTAATAAAATTATTATGAATAATTTAATTATTTTAAAAAATAACAAAATTTCTCACAGAAATTCAATTCTTTTTAATATTACCAATAAATCAATTATTTTAATAAATAATAAAATTCATCGCAGGATTTCAATTATTTTTCATACAATTTATACAGGAATTGCTCATAAAAAGTAATAAAATAATAAATATAAAATAAAAAATAAAATAAAAATAATAAAATTAATAAAATTATTATTATTATTCATTATTAATAAAATTATTCTTAAGAATTTAATTTCAATTCCTCGAAAAAATAAATTATTTAAAAAAAATGTTTTTTTAAAATTCTTTGAAAAAATGCAATTATTTACAACAATATTACAATTTTTTCACAGGAATTCAATTATTTTTAAATATTTTAATAAAATTGTTCGAAAGAAATTAATTTAGATTTTAATAGAATTCTTCCCAAGAATTAATAATTATCTACATAAATAATTTTTGAAAAAAATTCAATTCTTTCGATAAATAACAAAATTATTCCCGAAAATTCAATTATTTTAAGGAGTTTTAATAAAATTCGTTGCAAAATTCAATTATTTTTCATAAATAACAATATTCATCACAAGAATTCAATTATTTTTAAAAGTATAATACATTTCTTCTTGGAAATTCAATTATTTTAAAAAATCCTAATAAAATTGTTCGCAAGAATTCAATTATTATTTTCATTAATAATAAAAATAATAATCTTCTCAAGAATACAATTATTATTGAAAATTTATTACAATTTTACAGGAATTGATCAAAAAATGTAATTTTTTTTAAAATTTAATGTCCATTCCTAGAAAAAATAAATTATTTAAAAAAAAATTTGTTTTTAAATTCTTTGGAAAAATTCAATTATTTACAACAGTATTAGAATTTTTCCACAGAAATTCAATTATTTTCTCATATTTTAATTAAATTGTTCGAAGGAATTCAATTATTTCGATAAATATTAAAATTTTTTCCAAGAATTCAATTATTTTAAGGCATTTTAATAAAATTTTTTTGCAAAATTCAATTATTTTTATGAATAACAATATTTACCACAAGAATTCAATTATTTTTGAAAGTAATAAATTTCTTCTTGGAAATTCAATATTATTTTAAAAAATTCTAATAAAATCGTTCGTAAGAATTCAATTATTTTCATAAATAATAAAATACTTTTTAGAAATTCAATTATTTTCAAAAACATTTAATTTAATGTCACACAGACATTCTATTCTTGTCAAAAATTTGGTACGCATGATTATTCCCCAAATGTTATTTTTCCGAAATGTCATTTTACCGAACTGCACTTTTGCGAAATTTCATTTTTGAGAAATGTCATTTATGCGAATTGTCATTTTTGCGAAAAGCCATTTTTGCGAATAGTAATTTTTGCGAAAAGTCATTTTTAAGAAATTTTCATTTTTGCGAATTGTCATTTTTGCGAATCGCCATTTTTACGAATTGTCACTTTTGCGAATTGACATTTTTACGAATCGCCATTTTTACGAATTGTCACTTTTGCGAATCGACATTTTTACGAAATGTCATTTTTGCGAATAGCCATTTTTACGAATTGTCAATTTTTTGAAAAGTCATTTTTGCGAATTGTCATTTTTGCGAAAAATACAATAGTGAATCTATATACCTATACCTACAAGTTTACTATTGTATTTTTCGCAAAAATGACAATTCGCAAAAATGACTTTTCGGAAAAGTGACAATTCGTAAAAATGGCGATTCGCAAAAGTGACAATTCGCATAAATGACATTTCTCAAAAATGAAATTTCGCAAAAATGGCAATTCGCAAAAATGACAATTCGCAAAAACGACAATTCGTAAAAATTACTTTTCGCAAAAATGGCTATTCGCAAAAATGACATTTCGTAAAAATGTCGATTCGCAAAAGTGACAATTCGTAAAAATGGCGATTCGTAAAAATGTCAATTCGCAAAAGTGACAATTCGTAAAAATGGCGATTCGCAAAAATGACAATTCGCAAAAATGAAAATTTCTTAAAAATGACTTTTCGCAAAAATTACTATTCGCAAAAATGGCTTTTCGCAAAAATGACAATTCGCATAAATGACATTTCTCAAAAATGAAATTTCGCAAAAGTGCAGTTCGGTAAAATGACATTTCGGAAAAATAACATTTGGGGAATAATCGCATGCGTCCCAAAAATTTTAAGGGGTCGTCCATAAACCACGTGGACAATTTTTGACCAATTTTTGACCAATTTTTGATATATACTTTCAAGAAAACTGTGGCATAGAAAATAAACTTACTTTGATACATTTAATTTATAAATTTTATTTATTATTTTATTTTATTTTTTTTATTTTGTTTACATTTTATTTATTTACTTTTGTTAAATAATATCGATAGAAGAATATTTCAAGACAACTTTACATAATACGTTTTGTAATGTAAAAATAAAGCAATAAAAAAACATCATCAATATTCCCTAATAGCAAGTACCGTTTTCATATTATAGTGAAAGGAGAGTGTTTTTAAAATTCGGTAGCGTAATATATGTATCGAGGAAGCCTATAATGTGATGGCGCTTCACTAAATTTAGATGTTTATATATATATATATATATATACATGCTCATTATTCAGTTAGAATGTATATTAGAATATAAAATTGTTCCTTTGACGAGATAGGTACTCAATAAAGACCTTGATCTTTGAGGAATAAACGGTTTTCAAAATTATGGAATAGTTTAAAACTCTAATAATATAATATGTATCCCGAGTAATTTAATTTTATAACCTGCATGTAATAATTTATTTAATTTTAAAAAAATATTAATATGCAAATTTTTATTCACTTAAAATTTATTATTCCTTTCATTGATGCAATTTTTGAAAGAAAGATAATTATTTATTTTTTTTTAAATAAAACAATATTTAATTATTTTTTATTTAACAATATTAATGATAAAATTGTATTTTTTGTATCAAAAATATTAAACAAATATAGTTATTTTAAAGTATAAACATTTTATGCCTATATTATTATAAAATTATTTTTTTTTCTAACTGTTTAAATTTTAATTTAAAAAAACTTTTTTTAGGTACATAAATATTTTTATTTAGAGTTTATAATGTATTTAAATTAATATATTTTTATTGTTTTTTTTATAACTAATTTCAATTTAAAATTATTGTTTAAAATAAAACAAATTTTTTATTATTTTTTATTTAACAATTAATGACAATATTGTAATTTTTGTATAAAAAATTTTAAGCAAATATATATAGTTATTGTAAAGTAAACATCTTATGCCTATAGATTATTATAAAATTATTTTTTTTCTGTTCAAATTTTAATTTTAAAAAGTTTTTTTTTAGATATACACATAGATATCTATATTTAGTTTAATTTATTTAAATTAATTTACTTTTATTTATTTTTAAAAACTAATTTCAATTTTAAATTGCATTCAGAAAATTTATTTTTACGAAAGAATTCAAAATTCAGAAGAAAGTAAATTTTTTTTTTAGATTCATTTTGAGTTTTTTTTAAAACACTAAATGTTATAATTTTGTTATACATATTGTCCCTATATTGTTTTATAAGGATTATGAACAATTTTAGTTTTACTCAATTTTTTGCTTAATTAAGACTTAATTAAGAATATCAAAATTTTGATATTAAACTTGACCTTTATGATGATGGCATTGAAAATCGTAATTTAAAATTAAAAATTGCTATACCGATTTATTTTCTTTTCATTCTTATAGAAAAAAAACGAATAAATTTTATAATTGACATAATAACCGCTAGACATTGAATAATCGACTATTATATTGTTTCTTGTTATAATTCAAACAACGTCAGTGATTTTGTAATAAAATTCATAATATATAATAAAATTAAATATGTATGACGTACATCCATATTTGTCACTGAATCAATATGTACTATTAAGGAAGTTTAGATAGAAATTTATTTGTGTATTATTCCCTTATTAATAGAATTAATAGACTAAAATCTACATAACATTTTACCTGATTTTATAAAAAAAGGAACCTTTTTAAATTGGGAAACTATAAAAATTGAAAATTGAAGGCTCTCTCGATTCTAATTAACATTTCCGCTTCTTGTATATTCATTAAATATATATTTATCGAATATATTTCTATATAGAAGATCATTTTCTATTTTGAAACCGAAATTATCATCTCAATATGTATGTACCTTTCCATTTCACTGACCAGTATATATAGTCTTAATTTTGAAGAAGTAAGCATCAGTTTTTTATTGATTCCTCTTCTGTTCAAAAGCATCTTTCTTATTCGGGAGTTTGAAAAATTTTCTACTCATCATGAAATTTGTAAGTAATTTTTGTAAAAAAAATATTTTAAATACAGTGATCGATCAAGGCATCAAAATTATTAAATACCACCGAGTGTTACTTCAATTTATATTTTATAAACTTGTACTGCAACCTAGCAGTACCTTCCTCTTTGTACATATAAAGAAGTTAAAATACTTTTTACTTCAACTTCACTTTCAATTAAAAATTTTCATCTTCACCGGGTATTTTAAATTTTTGTTTATTTTTTCAAGAAGCTTAAGAAGTAAAAAATTTGTTACTGCGGAAAAAAAATTAAGAAAAGATTAGAATTAACGAAAATCGGGTTTAATTGTTTAAATTTTAAGAAAATTTGATGATTTGAATAAACTGATGATATTATACTTTCTTTTGCAGATGGTGGTATTTGGAGCCATTTTGGCTGTAGCTGCTGCTGGTCGTCTTCCTGGACATCGTGATGCTGATTACTACAATTATCAGCAGCCAGCTGCCTCAGAGAATGTACCATCTGCTGGTTACGATTACCCCAAGCCGGAAGCTCAAACAAGCCAACTTTACGCAGCACCTGCACCACAACAGACGAGACAAGTCAGCAACGCTTATCTTACTCCCCATCAACAACCACAGGAATCCAGACAAGTCAGCAACGCTTATCTTACTCCCCATGCTCACCATCAACAACCACAGGAATCCAAACAAGTCAGCAATGCTTATCTTACTCCCCATGCTCACCATCAACAACCACAGGAATCCAGACAAGTCAGCAACGCTTATCTTACTCCCCATGCTCACCATCAACAACCACAGGAATCCAGACAAGTCAGCAACGCTTATCTTACTCCCCATCAACAACCACAGGAATCCAGACAAGTCAGCAACGCTTATCTTACTCCCCATCAACAACCACAGGAATCCAGACAAGTCAGCAACGCTTATCTTACTCCCCATGCTCACCATCAACAACCACAGGAATCCAAACAAGTCAGCAATGCTTATCTTACTCCCCATGCTCACCATCAACAACCACAGGAATCCAGACAAGTCAGCAACGCTTATCTTACTCCCCATGCTCACCATCAACAACCACATGAATCCAGACAAGTCAGCAACGCTTATCTTACTCCCCATCAACAACCACAGGAATCCAGACAAGTCAGCAACGCTTATCTTACTCCCCATGCTCACCATCAACAACCACAGGAATCCAAACAAGTCAGCAATGCTTATCTTACTCCCCATGCTCACCATCAACAACCACAGGAATCCAGACAAGTCAGCAACGCTTATCTTACTCCCCATGCTCACCATCAACAACCACAGGAATCCAGACAAGTCAGCAACGCTTATCTTACTCCCCATCAACAACCACAGGAATCCAGACAAGTCAGCAACGCTTATCTTACTCCCCATGCTCACCATCAACAACCACAGGAATCCAAACAAGTCAGCAACGCTTATCTTACTCCCCATGCTCACCATCAACAACCACAGGAATCCAGACAAGTCAGCAACGCTTATCTTACTCCCCATCAACAACCACAGGAATCCAGACAAGTCAGCAACGCTTATCTTACTCCCCATGCTCACCATCAACAACCACAGGAATCCAAACAAGTCAGCAATGCTTATCTTACTCCCCATGCTCACCATCAACAACCACAGGAATCCAGACAAGTCAGCAACGCTTACCTTGCGCCACAAGAATCCAGACAAGTCAGCAATGCCTATCTTGCCCCCCAAGCTAGCCAACTTGACAACTCTTACATTCCACCAAACCATCAATTCTAATTTGTTGTTATTATAAAAAAAAAGAAAAGAAACTTATTGTAACGCTCTTTATAAATGATCTAAAATGAAATAAATAAATGAATACTACTGATATACTTCAGGTGTATGATTTCTTCCCCCCCCCTAAAAAAACCTATAATGTCCTTTCTTAATCCTTTCTTAAAAAAGACATGGAGTGGAAAGGTCGAATGTATCGAAAAGTATCGAAGTAAAGAATGGGCAATGAGAATGTAAAATCTTAATAGAAGGGTGTTTTTAAAATTGTTTGTACATGTGAAGGTGGCGCTGCAGTCGTATGTTTGTTACGAGCACAAATGTAAATTACTCGCGCAAACGCGATTACTGCTCGGTGATTCGTTGAGTTCAGAATTTGGTTAAATCCTTGATAGGAACCGGGAAATTTCAAATAATAAACGTGAATATTCCGTTAAAACGGAGGGAAAAAGCTCACAAGTAGAATAAGTCATTCAATAATTAATAAAATTAATTATTGAAGGAAATCAGTCTTCTTGAGAGTAAACCCAAATATTTATTTACTAAAAGTTCAAGAATACAAGTTATGACTAAGGAAGCTTAGAAGCAACCTTTCTAGTCAATAGTCAACTTAAAAATCATCTGTAGTTACAGTCCAGCGGACTTGTTCTCCGCTGTTAGTCCATGTTGGAGGAAATGCGCATGTTCTAAATGACGCGCATCCCCCACTATACAGTAGTATAGTATAGTATAGTAGTATCCCCACTATATAGTAGATACATTTATGCACTTCACTAATACTAATACCGACTCATACGTCATACTTGTCGATGTTGATACATACACATTCATCATAACATTATGATTCCAATAATTATCACATGATAATTATTTCAATATATATATATACACATGCATACATTCTAATAATAATATTTATATTTATAATAATTATATTTACACCTGTACATGACACATACGTGTTACAAATATAGTAAATATTATATAGAATTATACATAGTTAATGGTCATGATAGTTATAACAAATTAATTGTTTAACTATAAAGCTTGAATGTAGTTTATTTACAAGTCTTAATTCATTATCAATTATATTATAATAATTGATTAGATGTTAGATTGATAGAAATAATCTAATATGCAAATTACAATTATTTATAAAAGTAGTGGAATAATTAACATTTCTAAAAAGTATTGAAAACTGGGTTTTTCCAGTACGTGATTTTATCCTGAGAAAAAGGATAAAATGTACGTTGGTCAACCGATGTGTTTTATGGTTTTACCTCCAAAGAGGGTCTACTTGAGAATTGAAAGACAGTTTTTTATGACATCTTTGGGGTTATCTCTCTTAGTTTATGGTTGACAATTGTGTTTGAGTTTTAAGGGTATATTGTCTTCAGAGTGACAATACACAAACTCATATTGCTGGAAATGTGTTTAAACCTTACTATTTTTTGTAGCGATATTTTCAAAGACACTGTGTCTGCGAAACATATGTATTTCATCTTTTGTTATATTTCGGCTATTGATAGAGAGATATTTGAAGAATACAATATTTTAGGAACATATTTACTAAATCGAACGCAGAAAGTTCTTCTCAATCTATGGACAGGATATTATTTTTTAAAATATAAAATTAATATTATATTTTCCCGCGACTTTTAATCGCATTTCGATTAATATCGAATCACGATTCGAGCGAGATAATAGTCGCTCGTTACACCTTCCCCCTTAATAAAAAAGAATAATTGATTATTCGAAAATATGATAATAATAATTATGCTTAAAGTGATAAAATATCTATCTTATTTTATTTTTTTTTTGTTTTATTTTTATTTATTTATTTATTTATTTTTTATTTATTTATTTATTTCTTTTTTTTTTTTATTTTTTTTTTATTTATTTATTTTTTTTATTTATTTATTTATTTATTTTACTTATATATATTTATATATTTAAAGAAAAAGAAATTTACGCAATTTATTACCGCGAATTGCGCAACCAGTAAAGCTTATGCAAATGAGCCTTAAGGTTTTTGATTCGTTGTGAACCGGGCTTGAGCGGTTCGGTTATGAAGTTGTCTATCTCTGACTGAATATGTAGTTCACGTTTGTCAATGTTTACATACGTAAATTGTTTGTTTATGAAAAATAATTGGAAATATAATAATAATTAATTTATAAGGAGTTAGATGTGCAAAGTTTGGAAGAAAAAATAGAGCAAGTCCAAGTTGCTCTTTACACACTCCCTCCCCAAAAAGGAATTACGAATTAATTATTTTGACAATATATTATTCACAAAAATGAGAAAACAAATTTTTGGTAACTATTTCCGAGTTTAAAAAACAATTAAAACTGTATTTGTTTGATTATTATATCAATCTATGAAAGGTAAGATTTATATAATTTACTTTATCTCAAAATAATTTGAGTGTTTGTGGTCAAAGGAGGTTAGTATGTACAACTTTAGTTTTACCTCTTTTCATTTCGAGTTCAACGTTACTATTATCAAAACCTTAAATGACTTTAAATGGACCGGCATAATTCGCGTCTAATTTTTTCTTTACATGTAGCTTGTTTTTCAGATAATTTATCACCTAATGTTTTTACAAATAAATGATAAGTGAGTGGAACTTCCTGCTTTGAAAATTCAGAGGGGATGCGAGCCCTTTTTACCGAAAATGAGTTCGTGAGGTGTGAAACCTGTCGCTTCGTATTGTGCAATATTATAGGAAAACATTGCATAAGGTAACCATCTGTCCAAATTTGTTTTCTGACAATAATTTTTAAGATATTGTACTAAAACATGATGGTTCCTTTCTAGAGATCCTAGAGACTGCGCATGGAATGCTGTGGAACAATTTTCTTAATTTTTAAAATTTTACAAAATTCAGGATGAATTATTTTTGGACAGCCGAAACGAACAATAAATCGTTAAGACAAGGCTGAATTGATGATTGGACTGAAGGCCATGCAATTGAAAAGGGGTCTCGAAATTAGTTTTTCTGATTTAAGAGAAAAAAAAATTTTTTTTTTTTGTCTTTTAATTTAAATACCAAATTTTTTTTTTTATATAAATTTACTTTTAAATCTTTTCCGCCCTCGAGAATTTTCGTGCTTGTTTCGCTATTAACAAAATCTTCATCACTTGAAATTCGTCGTTATCTGTGAAGTCGTAATCCTCGTGTACGGCTGCACTCGCACCATGACCTGATGCAGACAACAATCTGCCATCAATGTCATTAAAATTGTGCAATTCTCGTGATTCTGAGGAGAAAGTACGTTATCACCAAAGACATCACAATCTTGAGAATTGCGTCTCCGTCCAAGTCGTTCTTGACCGTCAGGAGAAAGGGTAACTTCTGTTCTCTGACTCAGTCCGAGTACATACGCCCCGACAACCTCGTCATTAGCGAGAACATTAGTTGAGGAGGTACACAAGTTCTGTCTGTGCACCAACCTCGTCATTCGAGGAGACACACAAGTTCTGTCTGTGTGCCCATCTCGAACCAAACCAGGCTCAGAGAATGTATCTGAGACAAGGTCAATACAGGGTACATGCTGCGTTTCGAGCCTTCTTTATTCAAAGATACCCTCTCCACATGCACCCCCGGTTTGAGTGACAGGGATACCCCCAAGGAGTCCGGTCTTCACAATTAACATTTTGGTCATTAATATGTGACCTTTTCCTAACAAATTTTCTTTTGTCATTTCATTCTCTAGAATATGGAAGCAGTCAGTGTCGATCTCGTTATTATTTTCTGTACTTTGGGAGGTTAGGTTAGGATGCACAGGTGACAAGGTCACCTCGTGCACCGGGTTTGAATTTAATTCCAAAGGATCTACTTAGTCATTCATTCATTCATAAGTACAGAATTATCGATTGTCGACACTTCCTCCTCTGGCACATCCCAAGGATTACGTGACAAGGCATTCGTAATTTGAACACCTTTTTTATAAACAATTAAAAGTTGAAATTTACTCAACTGTGCACGCCATCGTAAAATTTTCGAGTTAGGTTTTTTTTTCATGTTCTGAAGCCATATAAAAAGTTTATGGTCAGTTTCGATTTTACATGAGCGACCAAACAAATGGGGTCTAAAATTCTCTACAGAAAAAGCATAGCGAGAACTTTGCCATTAAAATTTTGGCTTAAAACGCCTACAATGCCATATTGAGAAACGTCAGTGGATAAAATAAGATCCTTAGAAAAGTCAGGATATTAAAGCAAGGGTTCAGTACACAAAATGTCCCTTAATTTATTAAAAGCGTAGTAATGAGCTTCTTTAAAACCTGTTTTAAAAAACATTGAACGAATATGAACTATCAAATATTGGGATTTATTCAGCAATTGCTTGAAGAGCCCTAATATCATACGGCTTCTCGAAATTAACTCTTTGGGTTGAATTTGAATTGCAAAGGTTTGACTCTATATTCCGAGTTTTTGTTTCGTTTCTTTTATCTAAATTGCGGACGAAATTAGCAATTTCAATAATATCGTCCTCTTTAAACTTTGAAAAAATATCCTTAGATTGAGAAGGACCCTTTGACATAACAGAATTTGTTTTGTTATTATGAGTTCCAATACTGTCGATACTTAAAATAGAATCACGTTCATCAACATTATCATTATCTGAAATTTCAGCATCATACGTGCCGTCATCGATCACATTTTGATTTATGGGACTTTCCTCCCAACCTTTGTTATTTCCCATTTTGAAAAATTTGAAAATTATAAATTCAACAAAATTAAACTCAATTTGATAAATATTAGACAAATTTTTAAATTATTTTTAAAAATCAATTTGATTAATACAAATTCAAAAATTCATGAATTCGACAAAATTAAACTGGATTTGATAAATATTAGACAAATATTTAAAAATTATTATAAAAATCAATTTGATTAATATAAATTCAAATAATTCAAAATACTGTTTAACAATAAAAATGTCAATTAAATTAGATAATTCTATTATTATTAATACTTCTAATAAGCAAGAAAATTTATAAATTGAGTTAAAATTCGAAATAAATTATGTGATCGAATTTAGGCATTACAGTAAAACTTATAATTAATCAAACCTTTATTCCAGACCTTTATTCCACTGTTGAGGAATATTGTAGCACAACACTAATAAAATTTTTATTTTCGGAAATGACCTTTTTTTCTCTTTGAGAATTCACTCCCGCACAACACAACACAGGTTAAGCAGGTCAGGAACATGTAGATTGATCACCGCCAAGGAAGAAGAATCTCAGGATTTCTGAAGAATCGTTTTGTTGAATCCAGCAGCAATATTTTTTTTTTAGTGAAAGATTTGATATGGTTAAATATTTGTTTTTTCTATTTAATAATTACACCTTATTTATCAATTAACTGTATTTAATAGTGTAATTAATAGTTCATAAATAAAATAAACCATAAAATTGTCTATCTAGGAGCACTTTTATTCAGATATTAAAATAGAAATTCACTGATTATATGTCATTCTCCTTTTTGTGTAAAGAAAACAAAACAATAAATTTCAAAAATGAAAATTTAAATTTATAAAATTTCCAAATGTTTACAAGTTTATCGCAAACAAACACTTTAAAGGTCTTTAATGAAAAGAAGATTGTCAGCACTTGTTCGCAATAACTGAGTTCAAAAATGTCACTTCAAGATGCACTTTTAATTTTAAAGTTTCCGCAATCACATTAAATTTTGAATTTCCGTACCAAATCCCGGGCACGAGCCCCCAATTTATGTTACGAGCACAAATGTAAATTACTCGCGCAAACGCGATTACTGCTCGGTGATTCGTTGAGTTCAGAATTTGGTTAAATCCTTGATAGGAACCGGGAAATTTCAAATAATAAACGTGAATATTCCGTTAAAACGGAGGGAAAAAGCTCACAAGTAGAATAAGTCATTCAATAATTAATAAAATTAATTATTGAAGGAAATCAGTCTTCTTGAGAGTAAACCCAAATATTTATTTACTAAAAGTTCAAGAATACAAGTTATGACTAAGGAAGCTTAGAAGCAACCTTTCTAGTCAATAGTCAACTTAAAAATCATCTGTAGTTACAGTCCAGCGGACTTGTTCTCCGCTGTTAGTCCATGTTGGAGGAAATGCGCATGTTCTAAATGACGCGCATCCCCCACTATACAGTAGTATAGTATAGTATAGTAGTATCCCCACTATATAGTAGATACATTTATGCACTTCACTAATACTAATACCGACTCATACGTCATACTTGTCGATGTTGATACATACACATTCATCATAACATTATGATTCCAATAATTATCACATGATAATTATTTCAATATATATATATACACATGCATACATTCTAATAATAATATTTATATTTATAATAATTATATTTACACCTGTACATGACACATACGTGTTACAAATATAGTAAATATTATATAGAATTATACATAGTTAATGGTCATGATAGTTATAACAAATTAATTGTTTAACTATAAAGCTTGAATGTAGTTTATTTACAAGTCTTAATTCATTATCAATTATATTATAATAATTGATTAGATGTTAGATTGATAGAAATAATCTAATATGCAAATTACAATTATTTATAAAAGTAGTGGAATAATTAACATTTCTAAAAAGTATTGAAAACTGGGTTTTTCCAGTACGTGATTTTATCCTGAGAAAAAGGATAAAATGTACGTTGGTCAACCGATGTGTTTTATGGTTTTACCTCCAAAGAGGGTCTACTTGAGAATTGAAAGACAGTTTTTTATGACATCTTTGGGGTTATCTCTCTTAGTTTATGGTTGACAATTGTGTTTGAGTTTTAAGGGTATATTGTCTTCAGAGTGACAATACACAAACTCATATTGCTGGAAATGTGTTTAAACCTTACTATTTTTTGTAGCGATATTTTCAAAGACACTGTGTCTGCGAAACATATGTATTTCATCTTTTGTTATATTTCGGCTATTGATAGAGAGATATTTGAAGAATACAATATTTTAGGAACATATTTACTAAATCGAACGCAGAAAGTTCTTCTCAATCTATGGACAGGATATTATTTTTTAAAATATAAAATTAATATTATATTTTCCCGCGACTTTTAATCGCATTTCGATTAATATCGAATCACGATTCGAGCGAGATAATAGTCGCTCGTTACATGTTATTTAAAAAGAGCGCGAATATATAAATTTTATTTTTGTTAAGAGAAAGTACTCATAATAAATCTTATTTTGCATTGTCAAAAAAACGTCAACATTTCAAATATAAATAAGCAAATTATTAACTGAAAAAATTTGAATATTATTATTATTATTAATGAAATAATGGACTTGGACAATGGACATATAAAAACTAGCACCGTAGACGGCCGTCGGAGGAGCTAGTCGAATAAAAATAAAAAGTTGAGCACAATTGGTTCGCGAAAGTCGTTCGCGAACGAGACGCATGAGATTCAATTCTTTTCATGAATAATAAAAATTGTCATCAATTCAATTATTTAAATTAGAATTTGCATAAAATTAGTTGAAAGAAATTAATTATTTAAAATTTTTTATAAAATTCTTTGCAAGAATTAAATTATTTTTCAAAATATTGAAATTCTTTCATGAATAATAAAATTCGAAGCAGAAATTCAATTTATTAGTAGGATAAGAAAGAAGTAAATATTTTTGATGAAAATTAGGAAAAAGGCAGAAAATTAAAAAATATGGAATGGAATTTTTGTTAATTTTGTGAAGTGAATAAAACGAGTTTTTTTTTACATTAAATAAAATGACAATAACCCACAAAAAATTAATTTTCAAAACAAACAAATGAATGCAGAGAATTTACTAACGGAAAGGAAACTTACGATTATTATAAAGTATATATATTCAATATAATATATAAATAAAGTATAAATATTCAATATATTGTGGGATTTAAAATATTATAATTATAAATTTTTATAATGAAATTATAATGTTTTTTTTAAACTATATTTTAATTAATTAGAAATTTAATTTCAATAAAATTATTAACATTAATTTACCTCTATTTGGTTTTAATTAAAAATAAATTTTTAAAAAAAATAATTTTTAAGTGCAAATTAAATGTTATAATATTCTAACTATTATTCATTTGAATTTAAAATATTCAATAAAATAATGTAAGGTAAATATATAGTTGTTAAAAAAATTAAAAGTATTTTATCAACTTTGATAAAATTGTTGAAATAAAAATAGTTAGAAGTTTTAAAAAATAAAATTGAGGGCAATAAAATTTTTAAATAAAAGAAAGAAAAAATTGTTGATAAGCATAGTATAGTAAAAGAAATAAAAAAGTATGAATTTAAAGTAAAAATTTTAATTGATAAAACTTTTAAATAAAAATTAATTGTTGGAGGTAATATAGTAAAAAAGATTATTAAAATTAAAATTAAAATTTTGTAATAAAATGGAATAAAATAAATGTCATGAATGAAGGTTAGATTAAAAAAATTAAATATAGATGTAGCAATAAATAAAATAACGGAGTAAATTATAAAATAATTAGATCATATTGAATAGTCCCAAATTAATAAATTTAGAAATCAAGTTATTTGATTTATAGATGAGAATCTAATAATAAGTTTCAATAAATTAGTGTCTATAATTATAAAGAATCTGGAAGTTAAGTTAAAAATTAAAATTAAGTAAATTAAATTAATTATGTAAGATATTTCTTTAAATGAATTAATATTATGGAACAGGTAAAAAGGTAAAATTTTTTGTGAAGTATTATTAATAAAAAATTTCTTGATCAATCTATATTAATTAATAAATGTATGTATCATCATAAAAATGGTCAAGTTCCTATTTTTATTAAAATGGCTAACAAAATTATTATTAAGAATAAGGTTGAATAGTATATTAGAGAATAATATATATATATATATATAAAAATTTATAATACTTATATATGATTCAAATAACCGATGAATTGACTAAATTATCAATTAAATACTTATACTTGAATCAAATAATATTTATTGAAGTCAATTAAATAATTACTATTGAATCAAAAAATATTTATTGAAGTCATATTAAATATTTACTTGAAACAAATAATATTTATTGGAGTTAATTATATAATAGGTTAGGGGCCGTTCGCGTTCATAAACTACGTTACCAATTTTTTTTAGAAATTTTAGACCCCCCCCCCTCCCTCTCTCGTTAACATTGCGTTAAATGGATACCTCACGTTTTACTGTGAAGTGTCAAAGATTTTGATTTTAACTTGTGCGTTTAAATTTTGGAATTATTATGAAAGAAGTTTCTCGCTTCAGTAAAAATTAACAATAAAAATAGTTTATCAAATAATTGTTAAGTTCAACAAGAAATACAATTTCTCTCTTTATTGTATTTTTATATTTCATCTAAGTACTATATGAATATAAATAATATATAAAATATAAATATAAATTTTTAATAACAAATTACAACATTTAAATTAGAGAAGTAGAGAATTGTATAACATATATGTACATTCAAGAAAATGTGAATTATTCTCCATTTTTGTAGTTACCAGCAAACAATACTATTCCATCACTTTCACCAACTGTTTTGATAATTTTATAATGGAATGGATGATTAGCAGCAAACAAAATTGGACCATCTTCACCGCCCATTTTCCAATGGATTTCAGTGTCTATAACAAATATAATATTTTTTTATTGTCAATTATAATGTTTAGACTCAATACATATTTTTACTATTATATACTAAAGATCAGTATTATTTTTCAAATGAATAATTATTATTTACCAGTAGCTGCTGCAGCTTCGGCACCATTTTCGTTGACTTCAATAAATGTTTTCTGCTTTATTTTATTCACTTGAATATTTCCTTCTGAAATTCCACTGAGGTTTGCTTGTTGATTGAATATTTCTTTAATACCCATCTAATTGGAGAAGAAAAATTTTCATCTCTATTATTACATTTTAAGAACTAAGCCGAACTGCTTAACGAACGAAAAGCATCAGTGAAGAAAGAACAAAGATTTGATATTGTCTTTCTTCATCTTATGCTTCTAGTTCGTGAACGACTTTCGCAGATTGTAGAGGTTAGCCTTTATAAAATTTAAATATATTTTCGAAAGGGGTCGTCCATGTACCTCGTAGAAAATTGGGGGGGGGGATGATAAAAAATTTTAAAGAAAGCAAAATTCTTTCAAACCCACCTCTTTTAGAACATCATTTAATTTGATGGTATTTTCTACCCGAAATTTGGGTAAATACAAATCAACTGCTTTTAAAGATCGTTTCATTCTCAGGTTTTTGAGTTTCATTGTTTCTAAATTTTTCTCAACTTGTTCGAGACCGTCAATTAAATTTGGAAGTACAATTATCATTTTAAGTTCATCGCCCTGTAAATGAATTTTCATTTGCATGATTTCGTCAAATAAGATAAATAATTTGTACTTATAAAAGTTATATCCGATTTTATTTTAAATTTCCGAAAATATTTAGAAGAAATTATTTCACCTACCTTGTATGGCAATTCGATAAATGTGGCATTTATTTCAGGAACATATCCAAATTCTGCTTTAACATTCTGATACATTGTGGGTACAGAAATTGTCCTTCGGTCCTCAGTGAAGAAAGCAAGATTCGTAATATCAGAGAATTTGTACTTCCATTCGCCTTTAAAGTAAACGACATTGGTGACAATCATGGCTGTATCTGTACTCAAATCGTCTGTAGGAAAAAAAGAATATTCAGAAATAGAAATACTAAAAATACGCAGTACCTTTCTTCATCCTTAAGTGTAAATACTAAATCCGAAGAAAACATTTCTTAATGTTCGCATTGAATTTGGTAAAAAAACATTCATTATACAATAGTTTGGAAAATAGGTTAAAAACGTTAAAAAGTTACAAAAATTACGAACCAGAACTGACAATATCTCTGATTTTGTCATTTGTTGCTTTTGACACCCATTTGTTGATATTAGTTGCCGCTTGTTCTGCATTAGCAAAATTTATTTCTTCCTCCTCTGAGTGAAAATTCTGTACTAACACATCTTTGTATGTTTGCTTAACATTTAGGAGAGTACTGACAAACATTTTGTTAAAAATTTTTATTTTTGAGCCAGTAACATTCTAAAGAAAACAATAATTGTTACATTATTAATAGAAATCAACCCTAATATTTATGACCCTAATATTAATCTGAGGAAAAGTACCTAACAAGCAAAATTTTATATGTAATATTTATTTTAGATGTAATTAAGACTTAAAAAGTCAGTGGTTTATATTGAGATTTGATATTTTTGTTACAAACATAACCTTCAATTTTTTATTCTTAGACATACCTTTCTTCAAAGCTTGTCAGACATAATAACCAAAAGAATAAAAATTAATACTAAATACTAAAAATAGTGAATCGAAATGACATTTTTGGAATTGCTATGCAGTGTAGTTCCTGTTGCGTAAAAATAATATACTCTTACCATCAAATTTAGAAAAAGATTTTCATAATTAGATTTGGTTTGTTCATCAATTTCTTGTAAATAGAGAGTTTCAAGTATTTCTCTTTTGGTATTCCCCTTTGCTCCTGATGCAATCATACCTAAGGCTAAGTTCACACTCAAGGGGGATAACAAAACATTTTCCGATTTACCCTTTTTTGCTGTCTAAAAATTAGAAAAAAAATATAAGATTAGTGGCTTCCGTTTCCGGTACTGTTGACTTCTGCACACGTTTGTAAAGGGTTAAGAGATTTTGGCAAAATTTTAACTAAGTAATGAAGCTTGGTTAGAGTGCCAAAAAGTACATTTTCAGCAGAAATAGTATTTTAAAGAAAAAAATTGTTATAAAGTAGTAATTTATTTAAAATTATATTTTCTTACAGTTAGTTTAGAATTGTAATTTTTTATCTTAGAAAATACGTTGAATGGCATGGCTGGCATGGCTGGCACGGCTTTTTAATTTGAGGTTATGTTAAAGAGTTAAAATTCTAGGGTTGTACATACCTTGTATAAGTTGTCAGTGAATGTTTCCAAGGCATCAGCAAAAGTAGTATCGAAGCTATATGAATTTTTTACATCATTTGAATTTTGCAGAACATTGTATTTTATTTTTTCGTATTCCTTCTTTTGAGTAGGTGCGTCTACTGCATCTTTTGGTATGTCATGAAATATATTGTAAATTAATTTATCAATTTCCTTCTCATCCACAACAGTGTTAATTACATTCCTTTGAGGAATTTGTTTTTCGGATTTGAATAAAATTGTATTAATATCAGCGTCAAATCTTGGATGAATAGTTCGTTCATCATGAGCTATAATTGTCGAAATACTAATATCTATCAGTAGACAGGCAAGTAAATCTATAAAGAAAAAGATAAACCACAAATTTTAGAGTTTAAAAGGTATTTAGAATCAGAATCCTAAAAAAAATGATTAAAATTTCTTCTTCTTGAATGACTGTACAAAAACATTTTATTTAAATATTTTAAAAGAACTGTGGGGGCACCTTAACGTGCACATACATTCTCGCGAGTTTCCCCTCTAGATGGACGATTAGTTTAGGCAAGTCGGGCTCGGGAGGGGAGATGAGAGAGCAGAACCTCGATAGCGGTAGGACGTGTGTGGAACAAAAGACTGACTTATTAAGTTATTAAAGATAATCAATAAATTCTGTGGATGAAGAAAGGCATAACAGCATAACTGCATTTGTCATGATTTCGAGATAAATTAATTCTAATGTTCTCTCACTTCTGTAAAATCAGAAAAGCAACAGATGTGTTCGGTCTTTTGCGTTTAGTATTATTATTTAATATATTTTCAAAATTCGTTTATTACATTTGCTAACACACGATTTGATATAAATTTTGATAAATTTTTATCTAAATCATAAGTTTTATTGCACTTATGCGGTTATGCAAGTTCAGTTTAAATATGTGTCCAACTTCAGACACTTTTAATGTCACAATTTATTTTGGTTTGGTTTGTCACAATAATAAGAAATGAATTTAATTAGGCTGTTTCACTACATCGAGATATTTCGAGTTCGAGTATGACGTCAGATAGCTGGAAAGAAAACAACAGACGACGCAATGCAATTCTTATGGGAGAAAAAAATTTTGCATTTTCTTTTCAATGTTTTGCAAATTTAATGGATTTTAAACACTTTATATCTACATATATGTAATTGAATTGTTACTTTTAAACAATTTGTACATTTTTTTCTAGCTTAATAAAGTTAATAAACATTTCCATGTTTTAAAATTATTTAGAAATTTATTTAAATAAAATAATAGTCTTAAAGTTTATAATTCATAGGGTACGAATACTTATGGGAGGAACTATTGTATATATCTTGAAATAAAATAATTAAAGTACATAGAACTATAAATAAACGAATCATAAAAATTTAACATAACCTTGCTACTAGCGATTGAAAACACGTGTAGTTTTATCTACTGTTTTCATTGCTTTTATTTACTGTTTTCGAAATGACAAAACGTAATAAAGGAATTATAGAGTAAAACTCGTGATTTAGATGCCAAATATTTGATTACTTTAAGACTATAAACTAAACATAAGGATTTTCTTTGTTAAATATTCTATATTAACACAAAAAATAATTTAAATATTTGAAGGAACATTCAGAGATTTATATAATAAACTTAACATGCATAGATGTTCATATAAACAATAAACATTTCTAAAAAAATTTTTTTTTATTATTTAAAATAAAAAGTAAATTAATGAAGTTATAATTACAAGTTTCATAAAAATATAATATATGTACTTATGAAACCAAAATTTTTTCAAGTATAAAAACACGGTTATAAAAATTTTCAAATTAGTTAGGTACTTTTTATATTTGTCTAATAAAGTTTTTTAAAATTCAAAATGGCGGATTCAATATGGCGGTTATTTTTTTCATATTTAATGGGTTCAGTTGAAATTTGTTACTTGGGGGTTTTTAGGGTTGCTGAATATGAATATGGGCTTGAAATTTAAAAATTCAAAATGGCGGACCCAACATGACAGTTAACTTTTTTTAAAATTCTTTAGAATATGAATCTCTGAATTTAAAAACTACGGGGCTGATACTGGTCATAATATTCTACATAATATGAAGTCCACAATTTCTTTTTATTTATTTAATAAGTTTAAAAAAATTTTTTGTTTCAATTATTCTTTATTTAATTTTTTTAAACGCCATTTGTCATTAAAAAATAGTAACTACTTTTAGAAAGAATTTAAGACTGACCGAGTTTTTAAATAAACCAATTTTTTGAGAAAAAATTCCAATTTTCCTAATTTTTAATAATTTTTCATATAAATAAGAATATTCAGTCTAATGTGGAAAGTATTTAAAAATCACTGTTCAATTTTTAATTTAATAAAAATTATATTTTAATTTTCGTATTAGTGAATTTTAATTTTTACATTCTCATCACATGAGAAGGTATTATTTTTATAATACGAATATAATAATTTCTATTTTAATAAACAAATTTTTTTAGCAAAAGAAAACACTACTTACAAAATTTCATATTAAATGTTGAAATATTTTGTTTTTATATCGAGATTTTTTAAAATTAAATATTGTGAAATTCAATCGTAATCGGAAATAATTTGAAAATGATTATTTGCTGTTGTATTTAAAGACGACCATCAAAAGTCTTGTATTTATTTAATTCTTTATATCATTTTTGTTTCTTGCTTATACAAGTGTTTCAATTATTGTTCTTCAATGTAAAGTTAAAAATTATTCATTTTTATTTAGTGTAGTTATCATTAATAGTATTGTTATCATTATCATTTTTATTAGTATTATTATTATTATTATCATTATTATTATTATCATCATTATTATCATTATTATTATCATCATTATTATTATTATTATCATTGTTAATACATATTCAAATGCAAATACTTTTTCAATCTAAATCTACTCTTTTCATATAAAAATTCAAACAGTGAAAATTAAAAGAAGCTAAGAAAGCAATTTTAGTATTCTTTATTTAACAATTGTTAAATATATATTTATAGTATTTTTTTATTATTTAGTACTTGAATTTTTAATTTGTTTTAAGTTTACAATGAAATAAATTTCTTTTTATATCTAAAGTGTAAAGAATTGATACTCACCTTGAGAAGGAAGAAAAGAATAATAAAAATTCAATAATTCTCTTTTTAGTAGTTAATTTATTAAATTTCAATCAATCTCCCTTGTAAAATTCACAATCTTAAAAAATTCTATGGAAAAAAGAATTTAAAAAAAAACGATAATTGACTATATTTGTCGGAAAGTAGAAAAAATTTTTGTTTTCTCGATGAATTTCAATTTTTCTATGACTGGTTTTTTTTTTTTTTTTTTTTTTTTTTTTTTTTTTTTTAATATTGATGGATAATTATTGTACAGATGGTAATCGACATCAATGGGTTATTGTGGATTTTGTTTTGGCAACAAGTTCTCTTTGTGCAACGGAAACTGACGCCATTCCCTCTTGAACGGAGGTGAGATTTGCTTTCCAAGCGACCAATAAATCGCGAAGTTGTAACCATTGTGGCTTTCCAAATGTCCTGTGCATTGTGCTCGAAATTAAAACCTTACGACCACCCTGATCCATTCGAGCGCGAACTAGTTTTGTTTTCAAAACTGAAAAAAACGAATGAAAAACAATTTTTAATAATAGAATTTCAATTTTCGCTTTCAATATTAATTGAATTAATTTTATTTAATTAATTTAATTAATAAAACAGAAAGAATTCAATTATGAATGAATTATTCAAATTTAAAAATATTAACTTTTTTTTTGGATTTCACATATTTACCGTCAATAATAAAACTCTCGACCTCCTCTTCCGTGATCATCAACTCATTCTGAATTGTCTCGAAAGTCATTTCGGGATTCGTTTCTGCGAGTTGCATGAATGTCAATAGTCTCATTTTTTTCATATTCTGCTCATGATTGAGACCTAAAATTCAATTTTTTCAAACATTATTTACACAATAAAAATAATTTTTAATTTAGACAATAAAAAATCTATAAAAAAAATGTGGATATAGAATAAAGAAAAATGTATAAACAAAATATTTAAATAAAAAATAAGAGATATAAAAAAAAATATTGCAGTTTAATTGAAATTAGATATCAATTACCAAGTGTATGTTCAACGAATTCTTTGTGATCTTTGTGGAATTTAAGATAAGCTGGCAGTTTTTCTTGAACGAAAATAAGAAGAAGATCGTGAATGAGTTCGCCCTCGAGAAAACGAACGGGTTTCAATGATAATAGTGGATCGAGTAAAAATGTATTTGGATCAGCGAGAGCTGCAAGAATGCAACGTTGTGCATCTTCCCTGGCGGCAGACGCATTTTCCGATGTGTAAGTTCCCAAAAGTTCGACCATCACTGCTGCCGCTTGCTCTCTGCAAAAATTTTAAATAAAAAAATTTTAACGACTTTTTCGAAACAATTTTTTTTTTAGAGAAAAAAGTACTTTTTATATTTTTAACTAAAACTAAATTTAAACTAATTTTAAATAATTAAATTTAATTAAATATTAAATTAACTAAAACTAGACTTCAAATTAATTTTAAATAATTAAACTTAATTAAATATTGAATATTTTATTAAATTAAATATTTGGCCTGTGGAAATTTTTAATTTACCCCTGTTTGCAAGTGAGAAGAACTTCGTGTAAAAGACGAAGGAGCTTTTGCATTTGCTCGTTGGAAGGTGGGCATGGAGCGAATTGCTGTTTAAGTTGATCAATTCCACCGTAAACTGCTTTCACTTGATCGACATTGCGAGCGATTTGCACCAAATGGTAGTAGACGTGATACCTCATTGGCGAATCCTCTGGTAACGATTGGAATAATAACCACAATCTGAAAAACAAAATTTAAAAAACAAAATTTTTTATATTCTAAGAGTAAAAGTACATAAAATTTTTTTTAGTATTTTCTGATTTTTTTCCAAAATCTAAAAACTCGAAAGACTATATAATTAAACTTTTTTTTCAAAAAAAAAATTAATTCTACAGAATTGTTAGTGAAAAGTATGAAAAATTCAAATTTTCAAAGATTTTAATTTGAAACCTTTTAAAAATTCAATTATTTATAAAAATTCAAGCTATAATGCTTTTAATATATAATTATCTAATATTTTAACTGGAACTCATTTTTATATCAATTTTTATTCAAAAATTCTACGAGAATTCAATTATTTAAATACAAAAATAAATAATTTACCGAATGTTTCTTAATATATTAAATTCTATTGACGAATTTCAGTGAAATTATTAGCCATTTTCGAAGAATTGATTTAACATTGTACTAAAAATAATTGCATTCCTAAAAAAAAATTTATTATTTATAAAAAAAATTAAATTTTTGAGAATTTTATTAAAATTTTCTAAATAATTGAATTACAGTCAAAAATTTTATTATTTGTAAAAATAATCGAATTTTGCAAAGAATTTTCTTATTTATTAAGATAATTGAATTCTTTCGAAGAATTGCATTAAAAATTTTGAAATAGTTAAATATAAGTGAAAAAAATTCAACTAATTTCAACAAAATTAAAATTTTTCAAAATTATTAATTTTACAGAATTGTTAATTAAAAATATTAAAAATTCAAATTTTTCAAAGATTTTAATTTGAAACCTTTTCAAAATTCAATTATTTCCAAAAATTTATACTATAATGCTTATAATATTCAATTAATATATAAAATTTTAACTAAAATTCATTTTTAAATACATTTTTATTAGAGAATTCTACAAGAATTCAATTATTTAAATACGAAAATAGATAATTTATTGAATAATTGAATGTTTCTCAAAAAACTGAATTTTAATAAAGAATTTTATTTAAAAAAATTTTTAAATATTAAATTCTTTTGAAAATTTTTATTAGAAAATTCTACGAGAATTAAATATATTTAAATATATTTAAATAATAGAATTTTTTTAACGAATTTTTATAAAATTTTAAAGAATAATTACATTTTTTGTCGAATTCGATTCAAATTTTATTAAAAATAATTGAAATTTTGATAAAATTTTAAAAAAATTTTTAAAAATCATTGAATTTTTGGAAAGAATTTTATTATTTATAAAAATAATTGAATGCCTGGAATTTTTGTCAAGAATTTTATTAAAATTTTTGAAAGTAATTCAAATTTTGAGATAAGTTTCATTATTTCGGAAAATAATTGAATTCGTAAAAAAAATTTTATTGTTTATCAAAATAATGGAATCTTTAAAAAGAATTATATTATTTATGAAAGTAACAATTTAATTATTTTAATAAATCATAAAATTTTTTTTATTAATTAAAATATTATTTTCATCATAAATAATAATATCATCGCAGAATTTGAATATATTTTAAAAATTTTAATCGAATTCGTCGAAAAATATTATTATTGTTAAAAATTTTATTTAAATTTGTCAAAAGAATTCAATTGTTTAAAAAAATTCTTTAAATGAGAATTTAATTTTCAGAAACAATAAATGATTCAATGAACCATTTTATTTTTGTATTTATTTATATATTTTTTTTTAAATTATATTTATATAATTTATTTTTGTATTGAAATTTCTTGTAAAAAATTTCAATTATTTTCAAATTCTTTTGGAAAATTCTATTAAAATAGTAGATATTGAAAAATTATTGTATTGAGGGATATTTTTGAAAATAATTGAAAAACTTTTGACAAGAATTTTATTAGATTTTTAGAAAATAATTGAATTTTGGAAATGAATTTTACTATTTTTAAAAATAATTGAAATTTTAATGACAATTTTTAAACATTTTTGAACATAATTGAATTTCTAAGAAAAATTTTATTATTTATAAAAAATAGTTGAAATTTTGACAAGAAATTTTTTAATTCTTTTAACATAATTGAATTTTTGCGAAGAATTTTATTTCTTTTGAAAATAATTGAATTTCTGCAGTAATTTCTAACTTCTCCAAAATTAAATTTTGTTAATTGTTTTCAACTAAAATTCTTCTCTAAATCTATTATTTTGAATAATTAATTAAGTAAATATTAAAAAATTTATCTAATTTCAGAAGAATTTGAATTATTAAAATTTTTCGAAAATCTAAGTTCTTTATAATTTCTAATTAAATTTATTCAGAATTGAAATTTTATAAAATTTCAAATTGAAACCTTTTGAAGTTCATCTATTTATGAAAATTTTAGACGCAACTTTTTTAAAATTCAATTAATTTTGAAATATTCAAGTAATAATTTATAAGTAATAGTTTTATAATAGTTCCTCAAGAATTAAGTTATTTAAAAAGAAATTGTCAGAAATATAAAAAATTGAAGGTATTGTATTTAAATTTGTGATAATTATTATCAAATAATTATAGAAATAAATATGAAATAAAAATCAGAACATAAAGGACTTACGCTTTTAGACAAACGAGTCCCAATTTGAAACCTGGAGCTTTTGTTAATTTTTCACAAAAGGCAAGAATTAAATTTTCAGCACGGTCTGTTGGAGAAACCTGAAAGACAAAAAAACTTTTTTTTTTCTTCACTTGAAATTCTAATAATTTTTATTGTAGATAAAAATGCGAATTTCTTTATTCATAATTTACAATCAGTAGTAGGAAAAATCTCAAATTCAAAAGTGATTAAATTAAAAAATGTTAAGTAAATAAAATATTTTTTTTTTATTTTATTCAACTTACGAGAATCATGATGGAAACAATGTCGTTGAGAATTGTTTCAATTTCGCTCTCGTTTCCCTCTTTGAAACACGCATCGCAAACGCCAATTATTTTGTGGAGATCGTCTTCAATGCCTTTTTGCGATTTCTCCTCACTAATTTCAGCACCGAGACTTTTGAAATAAATTCTCAATTCTTGGGCCTGGAAATCATTTTTTTTTTAAATTAACTTTAGAAAGATCGATAGAATTATTACAAAATGAACATATTTTTGGATTTTGTACAATTTTCAACTAAAACAAATATTTTGAAATACTTATTATTTATTTTTAAATTTATTTTATTTACAAAATAAATTATTTGAAAAAAATTTATAAACCGAAAAATTCAAAATTCGCCTTTTGAGCAAAAAAAAGAAAAGTATAACAATGAATTTTAAAAAAAGAAATTGTTGATAAAATATCAAAAGTGCAAATAATCAATTTTTCCAATAAAAGTACAATAATTTTAAAATATTTTTTCACTTACCAGATTTTAGAAATTGAAAAAAAAATTCAATAACACTGTTTTTGTTTAAAAATATTTCTTTTCCAAATATATCTAAATGCTTTTTTTCTCACTAAAATTTAAAGTATTTTGTATAGTTTGTTTAGTTTTTTTCTATAATATTTTACACGACTAACAAGTGTTTTTCGATCAACGAAAAAAATTTCAAGAAACTAAAAATTACCGCCCAGTGGAAAATAAGTGAAATATATTCGGAATTTTTGTAAATTCTTTCAAGAAATAATATAAAAACGAAAAATAACTGATTAATTCACAAGAAAAAGAAATTAAATATATTATCCGTTGACAGATTACATGAACTTAACCTTACTTTCCAAGAAAGCGTTTCAAAGAAACTAAGGACAATTTACTCACAAAAGAACAAAGTTCGATAAAAATACTTAACAATTACTTTAAATTCCATAAATAACTCACTTGATCCTCAGTGGAACCGTCCATAAAAACTGCCGGGCCCAACATCTTGAAAATTATTAATTTTCCACGTTTTTCGGCAAAATTCAGAAGAACAGAAAACAGACGAAAACCATGAACAATATCAAAAGGACAGAGAGTGGAAACTAATGAGTGGAAAATTCAACCAATCAAATGGCTAGTTCCCCTAGTTTCCAAGGTTCCCGAAATGGTAGAAACTACACCGAATTTACTGCTCTATAGAAATTTTGTAATCAATGCCCAATAATTGTCAGCTGTTTGTCTGCTTCGTTGTCAAAAAGAAAAAAAACTATGGGAAAATAAGTACATAGTATAATTTTTCACTCGGGGTATTTAAATCTTTTTTTAAAATAAACTAAATATTATTTAATTAAAAAAGAAACAATGGCTGAACTTTTATTGGATCCGAATATTCGCGGTTGGGTGTTTTTGCCAATTGTCGTTATTACATTCCTCGTGGGAATTGTTAGACATTATGTTTCCATGTTACTTGCATCGCAGAAAAAAATCGAAGTCCAGCAAGTGCAAGACAGGTGAATTTAAATAATTAAATATTTATGAAATTATATTAACTTTAAGGTTATATTTTTCATAATTTTAAGGATTTTAAGTGACGATAGTGATTTATTGAGAAGAAATCAAAGAAGATACTTGCTTTTTTGTGATACTATTTATTATTATTTATTTTATTAATTAAAAGAATTGAAAAATATATAAGTTAATTAGTAAATTTATTTATTATTAGTAATTATTTGCCTAATTATAAAAATATTACGAATTTCTTTAATTGAAAAATTATTCGAAAAACATCAAGTTTTATTTAAAAAATAAATAATTAATCATTATTATTTTTCCATTGTAAAATTACTTCAACTTCTTAAAAGTTATTATCATCATTTCAATTCAATTATTATTTTCTAGAATTTTTAACTAAAATTCTTCTTTAAATCAATTATTTTTCATAATTTTTGAAAATGTTCTGCGAGAATTTTCAAATTTATTTGTTTACAATTCAATTATTACGAAAATATTACTTTTTATTAGACAATTTTACGAAAATTAAATTATTTAAATACAAAAATAAATAATTTATCGAATGATTAAATGTTTCTTTAAATTGAATTCTTATAAAGAATTATTGTATTAAAAATAATTCAAATTCGACGATGAGTTTTAATATTTATATTATGAAAATAACTTAATTATGTGAAGAATTTTATAAATTTTTAAAAAATTTGTAAATTATTTAATTCTTGTGAAATTTTTATTATTTATGAAAATAATTAAATGTTTGCGTAGAATTTTATTAAAATTTTTTTAAAAATAATTGAATTCTTTTGAAAAATTTTATTAAAATATTAGATATTGAAAATCATTTTGAATTGTTATTTGTTAATATTTATTATTACAATTTATTATTGTTATTTGTTATATTTATCTATTATTATTTATAGTTACTATTTATAATAATATGTAAATAACAATCTTTGTTACTAACTTTTATTATAATAATTATTATTAATATTATTATTATTATTATTAATATTATTATTATTATTATTAATATTATTATTATTATTATTAATATTATTATTATTATTATTGAAAATAGGTTACGGTGACGTAACAGTATGAAAATTTCATATTTTCAAAGATTTTAATTTGAGACTTTTTCAAAATTCAATTCTTTCTAAAATTTGTAAAAAAAAAATGTTAAATAATTGAATTTCTGTGAAATTTTTATTATTTAAAAAAATAATTAAATGTTTGCATAAAATTTTATCAAATTATTTTTTTAAATTATTGAATTCTTTTCCAAAATATTATTAAAATAGTAGATATTGGAAATTATTGAATAGACAGAAATTTTTGAAAATAATTGGAATTTTTGACAAGAATTCTATTCAAAATTTTGAAAATAATTGAATTTCAGTTAAGAATTTTATTATTTATAAAAATAATTGAAATTGTGACAAGAATTTTTTTTTTTGAATTTTTAAAACATAATTGTTAATTAATTTGTAATAATAAATTAATTTTATAATTTTTTATAATTTATTTTATAATTCCAGTCAAGTAATGATGCGATCGAGGTTATTGAGAGAAAATGGACATTACATTTCAAAATATGGTTTTAAAACGAGAAAACAATTTTTCAATAATGAAGAGACTGGATATTTTAAAACTCAAAAGCGAGCTCCAGTTTCACAAAATCCAATGACCGATCCAAGTATGATGACCGATATGTTAAAGGGCAATGTCACCAATGTCCTGCCAATGGTTCTCATTGGAGGATGGATCAATTGGATGTTTTCCGGTTTCGTTACAAGTAAGAATTTCTTTTCTACTTTATCAATGAATATATCGGGTAAAAATTATTTAAAAAAAATTTTTTTTTATTTATTTCAGCTAAAGTCCCATTTCCATTGACGTTGCGTTTCAAGCCAATGCTTCAACGTGGAATTGAATTAACGACCCTGGACGCCGCTTGGGTGTCGTCAGCGTCCTGGTACTTTCTCAATGTCTTTGGCTTGAGGTCAATTTACACTTTAGTTCTCGGTGAGAATAACGCTGCCGATACATCGCGTCTTTTACAAGATCAAGTGTCCGGCGCCGCAATGTCAATGCCACCGGATCCAAAAGCCGCCTTCAAGGCCGAATGGGAAGCACTCGAAATTTGCGATCACAATTGGGCACTAAACGGTATCGATACAACACTCATGGGTCTTAAAAGCATTTCCGAAGATAATTCCTATTATCAAAGTAAAAATTCCTGAAAAAAAGAGTTTTTCTTAAATTAAAAATTATGCAAAAATTTAAAAAAAAAAAAAAAGAAGTGGGCACAAGTGTCAGAGAAAGACAGATTTTTCTTTTCTTTCTTTAAAATTCAAATTTATTGCAATTTAAACAACTTTTTTTACAAAAACTAGTCCCGCAATTTTTTAATTTGCAACACTAGAAAAATAGACATTTTAAGATTAAATTTAATTTAAAATTACAAATTATTAAAATAGGTGTAATAGTTTTTAATTCATTGTGAGTGTAGAATTTTGTAAATCTATTTAAAAAAAATACACAGACTGTTATGAAACAAGTTTAAATTTTTATTATAGAAAAACATTTTTAATAGATTTATACTGGGAAGCGGCTCACATAAAATTACACATTATGGTGAGAGATTAAAATTTTTTCTTAAAAATATAAATATATGTAAGTCAAATTATATATTATAATATAATTAAGTATAATTATATAATTATTATTTTTAAATATTAATTATTATTATATTAACAATTGATAGAAAAAGATAATTTTTAAAAGATGCAAAGTATATACTTAGTAAGGATAGAAAACTTTTATCCATTTTTATCCATCAGTTTTTATCTACTTCTATCTTTCTACTTTCAACAGGGAATGTTATATAAGATGTTTTTTGGATTGTAGTCAATTTAGTAAGATGTTGATTTGTTTATTATTTTTTAATCCATATTAAATTCATTTTCAAGCACGAAGCTTATCGTCCATCAACGATGGACCTCATCAGGTGAGTATGTTTATTAAATAAAGCGTTCTCAAAAATCATTCATTTATTAATGTACATTTGAGATTATATTTACATAAAACATATAAATACATATTACCAGAGGTAATTTCCATTGATCCGGCAAAGGTCCTGGTGGTATGTGAACTAACTAAAAAAATTCCATTAGTAAGAAAAGGATAGACGTATCTTCGTCCTTTTCTTACTAATGGGATTTTCTAGTTAGTCTACATGCCACCAGGTCCCATGTCAGATCTAGGTAAATTATCTTACGTATTACCGAAATCTCATTAAAAAATATATTTACTCTTATGGTTAGGTTCGTTTAAATATTCTACGAAACATTCCTAAATAGTTTTTATTTAATTTTTTTATTTATTTATTCTGTGTTTGAGCAAGAAAGGTATTTAAAAATGGCGGTCAAAAGTTATACTTATATTGCGATAACTGTCTTAATTGTGATAATAATCCATTTCAGATGAAATATAAGTTTTGAAAGACATTTTTAAAGGGTTTTCTTGATCTGGTTTCTTTCTCTGAAATTTCTAGTGATTTCTAGGTTATGTGAGAACTTCGATTATAGACCAAGCCCAACGCATAGATTCGCCATGTATTCGCCATCAACGCGAACATAAGTTAGAAAAGAACAGAGATATTTTTGCACCCTTTTCCATGTCCGTCCAATCCGACAATAACGATCATCTGCAATATATGGCTAATGACTATAAAACTTATTGATTAAAAAAAAAAGTTAATTTCACGAATCTAGAGGTTTTATTTCTGGATAGAGATCAGTGCGACGATGATTCTCAATTGGCATGTTCATTCGAACCCGGTTCAAAAAATCGAGATCTATTGAAGCAATTGCCAGGCCAGTTCCTTCGGCGCATTGCGCTATCACTGTTCCCCATGGATCAACAATCTGCAAATATGCGAAAAAAGGACAAACTAAAAATATAGAATCGTAAATTTCTATAAGCAGTAAATTTCTCCATTTTCCTTATTCTTTGTCTTTAATTAGTGCGATAGAAAGAGACAAAAAATAAAATTGAGAACTGGAGTTGGTAAAAGTTACTAGATTATCACTAGACCGCCTACATACTGGTGGTATGTGGACTAACTAAAAAAATTCCATTAGTAAGAAAAGGACAAAGATTTATCTATAGCCTTTTCTTGCTAATGGGATTTTATGGTTAGTCCACATGCCACCAGGACCCTTACTGGATCTTAGTATAGCATGGGAAAGGATTAAAATTTAATTTATTACAAACTAGACTTTTATGGATAAAATAAATTTCTATTTAAATGACATACCATAGAATGACCCCAACTGACTCTTTTTTTATTATGTCGGCCAGTTTGAGCAGCTGCAATAACATAGCATTGGGATTCAATTGCCCTTGTTCTTAAAATTGCCTCCCAGTGATTTGCCCCCGTTTCGTAAGTGAAAGCCGATGGATATGTGAGAATTTTAGCACCCATTTTTCTCAGACATAGAGCCAATTCGGGAAATCTCATATCGTAACACTGCGGCAAATTGTTAAGAAAAAATTATTTTAACGCCCAAAACTAAAATTATAACGCCCAAAAAATATGAGAATTTTAAAATTTTTAGTAGCTTTATATTTTTTTTTAAATCTGTTAAGCAGGAATAGTTTCAAATTTTTTAAACTATTAAATTTTTATAAAATAATAACTTTGAGTATAGAGCGGTCAGTGAGACCGATTTGACTGAATTTTGAAAAGTCGTATGATTTCTGTCTAATTTTTTTAGTTCGTGACATGAATAAACATTCGTCTGCCACGAACTAAAAATATTTGATAGAAATATGACACGACTTTTATAAAAAAAAATCCGTCAAACCGGAAGGACAGCAGCATCTGGGTGTACAGCAGTGCACAGTCGTCCGAGGAAGGCATTCCTGCACACGACTGTACATTTTCCTATATTGAACCTGCGTACAACTCGTTTACTAGGATAGACAAAAAAAAATGAATAATATTCTACTACAAGTTAGCTTTGTCGTCAATATACTCAGAGAGTAAATAGAATCAATTTTATTAAAAATAAAGGATACAATGCTGAGTCCAATTTCTCCTACTGGACTGGAAATTGGACAGACAATTTCTCTCCCCTTCATTGCGTAATCAGATTCCATTAATCGAACGCCCGTTTCTTTATTGTCCATGTCAAACAAATGTATTTTTCGATAGACAGAAACAATTTCACCATTGTCGTTTATTAATACATGGGCGTTGTACACTTTATCGGGATTGTCAGCTGTCTATGAAAAAGATGTTTTTTTCATTCAATTTATTCATAAAAGTGAAATTGAATAAAATTAATATAAAATAATTGTATTTTTCTTTCATTTTTAATAGCAATTACTTTACGTTTGTTTTTGTTAATTAAAAACAATGTCTATGAAAATTAAATTTTTTTGCTCTACCAAAATACACTCAATAACATATATGCTTTCCTTCTGGTTTGGAAAACTTTTTGAGAAAAGTGGTGTGCCTTCTATAAGAATGTTTTAAGTCTATGGCGTACTCAATTCCATTACGCCATAGACTTAAAACATTCTTATAGAAGGTACACCACTTTTCAAAAAGTTGTCCAAACTGGAAGTAAAAGAGAAACGCTGTGTATCTATCTTTCTTACTCCAATGTGAATTTTCCGTTCTGGACAAATTTTACCAAAGGTGTAAATGCTCCATTATTCGTTTCATTTGTATGTACAGTTACTTTGGTTTTGTAATTACTTTCAATAATATATTTTTTTTCCACGTAAACAACAATAGTTTCAACAAATAATATTATTATTCAACAAGAATTTAAATTCCTCTTGGCAAAAAGTAAAAATACAGTTTTGGGATCCATGAAAAAAATGTTAATATAGATGGGTGCTGGTAGTTGATTTTCAGAGTCATCTCTATTTCTATTTTTTTTAAATTAATAAAATTATGATTTGTTCTTTTACCACTTCGTGAAGTCCGCCAAGAGAGAGCCAAATTTTTTCCTCACTAGCAAGTTGTTTATAATTTTTTATCGTATTTCCCTCTAAATTTTCAGCCATACCGACAATATCCCTTTTATTATCCGCTAAATAATCGCAAGCTTCTGGAAAAAATGCTATCTAAATGGAAAAAAATAACTTTTAATGATGCAAAAAATATATAAATAATAAAAAAATGATAATAATTTCTGTATTTCTACTCAAAAAATTAAAAACATAACCTCAAATTTTTTGGTTCTTGGGCACCTTTCTTCGGCGCGACACAAATAATAAAAATACTAAATATTAAATAATAAATAATAAAATAAATAATTAAAAAATAATAATAAATAAGAAAATGAATAAAAAGTAGTTAAAATTCTTACCGAAGCATTTCTTTGTTTGGCTTCAATGACTAGATCACGAACAACTTGAAAATTTTTTTCCTTATCAGAAACTGATGTCATTTGACAAACTGCGACTAATCGACTCGACATCGTTCCAATTGATTGTTTAGATAAATTTCTAAAATTAATATAAGTTTCACTAGCCTAATTAATTTTTGAACTAATTTAGAAATTGCAAACAATATAAACTGAATTTTTAAATATTTCATTTTTTTAAATTTCGCGCCAAATTTACAGCAAAAAGTACCAAAACCATGCGATTGGTTGAGACGAAAATGGCGCGAATTTTAAATTAAAAGGACAAATTTAAAAAATTATTTTAAAATTAACAATATTTTTACAATTTTTGAAATTTATTTTACAATATATAAAAATATTTGTTTCATCAAATCGTTAAATTAACGATATTTCACGAAAAAGAATTAATTAAAAATTTTAGGAAACTATGTAAATTAATTTTTATTATTAATAATTTGCAATTTTTAACAGAAATAATTTTAAATTTTCTAATATAATCTGTACTTTCTAATATAATAATAAATTTTAATTCTTACTTGTAGGAATGTGAACTAAAGGAAACAATAAATTTTCTTGTTCCAAACATATTTTTTCTCACTATGTAAATAAAGAATAATTGTTATCAGAATTGATAAGATTTTCCAAGGTCACACTTAGTGTAACATCGTTAAGAGGGGATATTTTTCAAAATATAGTTGTCAACATATTTTTTTGAATGATTAAATAAAATTAAAGTAATTAGTTTAGTTAGTAAATAACACTTTTTATAAACAAAAGTCACATTGACGTTCGCACAATAAAAACATAAAGTATGCAATACCTAGAGAAGTGACTCCAGTTTCGGAAGAATTGTTGCAAAGTGTACTGGACTTTAATTGTAAGGGTGTATTCATACCGTAGAAAAAAATTTACCGCTTTCGCGATCCATTTTGGTCTTTATAACCAATTCATTGTGGAAACACCTTGATGTTTGTCCTTTGCACTTGCAACATGTGAATGAACCCTAAATTTATTAAAATTGTTATTTATTATTATTGTAAAACTGAATAATTTTTTATTAAATTATTATTAGTGCGAAATTATTGTTAAATATCGTAAGGAATAAAGAAAAAATTTTGTTTTCTAATTTTGAAAATCGCGCGGTATGGAAAGCATGCGCAGTAGTTAATTTACTTCAACGCCCTCAACTTCCGGAAGCGTTCCACTCTTTTTTATTTAGGCGGAGTAATAAGCCTACACGGTGGATGATATTTTGTGCGTTAAAGGCATTAAATCATCCTCAAAATGGTAAGTGTTGCTCGTTTTTTATTCTCAATTATATAAATATTAGTTTTTACATAAATTCCAATATTATTTCATAATTAAAATTTGACTTTAAAATAAATAAACTACATTGCCTTTTTATCCATCTTGTTGACCACGTGTATCATTTTCATGTCACCATTGTTTATTATTAATTTTTCCATTTAAATTTTCACACTAAACAATATTACTGCTAAGAAAATTTATTGAAAATTCTTTTTTTTTTTCTAAAGTGAAAAATAGTTGAGTATAAATTAGTGTTTTATTGTCAGTGAATTAATTTTGAGGTTAGGTTAACAATTGACTTTTGTCATTCGGTTCTCGAAAGAAGTAAAATGGTTTCCTACCCTTTTGAATTTTTTTTTTAATTTCTACCTTTGCTTTATTGTAAAAACAGGTAAAATTGATTTAATTTTAAAATTTATGAAAAAGAATGATTCATTTCTAAAATTTTTGGAAAAAAATTATTTAAAGTAAAAAAAAATGTTTCTTTTAAATGATGAACTGCTTTGGTCCGTGTTGCTGATTTGCTTCTGATTTTAAAACAAAGCGAAATTCTGAATTATGTTTTTATTAAATTGAAAAGCAAAGTGTTAGTTTTGGTTTGAAATTAATGAGGGAAAAAAAATGTTTTTTTTTTATTACAGTCACTGTCAACAGCGCGACCAGTAATTACGGTTTATAATGAAAAGAGCGAACCAACGAAGGAAGTTATTTCGCTTCCTGCTGTTTTCAAGGCACCAATTAGACCCGATGTGGTGAATTTTATTCACCAACAGGTGTCGAAAAATAGCCGTCAGCCTTACTCAGTTTCCAGCAAAGCTGGTAAGTTTATTTTTATTTTTTTACTCTTTTTAATTTAAAACAAAAAATATTAAAAATTGTACTAATTTCATTTTAATTCAAGAAGTTTTTCATTTTGAATTATAATTTTTATAACTAGAAAAAAATTAAGAAAATATTTCAGTGTTAAATAAAATTTTAACTAAAAAATATCTATTAAATGCTTGGAAATGAAATGTATAAATTTTGTATAGTTTGTTTTTTATTTATTATTATAATTTGTACAATTTGAAAATATTTGTGCCCGTATATTGAATAAATAAAATAATATATAAAATTCTATTATGTAATAATTACAGTGTAATTATATGATTTAATTTTATTCATTATTTTTTAATTCATAATTTATAGTAACAATTATAATTATTATAATTGTCATAATTTTATAATTATTATTTATTTATATAATAATTAAACTTTTCAAATATTTATTTTTATTTATAAAAAAAATACTTATTCTTATATTCATAACTTAAATTTACTGGTTAATAAATAGATTTTTTAAAAAGTAAAATATTTATTTTACTAATTACGAATTAACTGATTAACTTTATAATGAAACAGAAATAAAAAAACAACGACGCATTGGAAAATGTCCCCGTTCTCGAAATACACTTTTTTTGAACGGTCCACTATAAATGCGAGATTAATATGGTCATGGCGTTCTCATTGAATTAATTTTTTGTCAATGGGGGTATTCTTGACTGCACAAATTTTCATAAAGAAACTAATTAAACTTTTGTGTCCACTTACATAATTTTAAAGTTTGGTTTTGGAATTTAATATTTTGAAAAAGTTTAATTGAATTTTCTTAAAATTATTTCAAGCTTTTATTTTCTAATTTATACATTTAATTGAAGAATATCCAAATAATCAAAATTTCGTAAAATAGAATTGTAAACAAAAGGATTTAAACATTCTTAAAGAACTTTTTCAAAGATTATTTAAAAATAATTGATTTAGAAGAATTTTAGTTAAAAATATTTTAAAAAATTGAATTTTTTGAATAAGTTACAAATGATTGTAAAAATTCAATTATTTTCAAAAAGTAATAAAATTCGTTGGAAAAATTCAATTATGTGCTAAAATTTAAAAAAAAAATCGCTTTAAAATTTCAATTTATTTTATAAATAATAAAATTCATCCAAAATTCAATTATTTTCAAAAATTTTAATAAAATTTTTGGCAAAATTTCAATTATTTTCAAAAATTATAATAAAATTTTTGGTAAAATTTCAATTATTTTCAAAAATTTTCCTCAATTCAATGATTTTCAATATCTACACTATTTTGATAAAATTCTACACAAACATTTAATTATTTTCATAAATAATAAAACTTCATCGCAGAATTTCAATTATTTTTAATACAATTTTAATCGAATTCCTTGAAAAATAAAATTATAAAAATTTTATTAAAATTCGTCGAAAGAATTTAATTATTTAAAAATTTGTATATTCTTTATAAGAATTCAATTTTATGAAGTAATCAATTATTATTCAATAAATTATTTAGGTTTATATTTAAATAATTACATTCTTGTAAGAAATTTCTAATAAAAATTGATTTTAAAATGAATTTCAGTTAAATTTTTATATAATAATTGAATATTAAAAGCATACCTTGAATTTTTATAGAAATAATTGAATTTTGAGAAGGTTACAAATAAAAATCTTTGAAAATTCGAATGTTTCATACTTTTAACTAACAATTCTGTAGAATCAATTGATTTTTTTTTTTTAATTTTAATCAAATTCCTCGAAAAATATAATTAATCTTTAATATTTTATTAAAATTTGTCAAAAGAATTCAATTTTATTTGTAAAATTCTTTAAATTGAGAATTTAATATTCAGAAACATTAAATTATTCAATGAAGTATTTATTTTTCTATTTAAATAATTGAATTATTGTAGAATTTTCTAATAAAAATTGATTTAAAATTGAATTCGATAGTTAGAATTTTTTTAAAATTATAATTGAATATTAAAAGTATTATAGCATCTATTTTTAGAAATAATTGAATTTTGAAATGGTTTCAAATTAAAATCTTTGTAAAATTTTAATTTTTCATATTTTTTAACTAACATTTCTGTAGAATTAATTTTTTTAAAAAAAAGAGTAATTTAAGAATTTCCGAATAATGGAAATTTCGTAAAATTGAATATTGTAAAGTTATTGTTGTTTTTGAATAATTTTACAATGAAAGAATTTCGTAAATAATGTAACTCATTTTTTTTTTTTTTTTGATTGTCTAATAATTTTTAGAGTGAATCGGAATATTTTTTTAAGATCATAGGGAAAAAGTGAAAATTTTGTTTGGAAATCAGGGAAAAACAAAAGTAAATTTTTGTTGCAACCCAGACACGGAGCTCAAAAAAAAAAAAAAAAGAATTTTTTTTCTTATTGAATGTTAAAAGTTTCAGAGATATGAAAAAAATAAAAAGGAGAAAATAAATTTTAATAATATGGAAAAAGGTAGATTTTGTTTGATATAAATGTGTGAGGTTTGTAAAATTTAATTTCCAGGACATCAAACATCCGCGGAGTCATGGGGAACTGGACGTGCCGTTGCTCGTATTCCACGTGTTCGAGGTGGCGGTACTCATCGCTCTGGCCAAGGTGCTTTCGGCAACATGTGCCGAGGAGGACGCATGTTCGCACCCACCAAGCCCTGGAGACGCTGGCATCGTCGAGTCAACGTTAATCAAAAACGTTACGCTATGGTCTCGGCAATTGCCGCTTCGGGAGTTCCTGCTCTCGTCCAATCTAAAGGTCATTATTTTTACTCAAATTTTCTATTTTAAAAAGAAAAAGGAAAATTATTCTTTACGGAATTTAAAACTTAAGATTCTTTTTTTTTTAATTTTTACTAATTTTTATTATTTTATAACTTTTATAACTCTTCATATTTAATCATCTTTATTTTTGAATAATATTTATTTATTTTTATTCTTAATATTTATTTATTTATTTATTATTTTTGTGTAATTTTTATTTTTATTCTTTTTTCATATTTAAAAAAAAAATTTTTGAAATTTAAAAAATTTTTTTATTTTTAAATAAAAAAACATTTATTTACTTACAAGGTAAACGGTAAATAAGCATTTAAATGATGACTCGCTTTGGTCCGTGTTGCTGATTTGCTTCTGATTATAAAACAAAGCTATCAAACTGATAAATTTTATTTCCTTTTTTTAAAATGCTAGTTTTTGTTAATATTAGCTACTAAATGGAAATCTTTTAATTTTCAATAGGTCATCTTATCCAGGAAGTGCCAGAATTCCCACTCGTTGTTTCGGACAAAGTTCAAGGTTTGCAAAAAACTAAGGAAGCCGTAATCTTCCTCAGAAGATTTAAGGCATGGAATGACATCGTTAAGGTAAGAATTTTAATGTAAAAAGAAAAAGAAAAAAAAATTAGAAAATTGGTTGTAAAAACAATAAAAAAAATTAAGTAAAAAAAAAAGCATTGGAAAATGTCCCCGTCCTGGGAAAATATTTTTTTGGACGGTCCGTGAAAAATGCGAGATTAATACGATCATGGCGTTCCTATTGAACGAATTACGACAATGGGGGTTTTTTTGATCGCACAATTTTCTAGGTGGAGTTGACGATTAATTAATTAACGACTATTTTCACGATTTAATGAGGAAATGAAAGAAGATTTCGATTTAATTAGTAATTTAATATTTTAATGAAAATGGATTTTATTTTTAATATTGCGTAATGAATAGAATTTTAATTCTAAGTGTTTATCGTTTTCAGGTGTACAAGTCACAACGATTCAGGGCAGGAAAGGGAAAAATGCGAAACCGTCGTCGCATTCAACGTCGAGGACCTTTGATCGTTTACGGACAAGATCAGGTATTTAAACTAGTTTCGATTTTTTTAAGATTTTTGAAAAATTTTGAGTTGCGTTTAAAATTTTCATAAGTACAGATGAATTTCAAAAGATTTTAATTTTAAATTTTGTAAAATTTCAATTTTGAATGAATTTAAATAGAAATCGTCTTAAAGAACGTAGATTTTTGAGAAATTTTAATTATTCCATTTCTTCTGAAATTAATTAAATTTTTTAATATATATTTTTAATTGATTATTAAAAATATTGGTTTTATAGAAGAATTTTAATTAAAAACACTAAAAGAAATTTAATTTTGAAGCAATTACAAATGATTGCAGAAATTCAATTATTTTCCAAATTAGTAAAATTCTTCTCAGAAATTCAATTATTTTCAACAATTTTAATAATAAAATTTATGGCAAAATTTCAATTATTTAAAAAAAAAAAACTTTTTCTTAATTCAATGATTTTTGATAAATCTACTACTTTAATAAAATTGTCCAAAAGAATTCAATTATTTAAAAAAATTTTTAATAAAATTCTACGCAAACGTTTAATTATTTTCATAAATAATAACATTTTTTACAGGAATTCAATTATTTTCATAAATAATAAAACTCATCGCAGACTTTCAATTATTTTTAATACAATTTTAATGGAATTCCTCGACAAAAGAAATTATTCTTAAAAATTTTATTAAAATTCATCAAAGAAATTCAATTATTCTTAAAAACTTTTGCTACAATTTATTTATTAGAATTTAAGTATTATTTTCTATAAAGTTTTAATTAAATTTCTTGAAAAAATTAAATTATTTTCAAAATTTTTAATGAAATTCTTTGTAACCATTCAATTTTTTTTTTCAAAATAATTTTAATAAAATTCTTTGTAGAAATTTAAATAATTTCAAAAATTTGTCAAAATTCAATTATTTTCAATGTCTACTATTTCAATAAAATTTCATAAAAGAATTCAATTATTTAAAAAGACATTTTAATGAAAATTTGTCTCAAGAATTCAATTATTTTCAAAAAAATTAATATAATTCCTCGCAGAAATTTAATTGTGTTCAATAATTTACAAAAATTCTCGTCAAAATTTTAATAATCTTTATAAATTTTTCTCTGGAATTCAATTATTTTTACGCGACGGAAATAAAAAACAACGACGCATTTGAAAATGTCCCCGTTCTCGAAATACACTTTTTTTGAACGGTCCACTATAAATGCGAGATTAATATGGTCATGGCGTTCTCATTGAATGAATTTATTGTCAATGGGGGTATTCTTGACTGCACAAATTTTCACAAATATATATTTATATAAAAATTGTTTATAATTTCTTTAGAATAAAATTTTTTGAAAATATACCTTTTATTAAAAAAAAATCATGGACAGTTACAATTATTATAAAAAATTGAGTTTTTATATTTAAAAAATTTAATTCTCGAAGAACTTCCTAAAAATTATTCAAAGCTAGTTGATTTAGAGATGAAATTTAGTTAAAAATTGTAGAAAATAATTGAATTTTGGAAGAGTTAGGAGTTGCAATTTTTAGAAATTGTTTTTCTGAAGGTCTTTGTATTGAAAGTTTTTTTTAAATTTTATTTCCTGTGGGAAAAACGAGTAAGAAACATTTTGTTGTTTTAGGGCATCAGGAAAGCTTTCCGCAACATTCCTGGCGTAGATTTAATGAACATCAACAAAATGAGTTTGTTGAAATTGGCCCCAGGTGGTCATGTTGGTCGCTTCGTAATCTGGACGAAATCAGCTTTCGATCAATTGGATGCTTTGTACGGCACTTGGCGCAAGGAGGCTCAACTCAAGAAGGGCTACAATCTTCCCTTCCCCAAGATGGCCAACACTGATCTTTCAAAATTATTGAAATCCGACGAAATCCGTAAAGTTCTCCGTGCTCCAAGGTGAATTTCACTCTCATTTTATTTACGCAAATCTCTCAAACATGGGGAAATTTAATATTTATATTTAAAATTTAATATTTATTTTTATTTATTCCTGAACAAGATGGTCAATTTTATGATGAACTGCTTTGGTCCGTGTTGCTGATTTGCTTCTGATTTTAAAACAAAGCTTTTAACTGATTATACCTTAATAGTATTGAAAATTTCTGATTATTTTTTATGATGATTACGAAATTGAATATTGAATTAAAAAGAAATTTCTTTGGACTTTTTAGGAAGAAGGTCCATCGCGCTGTGAAGAAATTGAACCCGCTCAACAACACCAGAGCTATGTTGAAATTGGATCCATTCGCGGCTGTTAAGAAGCGTGCTGCTATCTTGAAAACAGAGAAAAGAGAGAACGAACGCGATTTGGCTCTCGCTAAAAAGCGTGGCGTAAGTATTTTCTAAGCATTTAAATAAAAGTAAAAATAACATTTAAAAAAAAGTAAAATAAACATTCAAAAATGTAGTAAAAATAACATTCAAATTAACAGTAAAATTTATTTTCAATATTTTTATTTCTTAAATTTAAGTAATGAAAATTAGTTAATAAGAAAACAAGTTTTGTTTTCTATTTTAGAAATAAAAACTAAATAAAAAACATTGAAATAAAAATAAAATATTTTTTTCTCATGATGAACTGCTTTGGTCCGTGTTGCTGATTTGCTTCTGATTTTAAAACAAAGCTTCTAATCTGATGAAGGAAAAAAATTTCTACTTTAAATTCTAAATTTGAAAAAAATTGAAATTAAAAAAAATATAATAAAATTAAAAAAAATAAAAATAGAAAATGAATATTTGGAAATTTCTTTTTCCAGGTTGAATTGCACCGTAGAGCACCGGCTGTAAGAGCAAAGAAACTGTTGGAGAGGCGCAAGAAACAATTGGTTGCTTTGAAAGCAACGAAACCGAAGAAAAGTGTGAAACCTGCGGCGGCGAAACCAAGCAAACCAGTTAAAGCCACCAAGTAAACACACTTGTAATTTTTATTTACATTCTAATAAACGAAAAAAAAATAATGTAAATCATGTATTTATTTTCAAGTGGGGAGAAATGGAGCAGTGAAATTTTAATCCCTAAAAATTTACGTTGTTGAGAGAACATTTTTTTTTGCACAAAAAAGAAAGAAAGAACATTTTTCTTTCTTTCTGTTCTTTTTTTTTATAAAAAATTATTTTTGTCCATTTTAAATTTTTTTTAACGAATTTTCTTCACTTTTTTAAATAACTTAATGCAGGGCTCGAACTAGGTCCGTAAATCCCGTAAAGAAATTCAATTATTTTCAAAAGTAATAAAATTCTTCGCAGAAATTTAATTATGTTCAAAAACTTTTAACAATTCTCGTCAAAATTTCAATTATCTTTAGAAATATTAAAATTCTTCTTTGAAATTCAATTATTTTCAAAAAAATCTAAAAAAAAAAATTGTCAACATTTCAATTATCTTTATAAATAAATAGCAAAATTCAATTATTTTCCAAATTTTTAATAAAATTCATTACAAAATTTCAATTATTTTTATAATTAGAATATTTATCACACGAATTCAATTATTTTCTAAAGTAATAAAATTCAAAATTTTTTCTAAAAATACATCGCAAAATTTCAATTATTTTCAAAAGTAATAAAATTCTTCGCAGAAATTCAATTATTCAATAAATTATTTATTTGCATTTAAATAATATTGAATTCTGGTAGAATTTTCTCATAAACATTGATTTAAAAATAGATTTCAGTTAAAATCTTAGATTATAATAAATTGAATTCTTTCGAAGAATTTTATTAAAATTTTTAAAATATTTGGATTTTATCGAGACATTTTTTAAAAATTGAGTCTTAAAAATAATTGAATTTCTACCAAAAAAAAGTTTTATCAAATCTTTTTAAAATTGTTTGAATTTTTGCTAAAATTTTGATATTTTTGAAAATAATTGCGAATCTCTGCAAAGATTTTTATTATTATTTCACGAAAATATTTAAATTCTTGTAAAAAATTTTTTATTAAAATTTCTGAAAGTAATATTGAAGATCTGCTAAGAATTTTGTTATATTTTTAATTTCTGACAAGAATTTTATTAAAAATTTTTAAAAATAATTGAAATCCTGTTAATTTTTTACAAAGAATTTAATTATTTTTGAAAATTTTAATGAAATATTCTTCGCAGGAATTCAATTATTTTCATAAAAATAATAAAATTCAATGCAGAATTTCAATTATTCTTAATACAATTTATTATAATTATTATAATTAAATTTCTCGAAAAATGTAATTATTCTTAAAAATTTTATTAAAATTCGTCAAGAGAATTGAATTATTTGAAACTTTGTTGATAACGATTGTTTATGGGAATTGAATTTTAAGAATCATTCAATTATTTAATAATAATTATTTATTTTCATTTTATTTTTATTTAAATAATTGAATTCTAGTAGAATTTTTTTTAATAAAAATTGATTTAAAAATTAATTTTATTTTATTTTCTAATATTTATTTATAATTGAAGAATATACGAATAATTGAAATTTCGTAAAATTGAATATTGTAAACAAATGGATTTGAAAATTTTTAAAGAACTTTTTCGATTAAATTTTTATATTAATTTTGATTTATTTTTTTAATTTTTTCTTTATTAATTTTTTTATTTTTACGAAAAATATCTTAAAAATAAATAAATAATAATTTTTAAATTCTTACGAAATAATGCGTTTTTAGCGCATGCGCAAATTTTTTTAATTTACAGGTTAGGTTACAATTTTCAGGTTATGTTAGGAGAGAAGACTGAAGAGATTATCGCACATGTTTTTGCAGCAGACGATATTTTATAAGAAAACCGTGATCCGTGATTATTTATCTGTCAAACTTTTACTTAAAAAAGAGAAAAAAAACTAAAACAATTTATCTTGTTTGCGAGATTTTTTTTAATGTAAACACTAAATGTTTGTTCATAATTATTAACTTTTTTTTTCCTTTCTTTCAACGAACTTCAAAGAAAAGGAAAATCATAGTGATAATTATAAATATCTTTTGAAATTATGAGGAGTTTTCGTATTTTTCGAAAGTTTATTCAAACTAATAATAATAAATTTTTAAGCCGGGGTTTAAAAACAAGTGCAAAGGAAAGTCATGAAGGAGAGGGAAATCAAAAATTTGAATTTGACGATAAAACAACTCATTTTGGTTTTGAAACTGTATCGACTGGGGAAAAAACTGAAAAAGGTAATTATTTTATTTAAAAACTTTATTATTTGCAATAAATACAGTTTATATTTAAATACCACGATTGAAACTTTTTTTTTATATTATTTCTCGATTTCTATTAATATTAATATATTGAAAATACACCGAAACAGTAAAGTATTATTTTTTTTTATTTATAGTTAATAATTTTAATAATTTTTTTAGTTAATAATTTCTATAACTTTTTTAGTTAATAATTGAATTTTTTAAAAATTTTGTTTCTGAAATTATTCCAAAATTGAAATTAATATTTGAAAAAAAAGAAAGAAAGTTAAAAAATAAAAAATTTGTTTTTTTTGTTAAAAATTTGTTTTAATAACAAATTTTTTATTTTTTAACTTTCTTTCTTTTTTTTTTTTTGTTTAAATATATAGTTCGAGCTGTATTTGAAAATGTGGCCGATTCATATGACAATATGAACGATGCAATGAGTTTGGGAATTCATCGAATTTGGAAAGATTTATTCATTCAGGAATTAGCACCAACTCATGGATGTCGTCTTCTCGATTCGGCCGGTGGCACTGGCGACATTACATTTCGCTATCTCAAGTATCTTGAAAATTGCAAAAATCCAATGAATCTACAGAGTCACGTGACTGTTTGTGACATTAATTCAAATATGCTCGAGGTGGGAAAAATTCGTGCCGAAAGACATGGTTGGACAATGGAAAATGGATTTGATATTCAATGGAAAGAGGCGAATGCTGAAAAACTTCCATTTGAAAATGATTCATTTTCAGCTTATACAATTGCATTTGGTGTGAGAAATGTCACGCACATTGACAAGGTAGCCCAGTAATTTTTTTTTCTATTTTGAGAAGATGACCTCTTAAAAAAAAAAAAATATTAAAAACTTAAAAAAAAAGTTAAATTAACAAAATCTTAAAAAATAAAATTTTTTTTTTAAATTTAAAAAATCTTAAAAAATAAAAATTTTTTTTTTTAATTTAAAAATCTTAAAGAATAAAAAAATGACAATATTTCTATTTTTATTCACCGGCAACTTTTTTCTCTCTTAAATTTTAAGATTTAAAAAAAATATTTAATAGGAAAAAAAACTCATTTAGGTTTTAGAAGAAGCCTATCGAGTTCTTCAACCTGGAGGTCGATTTCTGTGCCTTGAATTTAGTCACGTAAACAACAACATGGTAAAATGGTAAATATTCCATTTTTCAAAAAAAAGACGATTTTTAAATTTTTAAAATTTATTATAAATTCATTTAAAACCTTACTTTTCGCGTATAATTTAGTTAGAAAATGAAAAAATCAAGATTTTGAAATTTTCTGTAAAAAAATAAAAAAATTGACAAATTTTTATTTTTCAGAAATTTTTTAAATCATTCAAAAACTGAATTTTCGCAAAAAATTCTGCTGGAAATTAAAAAAAAGAAAATAACAAATTTAGTCAAATTTTACGATTGCGATAATATTCAGAAAAAAAATTTTTAAAAATCGATGAATTTCACGATTTTGTAATTTTCTATAATAAGGTAAAAAAAATAGAAAAAACGATTTTTAAATTTTACAAAAATTTCCAAATTCGTTTAAAAACTTATTTTTCGCGTATAATTTAGTTGAAAAATAAAAAAAAATTCATGAATTTAGTCGAAAATCAAGATTTTGAATTTTTCTGTAGAAAAAAAACAAAAAAATCGACGAATTTTTATTTTTCAGAAATTTTTAAAATTGTTCAGAAACTGAATTTTTGCTAATACATAATTCTGTTTGAAAATGAAAAAAATAACGAAATTAAGTCAAAATTTACGATTACAAAAATATTTTAAAAACTAGACGAATTTCTTGATTTTGAAACCTAAAGAAAAAAAAAACAAAACAAAAAAAGACGATTTTAAATTTTCAAAAATTTTCAACTTCGTTTAAAAAATTATTTTTTTGCGTATAATTTAATTGGAAAATGAAAAAATTTCATGAATTTAGTCGAAAATTAAGATTTGAAATTTTCTGTAGAAAAAAAAAACAAAAAAAAAATGACGAATTTTTATTTTTCAGTAATTTTTAAAATCGTTCAAAAACTGAATTTTTGCGAAAAATTCTGTTTCAAAATGAAAAAAATAACAAACTGAGTCAAAATTTATGATTGGGCAAATTTTCTGAAAGAAAAATTCGAAAAAATCGATGAATTTCACGATTTTGAAATTTTCTTAAAGAAAAAAAAACGACGATTTTTAAATTTAGAAAAATTTTTATAAATTCGTTTAAAAACTTATTTTTTCCGTGTAATTTAGTTGAAAAATGAAAAAAATTCATGAATTTAGACGAGAATCAAGATTTTGAAATTTTCGTTCAAAAACTGAATTTTCGCGAAAAATTCTTTTTGAAAATGAAAAAAAAAATAATAACAAATTCAGCCGATTGCAAAATTTTTCTGAAAAAAATCGCAAAAATCGACGAATTTCACGATTTTGAAATTTTCTCAAGAAAAAAAAACGAAAGAAACGATGATTTTTAAATTTTGAAAAATTGTCAAATTATTTTAAAATTTAAAAACTTATTTTTCGCGTATAATTTAGTTGGAAAATGAAAAAATTTCATGAATTTAGTCGTCAAATAATAAAGATTTCGAATTTTTCTGTAAAAGCTTAAATCAAAAATTTTTAAATTAATTGTTACTAACAAAAAGAAAACTACTGTTTAATAAAAATATGAATTAAAAAATTTTCAAAAAAATTGCAATTTGAAAAAATAATTATCTTTAATTTTTTTTTAAGGGTCTATGATCAATATTCATTTCAAGTGATTCCTGTTATGGGAGTTTTGATTGCAAATCAATGGCAACCGTATCAATATTTGGTGGAAAGCATTAGAAAGTTTCCGAATCAAGAGGATTTTAAGGTACTGCATTTTTTATAGCATTTAAGAAACAATTATTAAATAGTTACTAGTATTTAGTAAATTTTATAATTTATATTAGATATTATAATTATAGTGAATTATAATAATGAATTTTAAAAAATAATTTATTTTCCAGGATATGATATCAAATGCTGGATTCAGACACGTGACGTATAAGAATTTAACATTTGGAATTGTCGCTATTCATTCTGGATTCAAGATATAAATTTTGTAAATATATATTCAATTTTGTTAAATTTTTATAATTAATAAAAAATTCTATTATTACTATTTATTATTTTCTACCATTTTTAAATAAACTTTGTCTCTCAATTAATTATCTATATATTAATTTTTAATAATTTTCTAAAAGTTCTTCGAGAATTCAATATTTTATAATAATTAAAACTGTTCACTTTTCTTTTTATAAGTAAGTATTAAGGTAGAATATTTTCAAAAAATTTTAATGCAGAAATAAATTATATTAATTTTTTTTAAATATTTTAAAATAATTTATGAAATACAATAGCTTTACAATTTGAAACAATCAAAAATGACAAAAAAACTAAAATTTGGTCAAATATTTTAAAAAACAATTGAAATTTGGTAAAATCTTTTAAAAATAATTGAAATTTGGAAAATCTTTGAAAAATAATTGAAATTTTGGAAAAATATTTTTAAAATAATTGAAATTTGGTAAAATCTTTGGTAAATCTTCGAATAATAATTGAAATTTGGTAAATCTTAGAAAAATAATTGAAAATTGATAAAATCTTTTAAAAATAATTGAAATTTGGTAAATCTTTGAAAAATAATTGAAATTTGGTAAAATCTTTGTAAAATAATTGAAAAATAATAAAATCTTTTAAAAACAAATGAAATTTGGTAAATTTTTGAAAAATAATTGAAAATTGATAAAATCTTTTTAAAATAATTGAAATTTGGTAAAATCTTTGGTAACTCTTCGAATAATAATTGAAATTTGGTAAATCTTTGAAAAATAATTGAAGTTTGGTAAAATCTTTGTAAAATAATTGGAATTTGGAAAAATCTTTGGAAAATAATTGAAAATTGATAAAATGTTTTAAAAATAATTGAAATTTGGTAAATTTTTGAAAAATAATTGAAAATTCATAAAATTTTTGAAAAATAATTGAAATTTGGTAAAATTTTTGAAAAATAATTAAAATTTGGTAAATAATTGAAATTTGGTAAATCTTTGAAAAATAATTGAAGTTTAGTAAAATCTTTGTAAAATAATTGGAATTTGGTAAAATCTTTGGAAAATAATTGAAAATTGATAAAATCTTTTAAAAATAATTGAAATTTGGTAAATTTTTGAAAAATAATTGAAAATTGATAAAATTTTTGAAAAATATATAATTTAAATTTAATATAAAATGTTTTAAAATGTAATTGAGTTTTTAAGGAATGTAAAAAAATCAAATTTTTGAAGAATTATTTTAATTATATAAACGATTTTTCCGAAATTTTAATAAATCTAAATAAGTAAATTTAAAAATTGTAATTTACTTTGTTGATAAAAAATTATGATAAAACAATTTAAAGAATTAATTTTTTTATAAATATTGTAAAGCAGTTTCATTGAAAATAATTGAATTTATTAAAAAAATGTTTTGTACATTTTAAAAAAAAACTATTCATTTTTTGAAGAATATTAATTATGATTTTCTCCAAAATGTTAAAAATAATTCTAAAAAAAATGTAATGTTATTATTTTTTGTATATATATATATTTGAATTTTCGGAAATATATGTAATCAAAAAATATTGAAAATAATTGAATTTTAAGAAATTAGAATAAAAAAATTCTGAGAATTACTTTTTTCAAAAAATATTTTAATATAATTTTTAGAATCTAATTTTCCTTTTATTATTAAATTTACCAAAATTTACACTTGAAGATTTTTGATAAAAAAAATTTTTGAGAATTAAATTATTATCGAAATTTTGCAATTTTAAATTCTTCAAAAGTTGATTTTTAAAATTTATAATAAAATACTTTTTTATTTAATAGAGATGGAGGATATAAAAAAAGAATACATTATTTAATTTTCAGTAATTTATTTTGCAAAGGGACACGAATTTTGCTATGTTTGTAATTTTTTTTTCTTTTCTTTCTTGAAAAAACCACAGAATTTAAAAAGAGCCACACGCTGGATCATTTTGTTTTTGTAATTTTAGTTTAAAAATTCCAGAATTTTGCTCTCACAGTACTTTTTTTTAAAAAAAGAAATGGAAAAATTCGAACGAAGCTGTTATACAAACAATGAATATTATATGATAAAAGAAGAAAATCTGTACTTTCAGCTTCATTTCCTAATCCCCCCCCTCCCCCCTCTGCCAATATATATTTATTTTTAAAAACATTAACACGATAATTTAATGACCTTGGGCGTGGGCTTAAAATTATTTTTTTTTTCTTTAAGAAATTGTGTATAAATTGCGAACTAGTTTTTTTTTTTTTCTTTCATTTTTAATACATATAGAAGATTGTGTGGCATTCATAGCGTGAAGTATTAAAAAGACGAATACAATCGACGACAGGCAGAACGAGTGAGAATTGAATAAACGTTTTTTTTTTCTTGTTTGTTTGTTTTTTCTTTTAAGTATGCATCGCCTTGAGGTAAAGCATCAACAAAGTCCCACTCCAGATTTACAAAATTACAACGATCTCAACGAATAGTTTTCATTATTTTTTTTTTTTTCTTTTTCTAACATTATTAATTAAGTAATAATAATAATATATTAGTATTACAACGATTGGTATTCGTTCGTTATACACTTACAGTATTTAGTGCGTAGTATAAAAAAAATTCTAATGCTTTCGTCTACACAACTTTTTTTCTGTTTTTTTTTTATTTTTTTCTCATATTTCGTAGCTTATTCTAAAAAAAAAAAAATTTTTTTTTATAAAAAACGAAAGATCGTCCAAACCAAGTGTTTTCACTTTCGTTCTTTATTTGCAAAAAATAATAATAATTGGACAGCTCTAGAAATTTCAAATTTTTTCCAAGTCAAAATAAATTTTTTTTTTTGTCAAATAATTTTTTTTTTTTATTTTACAGAGGAATATTTAAATTTACCATTATTATTTTTTGTCATTTTCTTTTTATCACAAATATGGATAAAAATAGAAATGTAATAAAAAATTGGTAATTTTCGAGAGCTGTCCAAGAAAAAAAAAAAAAAAAATCTCTAGAAAATTTTTTCTGGAGATTATTCAACAGATCGTACATCGAACATTACGGAATTTCTTTTACTTTTTTTTTTTCTTTTGGTCGCGGTGCCTCCGGTGGCAAAAAAAGTGGCGAAGCTCCTAAAAACTATTTAATTGCACTATTTTTTTTTTCTTTCTTTCTTATCACCAGAGTTTTTTTTTCTTTTGTTCATATGTCTCATTGAAGAGTTTGTTAAAAATGACTGTTAATTTTTTTTTTTGCTTTTTAAATTAGAAATAATAATAATTAATAAAACAGGGTGCGGGAGGATAAAAAAGTAAAAAAAATTATAAAAATTTGAGAGTAAAAGAGAGAGAGAGAGGGGGGGAGAGAGAGAAAGAGAGAGAGCTTTTTTTGTTTTTAATCCCGAGAAAATTTATCGAACACCGCCACAATGCTGCCACCATAGAAACGTTTACACCGTGACACATGTTCCCTTCTTATGGGAAAAAGTATATATAACTTCACAATGTTGCATTCACATAACGTAATTTATTTCATATATAGAAGATGGCATGGTAAAGAAAGTTTGTTACTTTATTTTTCTGGGAGATTTTGGAGAAGAAAAATAAGAGAGAGAGAGAGAGAGATAGAGAAAGAGAGAGAGACAGGGAAGGAATGGAAGGGATTTTAAAAAGAAGTGGACAGTTACAGTGATTAGGAAAAAAGAAAAACGATTTATCCGCTTTTGAAGAGAAGAATGGCTACCTGGCCTAGGTAGAAGTAGATAAAATGTCTGGTCTCATGCGTTACATAACTGCCAAAATTCCGTCCGACGATACAGTGCCACGTGGGATTGTATTTCTTGTCGAACTCCTTTTTAATAAACGCGGCGATATCCTGAAAACAATTAATCAATTTAGTTTGCAAATTTCTAAAATTTATACTACAAATAGTCCCTGCACACAGCAGGGTTCGAGGATTCAATTGCGAATTCAGAAACTAATTACTGTGATGCTCTCCTTAGAGAGGTATCTAAGAAGCATGTTTGTTATTTTTACCCTTAAGGTCATGTTTTATGGGCACGTGACCATTGAATAATTCCCATCGTAAAGTATATAGAACACGTGATCAAAATTCTTAGTTTCTCTTTAATTGTGTAAAAGTAAAATCAGTTTCTATTATTTTTGAATGATGTAATGAAGACTTAAACGCCATAAAGGAAACACGAAATTGTCAAAATTGTAAAAAAAAAATCACATTTCTCGACAACACATACTTTAATATCAAACAATCCGGAATAATATTTAATAAAATTAATAGCAAAATTTAAATTAGGTATTTTTAACATTTTTTTTTTTAAATCTGTACAAAATTTCAATTATTTTAACAAATAATAAAATTCTTCTTCGAAATTCAATTATTTTCAGAAGTAATAAAATTCTTCTGCAAAATTCAATTACTTTTAAACATTTTCTAAAAAAAATCTGTTCAAAATTTCAATTATTTTTATAAATATTAAAATTCTTCTGAAAAATTCAATTACTTTTAAACATTTTTAAAAAAAAATCTGTTCAAAATTTCAATTATTTTTATAAATAATAAAATTCTTCTCTGAAATTCAATTATTTTTCAAAAAATTTTAATAAAATTCTTGTCAAAATTTCAATTATCTTTATAAATAATAAAATTCATCCTAGAAATACAATTATTTTCCATTTTTTTTTTGAAATTTCTCGTCAAAATTTTATATAAATAATAAAATTCATCATTGAAATTTAATTATTTTTAAACGTTCTGATAAAATTGTTTGCAAAATTTAATTATCTTTAAAAGTAAGAAAATTCTTTGCAGAAATTCAATTATTTTCAAAAATTTTTTTTAAAAATTCTCCTCAAAATTTCAATTATTTTTAAAAATATCAAAATTCTTCTTCAAAATTCAATTACTTACTAATGTTTTATAAATTTCTTCTCAATAATTCTATTATTTTCATAAAAAATAATTCAATTATTTTTATAGACAATAATTAAAAAATCTTTTTATTTATAAAGTCTTATAATATAAAATAATGATTTTATCACTCGGTCATCTTTAATTATGTATTATGAAACATGAAGATTGATGATTTCTTCATGTTTTATAACAATTTTTTATAAGTTGTTTAATTTAAAAAAGTTTTGAAATTGAATCTTTTGAAAAATTTTAATTCCTATGGAAAAATATCAATTAAATATTTATTTAAAAAGAAGTTATTGATGTTTTCGAAAAATTTGAAAGAAATTTGTAAATAAATGTAACAGAAAATTTTTTGACTAAAACTTTTTCCTTTAATTTTCTAAAAAAATTTTTAAATTTCAGTCGCATTTTACTAAAAAAAAATCTCAAAAAAGTCGATGAGTCGCATTTTTCCACAAAAAAGTCGAAAAAAGTCACATTCCCTTAGAAAAGTCGAAAAAGTCGCACAATCCGAGCCCTGTTACTCACTTTCCAGATCTAACAATCATATTTTTGAAATTCTAAATTAAACTTCGAATGAAATTTGAAATTAATTTAAATTTAATTATTCTTCAACTTTAAATAAAGTTTGAATTTAATTAAAAAAAAAATTACCTTCTCAATGTTATATTTTTCCAATGCTTGAGTCGCACAGTCTACCGCGTCTTGTTGCATCTCCTCAGACATATCGGCATTTTTAATCACTGCTTTTCGGTCGGACATGTTGCTTTTTCTGAAGAAAAAAGAAATATACGTTTACAATAAACATTATTTTTCGACAATCGAAATAAAACTAAAAAATAAAATAAATTACAAAAATTAAAAATTTTTCCTCGATAAAATATGATAATTCAACTTACAAACTATAAGACTTTCAAATCAAATTAATTCTATATCACTCATTTGAATAAAATTATCATTTTTCTCGCCTCCTTAGTTGTTATAAATATAAATTACTGCACATTTAGAAAATTTGAAACTAATTTTCTTTTCCAGTAAAAACGAAAATAAAATTAATTAAAGTCTCTAAATTACCGAAAACTTTTTTTCTTTTTTGTTTTAGATAAAAATGTTTCTAAAGAACATGTTTAATTTTTAAGTAATTTAATAAAAATATTCGTTTTCTTGAGATAAGATAAAAAAATTATTTTTATATGTAAATTTAACATAATTACAATGTTAGAATACGAAATTTTTTTTTATTTTCCTTGTAGAAAATTATGAAACTAACTTTTATACCTTAAAAGAATAAAAATAATTCAATTATTTTTTTTGAATTTTACAAATAATTGAATAGTTTTTAAATTCAAAAGTTAATATAATGATTTTTTGATATTAAAAATAATTTATTTTTTTAATTTAAAAAAAGAACTATAATTTATTAAATACATTATAAATCAAATTTTACAAATCAAATGATCGAAAAGCGTATAAAAATTGTATTAATATTAATCAAAAGTTTTATATTTTTTTGTCAAATAAATTCGATTTTCAGAGAAAAAAAAAGACTAATTGAAAGATAAAATCAAAAGATAAATGACAAAATGGTAAAGTGACCTTCAATATATTGAAATTTTCAGTTTATTAATAATACACACTAAAACCTTAATTGAATATAAAAATCACATATGTGGTTTAAAGGTCACAAAATTAATTTTACATAAAGAAAAATGATAAAAGAATAGTTCATAAAAGGGACCTTAACTTTGACCTTAAAGTAATTAAAAAATCATCCTCTCTCATGTCAAACATTTAGTATGTAGGTATCTTTCTCCCTTTTCTCTTCTTTATTATTTTTACGAATTTTATATAACTGAATACACAAAAGTGCAAAATTGAATTTTTCTCGTTCGTTTCTCACGATGAATTTTATTGGGAAAAAAAAGAAGAAGTTATTAATATCCGTTTCGTGATTTTGGGAAATTTCACCAAATTAAAGGTAACGTTTGAAATACTCTTTGTATTCTATTTTTAACAAAAAAAAAATCTATTTCTCGTTTTCTACAAAAAGTTCTGCATTATTGAATTAAATTTCTCATTAATATTTTTATTTTTTTAATTATTTATTTTCATTTATTGTCAACAAATTTTTAAAATTAAAAAAATCAAGATTTATTTATAATAGGATTGAAAATTATTAATATCCAACTTTTATATTATCTATATTAAGATTTATTGAAATCGATAATTCGATATTAATAATTTTTAATGGTTATTTGTATGAATTTATTTATATTTATTTTATTATTTTATATTATATTCATTTTTATTTTCATTTTCATAATAAAAAGTCAGTTTTTCAAAATTCAAAATGGCGGATCCAATATGGAGGACGATTTTTAAAAAAATCGAATTTATGGTGAATTTTAATTTCTAAAATTATTAACTTGACAGGGCCTTTTGAGATATTATATATACAAATTTTCCGATAAAATCGATAAAATTTACATATTAAAATAAATAGACTATTTTTATAAATATTCGTAAATATTATTATATTTTTAAAAAAATTTATTATTATCAAAAAAAAAAAAATTATTGTTAAAAAAAAAATGTTCATAAAATATTTTTAAAAAGCGCAGTTTATTTTAGAACGTATAATATATTATACGCAAAAAGGGCAAAAAGTTAATAATATGTGCACATCCTGAGAAGTGTTAATAAAATTATGAGAAAATATAAGTTAAACGAACAATAAATTTTTAATTACAATATTTTATATTTAAAGAAAAGAGAAAACTGCAAAAAAAAAAAAATTGTGAAAATACTTAATAAAATATGTCAAGATCAAAAATTTGTTGAAGGAGAAAAAAAGGAGTATTTTTTCCCTCGTTTGATCTTTATGTAGAAGAAAAATTTACTCTCCGGAGAGAAAGATTCCGGGAAAAAAATGGCAAGACCGGTAATACGATTATATATATATATATATATATATATATATATATATACGTTTATGTATACATATATATATATACGTTTATATACATATATAGATATATACATACGTATATATACCTATATATACACTTATGTACATATATTCACCTATATATATATACAAACATACATAATACACACATAAATACATAGCAGTGACAAAAAAACCCCCTCCCTCATGAAAATTGAACGAAATTTATAAGAAAATGAGAAATAGAGATAAATATGGCGGGAAAAAAAAAATGTGAAAACCGACAAATTTTTTCCTCTTCTCTCAGAGCTCGCCCCAAGTAAAAGAAACAGAAAAAAAAGGATAATTTCTTTTTGACGACGAACCTGTCGAAAGGCAGACGTGTAATTTTCACAGTTGCCCGTAAATTCACATCCAGCATGTCACAACAAGGTCGTCCCAACTTTTATCCCGGCGAATTTTTATTCATAAATTTTTTTGACGAAAAAGAAAAATTTTAAGAAATAGAAGAAAGACAAGAAAATGGAATGTATGTCAAAAAAAGAAAAAATTAAAAATGAGAAACAGAGAGAGAGAACTCGTGGATTATTGCAAATTTCTGTTTTCTTTCCGCGAAGGAAATGGATGGCGAGAAAAGAAATCAGCGACAAACACCGACACGACGATGAATATTGAGAGGACACGGCCTCCCGAAGACGCTGTTTTGTCGATAAGGGCCACACGTAAAAATAGAAATAAAAAAAAGTTGGAACACGCTATTTGAAATCTAGGTCGAATAAATCCGATATTTTGTATTTAATAATCGTGATAAAAAAAACGAATTCATATACGTAAAAAAAAAGAAAGTAAAAACACGAAATCCTTTTTTGAAAGAAAATCCTCACGTTGTGTCTATATGTATCTGTTTCAGTGTCATTCCAATCTTTTCTCTCTCTGATTGGAAAAAGTGAATGAACCGGCGGAAATTGTCACAAACATTTTTTAATTTTTGGAAAAATTACCTCTCCTCTCCCTTGTAGCACAGAGAAAAAAAAATGTGGTTCTCTTACCTTATTTTATTCCCTTCACTGAATTCACTGTTATTTTCTTTTTTCGGATAAATTTTCTCTTGTTTTGAAATATTACACACTTGGAAATAAAATTCGTGTGATTCCAATAAATTTTTGCAATTTGATTCAAAGAATTTTTTTGAGTGTGTAAATATAATTTTTTTTTTTACCACACAGAGAAACACGCGCGGACGTTTTGTGAGTTACTCAGGAATTTTTAACACGTCTGCCGGACACACACCGAAATATTCAGTCAGAGGTTTGGGATCGGGTTGAAGATCGTAGCGCGCCCCGTGTATCAAGACCGTCTCTCTCAACGCTGATTGGCCGATTGTCAGGTGCTTCTATCAGTTGCTTCTATCGACCCAGAATGCATTGCGAGTAACGAGCCATTTTCCCGCGCCGCTCGTGTCTCCATTCAATAATATTTTTTCCCTTTAAAAAAAAAGTGAGAGAAAAAAATATTGAATATTTTTTTACACCCTACGCTCTTTTTTTAACGATTTTTCTTTCTGGTTTTTTTTTAGAATTTTTTTTTTCTTGGTGAATTTCTAATATTGAGTTACTTTTTGAAAATTGAATAAAAAGAAGTGACTAAATAAATCCTCTTTTTTTCATTCATTTTTCATGTCGTGGGTTGTCGTGGGTTATGGAAAAGTCGATTTTTATGAATATAGATATATGTATATTAACCATTGAGACACAAATTGTTAAATTCATTTTGGGTCGGTAAAGAAGTAAGTTTGCTAACATTTTTCAAAAAATAGTTCCGTTTATTCTTTCTTTCCTTTTTCTTATCATTATAATATACACTTTTTTCATGACTTTCTTTCCTTTCTTTCGAATGTTTCAATTATAATAAGTCAATAAGTGAATATTGTATTAAAATGTTCGATTTCATCAATAAAAAAATACGTGAACAAAATTAAATAAGAAAGAAATTTTTCAATCGAAAGAAAATAATTTTTGGTATTTAATTGAAGTAAAAATCGTAAAAATATTATACCAATCACACATAACCTTGAAATGCGAAATCCAAAGTATCTGTAAGCAGATTTCCCAAAAATGGCTAAACAAGAAAAAAACAAAAAAAAATAAATAATATTAACTTTTTACTATTTTAATTTAATAAATTTGATTATTAAAATATTAATTAATAAATAAAATAAATAATCATTAATCTTTGAAGTGAATAAATAATGTAATAATTTGATTTATTATTAAATAAGAATAAAGTGATTTCAATAAAATCAAAAAATATAATAAATAAGATAATAATAAAAAAAATAATAATAATAATAATATAGATAAAATAAATAATTAAAATATAAAAAATATAAAACAACAATTTTTGAAACATTTTTTAACGTTATTGTTATAAACAGAAATTTTTTTTTATTTTTTACATTTTTAAATGACAAAAAAAATAAAAGAAAACATTTTTTAAAAACTAATTTTTACGTGTCAATTTTTAAATCAATGAAATACAAGTAATAATATGATGAAAGTTTATTTTTAGAAAAAAAATTATATTTTCGTGCAGAAAGAAATTATTTTTTTTTGCCTGCTAACTTTTCTAGGTTAACATGACAAACTCATCTCGATTATTATTATTTATCGCACAAATGTTGTATAAATTATTAAAATGTATATTCAAAAAAAAAAAAAAAAACTGAAAATATGATTTTCAAAAAGCCAAAATTTTAAATAAATTCATTTTTTATCATGTAAATTCCTGTCCAGTGTTTAAATAAATAAATAAATAAAATTAGTTTAAAAACAAAAATGTTTAAATAAAAAAGTTCAAATTTTGCACATTTAATTTTTTTTATAAAAATAATAATAATAATAAATAATAATAAATAAAATAAACAATAAATAAAATTTAATAAAAATTGTAATATTATAATTATTTCAATATTAAAATTTTTAAAAATTTATTTATTCATAAAATTAAAAAAATTTTAATTCAAAAATGTAAGATTTAGATTTTTTAAAAATTAAATTTAAGTATTTCTGTTTCTTATTTTATTTTACTTTTTTTTATTATTTAACTTTATTTTTCATTTTAATCAATTTTTTTTTATTTTACTTTATTTTACATTTTTAGTTGACTAAATTTTTATATTGTTGTTAAATAAATAATTAACAAGTAGAGAACAGTAAAATAAAAAATTGAAGTAGGGTCAAAAAGGTCCAATTTACACCCGCTTGGCTCTTCTTCACGAACGCGCGCGCAAAAAAATTATGTAATTTCCCAAAAATTACAAGGAAAAGCATTAAAATAAAGTCTCATTTGCTTTAAAAATTATTTTCTTTACTAATAAACAAATAACTTACAAATAAATTGTAAATAATATTGATCCCTAAATTGAAAAGTCTTCTGAGGTGTATTTCTTATCGAATCACCTATATAAATAGTCCTTCTTTACCCACTATTATTATTATTATTTTTTTTTGTCTTCTACGTCTTACAAAGTGAAAAAATACACTTTATTTTCAAGTACAAGTTGAAAAATAAAAGTGCGTTTCTTTTTCTCCCCCCTCGAAAATTAATGTAGAAAAAAAAACACTAAAATATACTTTTTCGGTGATATAAATATAAATTTCTTTTTTTTTCTCATAAAAAGTTTTACGTTAAAAATGAGAATGTAAAAAGTAATCGCAAAACTTCTTTGGTGGTGAAAAATCTACTTTGTTTAAAAAACAAACACAAAAATTCGTTTTGTCCACATGCACTTTCTATATAACTACTCATGAATACAATAAAAGAATTAAAATTTCTCAATTTAGTCTCGAAAATAAAAAAAATTGTATCAATGTACTTGAACACTATTATTAAGCTTAACAATCATTTTTATTCTTAATTTTGAAAAATTGATTATTTTTTCTTGTTTTTCATGTTAAATTGAAAATTGTTTTTTTACTTTTTAAAATTATTTTGATTAATAATTTCTATAATTTTTATTTTATAGTTAACTTTTAGTATTTTTAAAAAAAAATTTATTATTTTTATTACATTTTGTTTTGTATATTCTTTGCATTAATAATATTCATTGAACTAATTTTTTCTTGGCAAAAATTTTATATTTTAAAAACTAATTGAACTAATTCTTTGCATTAATAATATTTTTTGAACTAATTTTTTTTTGACAAAAATTTTATATTTTAAAAACTAATTGAAAGATTTAATAAATAAACTTTGTAGTCGATAGTTTAAATATTTATTTAGATTTCATGATTTTTCCCGTACTCTTAATATTTATTCGTTTTGCCGAACGAAGTAAATAAATAAAAAATAAAATCTTATTCAAAGTATCAATTATTTAAAATTTTTAATGTATTTTTTTTAAGAAAAAAACTATTTTAATTAATCTCATTTTATAAGGTTCTTTCTGAGAAATTTTTATAAATCTTTTTTAATTTACAATATTCATTTATTTTATTGATTGCTCCTTTTATTCGTTGGCGTCAAAAAAAAAAGAAATCATAATTTCCAGTATTAAAAATTAATAAATATCCCCCCCCCCTCTCTTGAAAAACAAGAAAAAAATAATATTTTACAAATTAAAAAATTCAATACTAAATTCTAAGGTATTAAACTTATTAATAAATTCCTTAGGAACGTCCACTTTCCGATATACACATATATTTTTTTTTCGAATGCAATAAATAGTAAAATTTCACCAGAAAAATTTTCTCCTTTCGTTCTAAAGATTATTGTAATTGCTAGAATAAGTTTTTTTTGTAGGTATTAAAAAAAAAGGGTGAAATTAATAATAATAAATACATTTAAATTAATGATAGCGATAGAAAGAAAATAATAAATTGAATCTCTTGAGTAACAGGCGAGTTTCCATTGTCTTTTTTTTTTTTTTTTGTAATAAAGTCTTTCTCTTTTGTATTATCGCGTATAAAAATTTTAATTCTTCAAGTTGTAATAAATGACAGTCACTTGACTAAGTCAGGTTTGTAGTTTTCTTTCTGTTTTCATCATGATGGAAGCTATTCGACTTGAAACGGTTTTCTTTTCTTTTTTTGTTTTTCCATTTTAGAATTTTTCTTTTTTCATTTTCTAGCTTGAAGGGCATTCGACAGCCAATCCATGGCTGGATCGAGACCCTCTCCTTTTTTTGCCGACGTTTTGAATATTTGGAAAGTTCTATTTTTTAATGCGTCCAGTCCAAGCGCTTGATGAACTTCGGCCACTGTTAAACAGCCAGGCATGTCTTGTTTATTTGCTAGTACAACTAAAATTGCGTTTTGCAACTCGTCCTCCTGTTTGAACAAAAAAAATTATCGTCATAAATATAAATTATAGAAAATAATAATACAAATATTAACGAGCTTATTATTAAGTATTAACGGGCTTGTAAATGAAAAACAAAACGAAAATAAAAAATAAAACGCCAAAAATATAAATTAACATAATGAAACAAAATATAAAATAAAACGACAAAAATATTAAATAACAAAAAAAATAAAAAAAAATATATAAAATATAAAATAAAACGAAAAAAATATAAAATAAAATAACGAAAAAGTATAAAAATTAATAAAGAAATAGACAATAAATAATAATAATAATAATAATAATAATAATAATAATAATAATAGTTTAGAAAAACAATAGCAATAAAATAATTAAAAAAGTGTAACCTCTTCAAAATTAAATTATTTTCTAGAATTTTTAACTAAAATAATAATAATAATAATAATAATAATAATAATAATAATAGTTTAGAAAAACAATAGCAATAAAATAATTAAAAAAGTGTAACCTCTTCAAAATTAAATTATTTTCTAGAATTTTTAACTAAAATAATAATAATAATAATAATTGTATTATTCATATATTATTTTGTTATATAATTTAATTTTGGAGGAAGAAAGAATTTTTTTTTCTCACCCTCAACATATAGAGCAATTCGTCTTTTGATATTCCTATTCTATCTCTATCGGCGGAATCGACAACATAAATAATTGCGTCTGTATTTGAATAATAACATCTCCAGTAAGGTCTAGAAAAAATAGATTTTTTGAAAATTTATCTCCTTCTTGTAATTTGTTTAAAAAATTTGCTTTTTTCACTTTTTTTTACCTTATGCTAGTTTGTCCACCAAGGTCCCATACTTGGAATTTTAAATTTTTATACGTAACTTGTTCTACATTAAAACCTATCGTAGGAATTGTCGTCACCACTTCTCCAACTTGTAACCTAAAAAATAATAATTAAATTTTATTCATTTTGTCAGGCAAAATACTTTATTCTTAGCTTCTTTAAAATTCAATTAGAAAATTAAATTTAACAATTTTTGTTTTCTTTCCTTTTTTTCTTTACTTATTTATTTATTATAATTATTAATTACTATTATTAGTTAACAAATTATATTAATTTTTATAAAATAATAATTAATTATAATTATAATTTTTAAATAATAATTTTAGTTTAATTTACGAGAAATATCTCGAAACTAAATAATATAATGAAAATAATATTCAATTTATAATAATAATAATAATAATAATAATAATATATACAAATATTAAATTATAAATAAATATTCTCATCATTTAGAACAAAATGTTTCTTTCGATGTTTAAAAAATCCTCTTCATATGATATATTTTTATACTCTTTAATTTTGTTTTGTTTTTTTATTTATTTATTTATTATTATTATTATTTAACAAATTATTATATTTATTTTTATAAAACAACAAAATCACTTTAATTTACCAGAAATATCTCGAAAAACATAATAATAATCAAAATAATATTTAATTTCTAATAATAATAATAATATTTACAAATATATAAAAATTAAATAAATAGTCTCATCATTTAGAACAAAATGTTTCTTTCGATGTTTAAAAGATCTTCTTCATATTATATATTTTATACTCTTTTACTTACTTACTTTTGAAAAAAATTTGTGCTAAAAACACAAAAAAAAATAGTAATAAGTGTTCTGAGAATGTATTATTTTATAATATTACTTGAAAAATAGAAAGAAATAGAAAATACAATGAATAAAATGTAAAAAAATTAAAAAGTAATAAATTTCTCAACAGCAAGTTAAAAATATTTTCAATAAGATAATTTTACTGAATATCAATTTGTAAAGAATTTGAATCGAACAATTTTTTTAAAAATTTTATTCTTCGAATTTAAAAAAAAATGACATTTAAAAATCCAAAATAATAACAGAAAATTTCTAACCTAAAATTTCAAAATTTAGAAAACTCCATTTTTTGTATATATTATTATTGGAAAAAAGGAAGTAGAAAATGAATAATTTAGAAAAGAAAAAACAGCTGTTAAATAAATGTATGTCTCATATTTCTCTTATCAGAAAGTAATTAGAAAAAAAAAGTAAACTTGACACAGATTTATATCGAATTTTAATTCTACTAATGAAAGAAAAATTTAAGTATATACAAAACCTGTATAAAATTGTCGTTTTTCCAGCTCCGTCCAAACCTAAAATTAAAATTCGCATTTCCCGACTGCCGAGTAAATTGCGAAAATAACTAAATACACCTCCTGTAAAAACCTTTTTTTAAATACCAAATTCGAATATTTAGGAAAAATTAAGGAAATAATTTTATCACAAAAGTATATGGAATAATTTTTCATGCCGGGTAACACGTAGACAAAACATTCTTTTTTCTTTTTTTTTTTTATTATTAAAAACAAAACTTTAACTCACCCATTTTTTATGCACTTAAATATTCCTTTTATCTCCAAATCATAAATTATTTCTTTTTTCACGATTTTTATTATTATTATTTTGAAAAAAAAAGAAAACTGAAAGAATTTCAATATATAGAGAATTGTGTGAAAGAGAGAGAGAAAGAGGTATTTTGATATATCAATTATTGACCGATATGGCGTTTACGATTTACTTTACCGACTTATCTCCTTGTCATGTGTGTGGAAAATTGTGACAGATGGTGATATGTAAAATCAATTTTTATCCTTTTTCCGCCATCTGGTGGATTATTTGCAAGTTTGTGGGGGAAAAATTCCCTAGATTGCGTGGATAAAGGTGCTTTTATAGCTTTGGTAATGCTTACGGTATGAAAGCACCTTTATTAAAATCGATAGTTATGAACTCGACATAATTGACATTATTCGGAAATGGTCATCATCGTAAGAAAAGAAGGATAAAATTTAAATTATTTTTATTATTATTATTATTATTAATATTATTATTACTGTATTTGTGACATTTTTTGTATGTAATTAAATAATAAACGTTACAAATTGCATGCGTTTTGTGTAACAAAGTGAAAAGAGCATAATAATACTAATACTTACGTCGAGTTCACCTATCCAACGCTGCTTGACAGCTATGAAAATCGCCACACTACCCAACCTTGCTTCTTCTCTGATTTCTTTCCACTTCCTGAGAAAATATCAAGAAGTATGGTATGTATTCTTTTCTTATTAATTTTCACCAATTTCCATATAAAATTTGCATCTGCATGTGAAATTCTACTCGAATATTAACAATTAATCAATTTACTTTGTTTTTTTTGTAAAATTTGTTCATTTTTTGTTTGATATGCGACAATTACAAATGGAAACATGATAAGTTAACCTAAAAAATGGAAACGTGCTTTTGAAGCATTATTTCACTCACACACTCGTCACTTATTGTTGAAATCATGAAAAAAAGTAGATAACTTTTATTTTTGTTTATTATTTATTATTGATGTCAATGGAAATTTGTTTGTTTTCTCTTCTTTATTAGAAAAGTGTGAAAATGTATTTTTTTGCATGAAATAAATTTGCGTTGAAAAGTACTTTTCTGTTTCTTAGTTTTTTTTTGTCGCAAAAATTTCATGTTAAATTCTTTTTTCTTCTAATCAAATCGAAAATTTTTTTTTCTTAATTATAGAATTTCGAATTTTATTTTTTTTACAATAAGAAATTTTTAACGTCAACAGTAAAATTTCTCCATATTTTTCTGTCTAATTTAATTGCATTTCATATAAATTTGACTAAAAATTTTTTTTATTAGATTAAATTTCATTTGTTTATTTATTCAATTAATTTATTTACACAATTTTTATTTTTGTTAATTAAATTATTAAATTAATTAACTATTAAGGGCATTTGAACCTTAATGACGTCACACATGCTTTGCACAATCTGTAACGTCATCAAGGTTCAAATGCCCTTAATTAAATTATTAGATTAATTAATTATTAATTAAATTATTACATTAAATTTCACTTGTTTATTTTTTAAATTTATTTATTTATACAATTTTTATTTTTGTCAAATTTAATTTTAGAAATATTCAATTATTCAATTATAAAGAAAACTATAATTTTTTCTTTAATGATGCAAAATTTAATCACCATATTTACTGTGATGGTAAACACTGATTTAATGAGTCTGAAATAAAAATTAGCAGTAAAAAATGTTTTTTTTCTTTAATTTTTCAACTGAATTCTGAAAATTTGTTGACTTTTATTTAACAGCCTCCCAAAAAGGATTCGAAGGGGTCCTCCAAACAACCCCAGAAGACCCAGAAGAAGAAGGAAGGAGGGTCTGGAGGCAAAGCCAAAAAGAAGGTTCGAATCACGAAATTTCTCTTTTTTTCAATTTAAAAATTTCGAAAATTAGTCTTTAACATTTTTTTTAAAGTAAACATGTTAAAAATTAAAGTTAAAAGAATGTTAAAAACATTCATTTTAACTTTAGTTTTTTAAATTAAGTCAAAAAACTTAAGTTGAAATAAAAGTTTTTAAGATTTTTTTAACTTGAAAATTTTTAATTCAGTTTTAAAAAAATGTTAAAACCTTCATTTTAACTTTAATTTTTCAAATTGATTTAAAAAACTAAAGCTAAAATGAATGTTTTTAACATTCTTTGAACTTGAAATTTTGAAATTAATTTAAAAAATTGAAGTTGAAACAAATGTTTTTAACATTTTTTTAACTTGAAAATTTTAAATTTCAATTCAATTTTAAAATTTCAAGTTAAAAGAATAAAATGAAATTTCAATTCAATTTTAAAAAAATGACTGTTTTTAACATTTTTTTAGCTTGAAAATTTTAAATTTCAAGTTAAAAGAATAAAATGAAATTTTAAAACTGAATTGAAAATGAATGTTTTTTTTTACATTTTTTTACCTTGAAATTTTGAAATTAATTTTAAAAAATTAAAATAGAAATTAATGTTTTTAACATTTTTTTAACTTGAAATTTTTAAATTTAAATTCAGTTTTTAAAAAATGTTAAAAAAATTCGTTTCAAATTCAATTTTGTAAATTAATTTAAAAAATTAATGTTAAAATGAATGTTTTTGTTAAAAAATGTGAAAAACATTCATTTTAACATTTTTTTAAAACTGAAGTTCAAAAATGATGGAATAAACTTTTATAATACAATTATTTTAAATAATTGACACAAAAGTTATAAGAAAAAAGTTATAAAGTTCAAAAATTCCAAATTTATCTTTCGAAAGTACCGAAAATTGCAAAAATGTTTCAAATTAAGAAATTTTAATGATTTATTTTTTATTTTGTTTTTAATTTAAAAAGATCAAATATTATAAAATTAATAAAAACATTCAAAGAATTTGAAAAACTATTAAAAATAAGTATTTATAAAATAAAATTCCTGTAATTTTTATTAATGATGCAAAATTTAATTACCATATTTACCGTGATGGTAAAAACTGATTTAATGAGTCTGAAATAAAAATTACAAGTAAAGAATATTGAAAGAAATTCTTTTTTTAATTTCCTTTTTTTATGGAAATTTATGAAAAAGAAAATTTTGTCACTTTAAAAATTATAATTTCTTTAACAAAAATTGTTGCTAATAAATACGAGCAACAACAAAATAATAGTAATAATAATAATAATAATTAATAATAAAAAAAATTAGTTTTATAAAAAATTAATAGTATAAAAAATAAATTACATTATGAAAGTATAATATAAAAATAATTCATAAAAGTATATAATAATATTTTTAGTAAATATAATAAAAATTCTAATAACCAATTTGAGATAATTTTCTTAAACGTTTAGTTTAAAAGAAAATTTCAAATTTTAAATTTAAATATGTAAATTTTAAAAAAATTGACAAAAAAAGAAAAGAAAACTGAAATGTGGAATTTGAATTTGCAGAAGTGGTCCAAAGGAAAAACCCGTGATAAGTTGAACAATCATGTCTTGTTCGATAACAGCACATACGAGAAATTGTACAAGGAAGTTCCATTGTACAAGCTGATCACTCCATCGATCATTAGCGACCGATTGAAGATTCGTGGCTCCCTGGCAAGGCGAGCGCTCATCGAATTGGAGAAGAAAGGACTAATTAAACAAATTGTGCAACATCACGCACAATTGATTTATACTCGTTCCACTAAAGTTGATGAGTAAAATTGCAATGTGTCCTTTAAAATAAGTGAAAATAAAATTAAAGTTCTACAAATTTACATTTTTTGTAATTATGAATCATTCTTCTTTTTTCTAAATAAACTTAAAACTAGTTTTCAACTGAAAAAATAGGAAAATGGATTTTTTCCCGTTACGCAAAAGTTTCATTTTTTTTAATTGAAGAAATTAAGATTTTTGAGTTTTTTTAAAAGATTTTTTAAAATTATTAACTCAATTTTTATTTCTTTAAACCTTTTCTTTAATTATTAATAAATTAATAAATTGGCGAATTTTTCGATTTTTAAATTTCATTCTATTTTGAAAACAAATTCTATTGTGTCTTTGATAATTTATTTGAAAATAATTAAAATTTGATATTCATTCGTTTTTTGATCTAGAAAAGATGCCATAGGTAGAAAATTAAGAAAAATTATTATTAAAACATTTTTCTCAATTTTCTTAAGAAAAAGCAGAGAAAAAGTTTTAAGGAAACATTCTGAATGAAAGTGTTACGAAATGAGCATTAATTTAAAGAAAATTAATTATAAAATAAAATTCCTGTAATTTTTATTAATGATGCAAAATTTAATCACCATATATATTACCGTGATGGTAGAAACTGATTTAATGAGTCTGAAATAAAAATTACTAGTGAATGACAATATTGAGAGAAATTCTTTTTTTTAATTTCCATTTTTCATATATGTAAATTTATAAAAGAGAAAATTCGTCGATATGAAAATTATAATTTCTTTAATAAAAATTATTTTTATGTGCTAACATAAAATCAAAATTTTCATTTTTAAATTTCGATAAATTTTTTAATATTTAGATGCGTTGAATTTTATTTTTAAAATAAAATTCTCATATATTCTATTTAACGCATCCTAAATGAAAACTAATGTATTTAATTATTGTTGTTCTGTTTATAATGATATTACTGAGAATATTACAGCGATCGAGAAATTTGGGAAAACCGGCATTTACTCATAAATAATAAAAAGGTTATAATAATATCTTACCAAAAAAATTAATAAATAAACATTCGTCAGCAAAAAATAAAAATAAATTCACCCATCAAACGTCAGAGAAAAACATAGAGTTTGGAGTCATAACTAAAATAAATGAGAATCGAAATTATAATAAAGAATTTAGAATGAATAAGGTAAAATAAAATATCAAATTTTTAAAATTAAATTTTAAGAAAAAACTTTATTAAGGAAAAGTTGCGTAATTTTATTCTCTACAAGGATACCTACACGGAGAGAAATATCTGGGCTTTTTAGCATGAAGTTTTTCATACTACGATTGCAAGAAACCTATGCGATTTCGGTAAAAGTTTTCTGCAATGTGATTGGTCGGCCCAGGCTCTGGGCGTGGCCTAATAGCCAGTTGCAAGGGTCTAATACCGAAAAAGCATAGGATTCTTGCAATCGCAGTATACTTTCTTGCAGTCATAGTATACTAACATTTCATACTTTTAAAATACAAAGCATTCATGCTATAAACGATTGATTTTTCTCTCCGTGTATGAAATTAAAAAATCGTTTTTACATTAAAGGGTTAATTTTTATAGCTAGATTTCAAAATTATTAATTTACTATTAATTATTAATCAACTATTAAAATTATCCATAACTTTTTATTTTCTTTTCTCAATCATTATTGTGACGAATAATTATAGAAAGTTTCAAAGTAAAAATTAAATAAAATCTAAAGTAAAATTGTGGGTTAATAATAAATTTAGATAAATTTTAGGCAAGATTTGTATTGTTTCTTTATTACAAGTGTGTTTTCTTGTACAAATTATTTATAGCCTTAGATTTACATTTCTCTCTCCGACAGAATTTTACTGCGCGATATGTATTCTATTTTTAGCATGTGTCTAAGTCCAAAATTTTTTGATTTTTCAATTTCAATATATTGTACCAACTGATTTACATAATATTTTTTTTGAATAAAAGTTCCATTTCTTTCATATTTTTTTTTACAAAGCAATGAACAACGCGAGAACATTGCGACAATTGCGGAAATAATTCTAAAAACTATTTTAAGATTATATTCCGTAGGCCTGAAAAAAGTTTTGACAAAATAATTTAAAAAAAAAGAATAATAATAATAATGGTAAATATACAATAAACGACAAATATTCACAAAGACATACACGCCACAAAAAAATTTTTTTTCTTTTCATTTGTTTTTTCTTATTAAAAATTGCACATCAATTCCTCAGAATTCTTGATTCATTCAATTTTCATTTGCTTTCTTTTTTCTTCTATATACTACTAAAGAACAATTATCGGACGCAAGAAAAGACAATATATTTATATATATATGTATATAAAAAAATTAAAGCCTATACGCAATATTAAAATACAAATTCCTTGAGTGTAATTTTCGACTCAATTTTCACCACTCGTCATTTCATTTTTTCTTTTCATTCACAAAAATTCATTAAGTATGTACAGTGTTTTTGTTTTTTGTTTCCTTAACATTTTTTTTTCTAAATATACAGAGAATAAATTATCTATAATTAATTGTGTCCCCCGAGCTCGTAGCTCTTCAAAAAGTCTCTTGCGATAAATCGGCCAAGAATTTTTTTTTTGCAAATTTCGAGGCAAACGCAACTGCAGTTACACTAAAGAATTAAAAAAAAGATAATATCGAAAGAAAAAGAAAAGCTTTTTATAAAAAGAAGAAAAAATAATATTTTACATAATCTACAATAATAATATAAAAAAGAAATTATTAAACTAAAAAATTTTTTAAAAAAAGTAAAAAAAATCAATTCGTAAAAATTTTTTTTATAAATTAGAATGTAAAAAAATATTTTAATCAAAATAATACATTATGGCACATTAACAAATCTATTAAAAAACTTTTTAATTTTGATTTTCAATCCACGATTTAAATTTAAATTATTTTTAGGTTTGCAAATTTACTTTTAAACCGGGATTTTAGAATTTAGACCTAAAAATTTTTTTTTAATTTTCTGCAATGATATGAGAATTTTTTTTAGTTCTAGAAATTGATTTTTCAATTAAAAGAAAAATGTAGGTCTAAAAAGTTTTAGTTAAATTGACAAATTACTTTTTAGGCCTACAAAGTATTTTTTGTAGTGAAACAATATTTTTGGGTCTAAAAAGTATTGGCTAAATTTACAAATTATTTTTTAGGTCTAAAAATTATTGGTTAAATTAATAAATTACTTTCTAGGTCTAAAATTACTTTCTTTAATGAAATAAAATTATTTTTAGGTCAAAAAGTATTGGCTAAATTAACAAATTACTTGTTAGGTCTATAAAGTATTTTTTGTATTGAAACAATATTTTTAGGTCTAAAAAGTATTGGCTAAATTAACTTATTTCTTTATAGGTCTAAAAAGTATTGGTTAAATTAACAAATTACTTTTTAGGTATAAAAAATATTATTTGTAATGAAAGAATAATAGTTTTAGGTCTAAAAAGTATTGGTTAAATTAAAAAATTATTTTCTAGGTTTAAAAATTACTTCCTGTAATGAAATAAAATTATTTTTAGATCTAAAAGGTATTGGCTAAATTAATAAATTACTTTTTAGGTCAAAAAAATATTTTCTGTAACAAAAAAAATTTTTAGGTCCAAAAATTATTTTCTGTGTTAAAAAAAATTATTTTCTAGTCTGTAAATTATGTTTTAGATGAATTACATTATTCTTAGGTCTACAAATTTTTTTCGCTATTAAAATAAAGTTAATTTATTTTTATATAAATAATAATTTTTTAAATTAAAAAAAAATACAAAATGATAAATTATTACAAATACAATTTCACTAAAAGAGAAACATTTTCATGCATTCTTTAGAGTAACTGCAGATGCAATAAAAAAATTATCGCCCTTTTATAGAGGACATACTTGACCCTCTCTACTTTTTTTTTCTAAAAAAAAAGATAAAGCAAGAGTCACCCTGTTTAGCGAAATTCGTACACGCATTTATAAAAAAAAGTTCGTTTAGTCAAAAAAAAAAAAAATAAATAAATAAAAATTTGACGACTATAAAAGAGGCAAATATAAAAAAAGGAAAATGGTTATTAAAAGAAAGAAAGAAGCGCGTACACCTAAACCATTTATAGAAAGCTGCTATTACGAATGTTTAACGTAAACAAAAAAAAATTATAAATAGAGCGCGATATTTAAATATTACAATAAATATATAAATTGTCCTCAATAATACAATAAAAATTCGCTCCTCTTTTCTTTTTTTTTACTTACAAACACAATAATTTCTTAAGGATGAGGCGCAAGTGTGTTAAAAACCTTAAGAAAAATGCATTCTTTTCCGTTATGGCAGTAAAAATATTTTCATCATTTATCATTTTATTTTATTTATATAATATAAAAAATTGGCAGTTTCGAGTTATATATTACTCTCGAAATTCTCAGTCTTCTCGATTTTCATTTTTTCGGAAAAATTGAGAATTTTTCGGAAACTGGAAATCGATTTAAAAAAAACAAAGAAAAAAACTATTTTTTTGTTCTTTTTTTCTTTTCAATAATTATATAGGAATGTTAATAGAAAATTTAAAGGTTTTTTTTCTTTCCTATTTTGGAGACATTAAAATGGCAGCACCAGTGATTAATAAATAACGGAAGTAGATAACTTAAATATAGCGTTAATCGAGTAGGAAAAGTCGTCTTAAAAATTTACGTGTGGTTTTCGCAGTGAAAAAGAAAAAAAAATTTTTTTTCGTTTTAGAAAGTCCATAAATGTTAGTTAAGAAATGTTTTAGAGTTTTTTTTTTCTTTTGGAAATGATCGTTATTTGTAGCAATTTTCATTTTGATAATAAAAATTACTTTTTGTATTTGAGTCATTTTGTTTTTAAAGGTTTTTTTTTAAGAAAATGGAATTAAAATTTTTAAATCAAAATTTTAAATAAAAAATATAAAATAATTAAAATTGGGATATTAAAAAATTGAAAAAATTATAATTTATTAAAAAAGGGTAGAAATTTTAAATAAAAAAGGCAAAAACTACTTTGCTCGTTTCAATGAAATAAATAAATAAAAAAAACAGTTTATAATATTTTAATTATAAGGTTAAAATTAAAATTTTTCTATTCTTCAAATTATGGTTTTTAAAAATTTATAATTTTAAATATTTTAATTTTTACCCCTCAACATAAAATTTTCAGTTGAAATTATTTATTTAGAGATGAACGAAACCTTTCTTTCTGAAAAATAATGGCAAAATTGAATTGCGTAAAAAATTCATCAAAACAAAAAAACAAAAAAAATCCCCAAAATACAAAAAGTTAATTTAATGAAAGTTGCTTCAAACATTATCTAAAAATAGTGACGGCATATCGGAATTAAAAAAAAATTATATTCCCCCATTAAATTTAATTAATAGACACTAAGAAGATTCCAATTTTTTTTTCGCTTATTGAAAGAAAATAATTATTTTCCCCCTAAAATTTGAAAATTTTTTAAAATCGAATTTTTCCATCTGGAATCTTCTCAATGGCACTTAGACTTTGCTCTGTGATTATTATTCTTTTTTCTCCTCCTTAGAAAACCCGGTTGATCTCGATTTTTCACAATACAAGATCGTGTATTATAACAATCGTCATATAAACATTATTATCATCACAGTAAAAATATTTCATCTTCATTTTTCATCATCATCATATCATCATCATAATTTTTTTTATCTATTGAACTTGTGCATATTTTTTCGCCTTTCGAACGTAGACAACTTTTTTTTTGTTTTTTTTTTTAGGTAGTTAAGTTGACATTTAATGAAAAATAAATTCGATTTTTGGCGTCACTCAAAAAAAATATTTGAATGCACCCTATTTCTCGCAGTTCGAATTGATTATTATTATTATTATTACAATATTAAAATTATACACACCACTAAATAATAGTCATTGGTCTATCGATGCGATTTTTCAAATTCTTTACTTGGGGTGGGGAAATTTATCAAAAACTTGATTTTTTTTGCAGAAAAGAATAAAAAAAATGGTCCACGGAACTCATCAATTCGTTTAGAAATTTTTTTTCTAAATTACGAAGATAAGTACCTTTTTTTAAAAAATAGATTTTGTTCAGGATTCGAAGGTTTTCAAATTCACGTAAAGAAATCAGTCATTTTTCTTTTTACTGTCGATAGAATAATAATTCCAAAACTGTAATTTAATAGATAATTTTTTTTTTTTTTTTGTTTTAATTTTAAATAAAGTCTTTTATCTATTGTATATGGCTTAAAATAAAGGAGTAATTACACTTCATATACTGTAATTTAATGTTCGAAAAAGGTCCAGTGACTAGAGAGCGCGAAAAGTAGGTTTTTTGAACATTTTGATACTGAATTTGAAAATTAGGGATCGATTTTATATTTTTACAATAATTTATTTTTAAGGGGTTACATCCACTTAGGATTTTGAAAAAATCGAATTTTTTTATTGCATTTTCGTAATATACTCGTAAAAGTCCGTAAAAGTCAATTTTTTTTAAAGAAAGAATTATTTAAAAAAATTTTAATAAAATTCTACGCAAACATTTAATTTTTTTTCTTTTAAATAATAAAAATTTCACAGGAATTCAATTATTTACAAATTTTTTTTATAAATTTCATCGAAACAATTCAATTATTTTCGTAAATAATAAATTTTTTTTTAGTAATTCAATTATTTATACATAAATAATAAAACTCATTGCTGAATTTCAATTATTATTTTTAACACAATTTTAATCGATTTCCTAGAAAAATATAATTTAAAATTTTATTAAAATTCGTCAAGAGAATTGAATTATTTAAAAATGTTTTTGATAAAATTCTTTATGATAATTGAATTTTAAGAAATATTATTTTTTAAAATAATTTTTTCATTTTTGTATTTCAAATTTAAATAATTGAATTCTTGTAGAATTTTTCAATAAAAATTGTTTTAAAAATGAATTTTAGTTAAAATTTTAGATAATAATTGAATATTAAAAAAATATTAAAATTGAATATTAATATTTTCAAAATAATTGAATTTTGAAAAGGTTTCAAATTAAAATCTTTGAAAATCTGAATTTTTCATATTGTATTAAAAATAATGGAATGTTTGCAAAGAATTTTACTATTCAGAAATTGAATTGTTTCGAAGAACATTATTTATGTAAATAATTGAATTCCTGAGAAGAATTTTATTAAAATCTTTGAAATTATTAAACAAGAATAATTAATTAATAAATTAGTTAATAATTTTAATGAATTTTAAAGTTTGAGTTTGTAATTATTCAAAAATTCATTTTTGAAAATAAAAAGTTTTGTAATTTGCATAATAAAAATTGAATAGCAAGTTTCGGGTTCTAGTGCGCGTAAGATTTGCTAGTGTCAAAATAAAGTTCAAATTACCCTTAAGTGCATTAATTTTTAAATTGAAATACTCAATAGTTTTCTGAGTAAAAATTCCTAAAATACCGACTTTTTTGTCTGTCTAACTGCATGTAACCCCTTAATTTTGAAATCTGAACAAAATTACAGTTTTGGAGTAAAGATGGCACTGATGGAATCCTGAACAAAATTTCCAATCGCATCGTAACTCTAGCTAGCTGCCTGTACAGGTTTTTTCATTTTTCTCCTTTTATCTTTTAAAGTTTACATATACAATATATAGTTAATTATGTACAAAATTGCGTATTATTATTAATTATAAATATTAAAACAGTCTTTGCTCGAGAGCACAACGATGATTGATGATGAATCGTCACACGGAGGTTTGCGTGACGCTGCCAGTGAGCCAGGCTCGGCCATTACTTTTGTGCTCGGGAATCTCGTACTCGGAGTCATCGATCTCGCATAAATTTGTCGAGAGATCGCTATTGCTCGTTGCACCGCCGAGGAGCGAGTTCCTCTCCTCGAGTGTAGTGATGACTGAGCCGATATCGTCGACGTCGTCACCCTTATTATTGTGACATCGATTGCGTCGCGTGCTTGGGAAACCATAAGGCACTACGTCGTCCTCATCATCCTCCTCCTCGGACTCGAGGCCATCACCCAGCCGACCGTTGAGCGGATGCGCCTCATTCTCCGTATCCGTGTTTATATTATAATGCGGTAGATACGAATTTGGATGTCGTAAATAACTTTCGGAATCCTTGTATTTGTACTCACCCTCACCGCCGCTGTCCAGTGGATTTAGTCGTTGTGTCTCTGGACAAAAGTGTTCGGAAAAGTCCGTACCGCATTCTGAATCGCCTACGTATTCCGATTCCTGGTCCTCATTCAGTGTTTCGATATCGCGTGTTGTGTCTATTGGACCATGCACTGGAAATTTTTATTCAATTTTAGCACTTTTTATTTTACCACAACGAATTCTATTAGTTAGTTAGAATGCTTGGATTTGTGACTAGAAATTTATGTCATTTTAATAATTTTCAAGTGTGAATGTAAAAAAAATCGAAAAAATTGCGACTTTGAATTTACTGCGCATGTTCTGATGTGACAGGACACTACTGCGCATGTGTTGCTGTGCCAGAACACTACTGCGCATGTGTTAATGTGCCAGAACACTACTGCGCATGTGTTAATGTGTCAGAACACTACTGCGCATGTATTAATGTGCCAGAACACTACTGCGCATGTGTTAATGTGCCATAACACTACTGCGCATGTGTTGCTGTGCCAGAACACTACTGCGCATGTGTTATTGTGCCAGACCACTATAGCGCATGTATTGACCCTTGCCGGATCTAGGTAAAAATTATCTTACCAAACATAAAAAAAACTTACTTGATGGTAACTGATGTGTGTTTGACTCGTTGCTTTCGTTACTGTGGAAACTGGATGAGTCTGGAACTTCACTTCCAGGAACTTCCGTGATATTTGGCAGCGGGTTCTGATTTGGTCTGACCCAGTCTGAACAGTCCCAGTGATAACCTGACAAATGATAAAGAAAAAAAAATTACTCAATGTTTCCTTCTTGCTAAAGCAAAAATGTCAATTTTTTCCATCGTATTGTAAAGCAAACGGAAAAGGATCAAAAGCTCGTTTTTGTCAGATATAGATTTCGATTGTAGTTACAGGCGAAAAAAGCTTATAATGCAACACAGTGGGGTTATTTTTTATCATTATTGTGAACATTTGTGTTAGTTTTCCTAATTTGGGATATTTTTCCAATTCGCAGTGTTTGGAATATTACGATTTAAAGTTGCTCCCACTTGGTGAATTCAAATCCCTGTATTTCGTAATTCCTTGGATGGAATTTGACAAAAGAGATTAATTTCCAAACTTTCGGAGTGAATTTAGAAAATTTGTTAAACATTAAACGAAAAATTGTAAGAATAGAAGAGTTATTGAGAAAATTAAATTTTTATTTTGAGGTTAGAAATTTAAAAAAAGAAAAAAAAGGGGTTTTGGCTCTTCTTCGTCACCGAACATTGGGATTAACTTACCGCCAACAATGCGAGGATCATCCTCGATAACCGAGAGAGATGTAACGGAGGAACCACCTCCGTGAGGCATCTGCCGGGTAGAATTTAGTAGAAGTCCTCCAGTGGTCAGCTCTGATACCACTGGGCTCGCTCGTCTCAGGTCTGTTAGTACATACACGATACGCTCTTGTTATTTAAAAGTTTGCCATTTTAAAAAAACACAACCATTGAAAAATGTTTCACATTAAAATTTTAAATAAAAACAATTAATTTTTTTCAGAATTTGAAATCATTTTGCAATGGGATTTTTCAGTGCAAGTAGACTAATTAGAAGAGCTTCATGCCGCAAGCGAAAATAAAAAAGTAAGAAGCTACGCTTGAGTGGGGGAAAGGGGAACCATCAGGAATATGGTAAGACTCACCATTCTTAATTTTAGCCGCATCGGAGATGAATGAAGCGAGTTGCATTTGTTCCTGCCATGAGGGTTTATGTAGACTATCGTTGTCACTACCGCCAGCGTTATTACCACCAACTGGAATTGAATGACCTAACGATGGAGGAGGTACAGGAGTTCTGCGATTCAAATTACGCAGATAATCTGGAGGGATTATCTCCAATTCATCACCAGCACTTCCATAACTTCTCAGTGTATCCAAATTGTTTAAAGCCACTGCCGCCGTATTACTATACGCAACCGGCTCATTGTTCGAACTAGGAGTATAGGAAGCGGGTCTAGGGGGACATTGGGGAGGTTCTCTCTGCAAAAAAAAACACACAAAAAAACTTTTTAAACTCAAAAAGCACACGCGATAATATTTTTGGGAGAGAGACTTCTTTTTTATTTTAGCAGCAAACTTAAAAAAAAATGCCGTCTTAAAGGGGTTACATCCACTTGGGATTCACTTCGATTTCAGAAGGCGACATTTTGTCAAAAATTATTTTGTTCTTGCCTTCGATTACATCACTGGATGTAACCCCTTAAGATATTATGAAGGTCGTATCGCCTTCTTTAAAAAAAACATGCCTCTCACTAGAAGAAGAAGAAGAAATTATAAATCTGAAAAAATTACCTGTATAACTTCCAAATTACTGAGTTTGGAACTCCGCTTGAATTCGTGTTCATTGGTTCTTGCTGAATTGAGGACAATTTGTTTTCTCGTCTCATTGTTGATGTGATTCGCTCTCGCGCGATTCCGTTTGCTTCTTACCTTCCTACAGGAGACGAATATTATGATAAGGATGATATTCGCTCCTAGAGCGATTCCGATCCACATGAGTTGTTCCGAAGTGATGTTGAGATACCTCGAGATAACGGACGTGAAAGCCGGATTTCCACAATTGTTCCCTGACATATCGGCCGGGCAGATGCATCTATAACTGCCTAGTTCGTTAATGCAGGTCCCACCATTCGAACAGGGGTTAGTGTCGCATTCGTTGATGTCAGTCTCGCAGCGCTCTCCCCTAAAACCTTGGCATTTGCAGATCGGTCCATTGTTTCCTTCTTCGCAAACTCCGCCGTGGATGCAAGGGTTAGGACTGCAGTACCTCCCGAATTCGCACCGTTTCCCGCTTAAGCTCAGTCCTACACATTCGCAAGTGAAATCCCCTCCTTCAGGCACTAGACGACATCTTCCTCCGTACAAACAAGGAGATGAGGCGCAAGGATCGGTATCAATTTCGCAAGCGATGCCTGTGAATCTCCCGTGACACTCACACTCGTAGTGATCGTTTCCTGACTCCTTGCAAGTCCCTCCGTTCTGACAGGGCTGCGAACCGCAGATTCCAGGCGGCGTTAGGATTATCCCCGGATCGCAACTGAATTCCACATTCGCGAATCTCTTCAAAACGGCGACACTGCTAGCTCCACTCATATGCAACGGTACGGAGATTTTCGCAATCCGCATATCGTCCATACACCCAATAAACCCACGTTGGACATCCTCGAAACCCAAGATCGAGGGATGTTGTCTAACCTCAGCTCCAAGGTACAGATCATCCGACTGGAGGTTAAGAATCTCGTTACTTCCCGGCGCGGCCCCGTGCGCAAAATACTTCCCATCGACCACCACCTTCGCACTGTTCTTATCCCGCTCCAACTGTATCTCATGCCACTGTCCATCGCTAACATAAGTACTGCTCACTCTCACCAATCCCTCTCCACTTCCCAAATCGAATCGATATTGCACCACACCGTTCGCAATCTCCAGAATATTATAATCCACCTTTCCCGCCGCGTACATCAAACTCCCAGTAAGTTGCACCGTTCGTATCCTCAACGACAAACTCAAACGATCCTCAACCGTTTCGCGAACAATCAACTTATCGATTTTATACCTAGCGTAACTCTTCCCACTGAACGAAATCGGATTCCTCGGTATGTAACATGAATCATCATGGCACTTGGAGATATTAATCTCGCACGTCTGCCCGGCAAATCCCTCCGAACACTGACAGGAATATCCCTGAATGGACGAATCAGGAATACACTGTTTGAAAATCGGACACGGATCCCTCGCGCACTCATTCACTACAAGTTCGCAATGACTACCGGCATAGCCCTCTTTGCAATTGCAATCCATCTTCTGCTTATGCTTCGGTGAAACGAAACTTGTCACATCAGTCGAAACTGGTGCAATCTGTAGGGGATCGAGTATAATCCTATCCTGACAATCGCCGTAGAGACAATAACCCTTAGTGCATTTGAATCTCACAATTTCCTCCACGACAAGTTTCGTCGATTCCTCCAACTCCTCTAGATGTTGATTTAAAGCCTCTCGTATTGTTTCCGAACTGTAGAACCCATTCGGTTTTCGCACCGCGAACAGAAGATCGAGATCATTATGAATAGCCTGACGAGGGAATCTAAATGTGGAATTTTTTGGATTTTTTGAATTCTGTCGAAGAGCGCGGGATTTTATCAAATTCGCCTCGTCTGTTGACGCTTGAACGCTAATTATCACCACGTCCTTAAGTCGACAATTTAAGGCGTTGCGCACAGTTCGTAGAAAGCCTTTCCGATGACTAAGGATAAAATCCTCGGGACTCACCTCCCTGAAGCGGACTATCGCCGAATTATCGAGCATCTTCTCGTTCACTAGGTCCACGGAGACTTTAACAATAGTGTACGAGATGAATTTGCTATCGGTCACGGTGACATTGAGTCGATATTCACCAACATCGAGTCTTGGCAAAGCGACCAGGGTCCCATCGAGTTTATCGATTTGAAAGAGATCGGTATTTGGATTCGGTGACGACGGCGCTAGAGTGTAGAGAAGAGTGTCGTACTGATCCTTATCGGAGGCGTGAACCCTGCCAATCACTCCGCCCGGATATTCGTCGAGATAGGAATTGATGACTATTTCCAAAGGTGTGACAATCGGTGGATATTGTGATTCCTCGATGATCTTCACCACGACATAGGCGTCGGAATAGAGTGGTGGACTTCCGTTGTCAAAGACACGAATATGAAGGACGTATTTGTCTTTGAGACGATTGTTGAATTTAGTCGCGGTACGAAGAGAACCGTCCTGTTCGAGGCGGAACGAGTTTCCTTCGTTGCCAGAGCGGAAATCGAAAGTGTAGGGATCGGAGTTCGGCGAGATGTCTTGATCGGTTACCATAAATTGAAGAACAACGTGACCAATGGGTTTGTTTTCTTGAATAATTGTGGTGTAATTTGCTTGCGAGAATTGTGGGGGATTATCATTGGCGTCGAGAATCTCGATGTTGACCATAACGAAACTGGTGAGTGTCGGTAGACCGGAATCGCGGGCATGAACCTCGAGAACGTAATTCGGTACCTGGAATTAAAACGACTCGTCATGTATCGTAAGTAGAGGAATTAAATTACTGAATTCGTCAATTCGAATAATTTCCAATTTTAGGTGAATAGACTTACGGTTTCTCGATCAAGAGGCGCTGCTACTGATATCACTCCAGTTTTCTCGTCGATACTAAATTGTTTCAATTTATCACCCCTTTCTATGAAGTACGAAACTATTCCGTTCTCCTCGCTATCCAAATCGTTCGCATATACCTGAAAATAATTTTTGATTCGTTGGTAACGAAATAAACGTTTCTATATTTTTATTATTAATTATGATGATTTGGTAATTCGAACTTTAGGAATTAAATACAAATATAGAGGAAAAGAAACTCACCTGTGTTACTTTTTCTCCAGCGATAGCGTCCTCCTTAACAGCAGCTCGATACGAAACTTCGCTGAAAATTGGCGGATTATCATTACTGTCGAGTACGGTAATATTAACAGTCGCGTGATTACTCAACGGAGGAATACCCCCATCAACAGCTTGAATCGTTAGGAAATAATCCCTCGCCCTCTCGTAATCCAATTGTTCAGCAATTGCAATAACACCCGTCTGTGCATTAATTTGAAACTTCTTGTGCTCATTCCCACCGATTATCGAATAGTAAACGTCGGCATTAACACCCGTGTCCTTCGATGTTGCAAGAACCCTTGCAACCTCAGTGCCAATTGCATCGATTTCCGGAACACGAGCAAAATAAAACTTGGAAGTGAATTCCGGTGGATTGTCATTGATATCCTGAACATTGACAACTAGGGAAGCGACACTCATCAATTGAGGTGTTCCTTGATCCATCGCCTGAATGGTGACATTGTACATTGCCTTTGTTTCACGATCGAGCGGCTTGGCGAGAGTGATAATTCCACTGTCGGCAGCAATTTGAAAATGATTATTCGCCGAGTCGATAAATTCGTAACGAATCTTTCGATTGATGCCAATATCATCGTCAGTGGCGTGGACTTTTGTCACCAAAGTTCCAACTTCTACATCCTCCGGCAGTGTTGTACTGTAGGACTGCATCATAAATTTCGGAGCATTGTCATTCAAATCGGAAACGAGTATCTCCAATTGTGACGAACATTCCCAGGTCGGTTTGTCTCGATCCTAATAGGAAAAATTTGCAGAATTAGCAAAAAGAATTATTAGGAGACGAGAAAGGAAGAAGAAAACCTACCTGTACATGAGCAGTGAGGGAATATTTCGCCTGTGTTTCGCGATCCAATTGTCCAACAGTCTTCAGGACCCCAGTGTCCTTATCGAGCGAGAACTTCTCCTTATTATCCCCGGTGAGATAAAAACGCAACTTTGCATTCTCCTCATCGTCATAATCTGTTGCCAGAACGGTCAGAACATACGTTCCGGGATGTGAACCCTCGGAAAGAATCTCTCTATAACGGTATCGAAGGCAATAGGGAGGATTATCATTCACATCTAGGACTTCTACAGTCACCTTCGTCTTGAATACGAATTTTCCGTCTGTTCCAGTGACTGATAATTCGTATCTGTCGGTTGTTTCTCTGTCCAGAGATTTGGCGACAAACACTTCACCGGTCGAACGAACCTGAATTCGTAACGAATCGATTAATGCCAATGGTTTGTAAAGAAGTAGGTAAAAGGATAAATAAATAAGGAACAAAGATACAATTTCTTTGTTTCATATATACAGACCTGGAATTGCGATCTTGGATCTCCGGCAGTAATGTAGAAGTCGACTGATGTATTCATGTCAACGTCCTTATCGGCTGTTGACAATTTAACAAGAACCGTTCCCGGGAGGGCGTTTTCCTTAACCGATGCTTCGTAGGGACCGTCGACGAAAATTGGTGCATTATCATTGTAGTCCTTCAATTTAATGTGAACCGTTGTTCGGGCAAAGTGTTTCGAATTTCCATTGTCAGTTGCAATGACCTGAAAAAGTATGTAATGGGTTTTTAACTCGTCGAACAGGATAATAACCACTGAATTATAAACAAATAACACGTGAATTATAAAATAGAACGGGAACTCTAAACAATCTAATGAGTTCAGAAAGATGTCTCAAACAGATGGTCACACAACAATGGTTGTTGTAAGTGTCACGTCATACTTCTAATACATAATACTTCTAATTCTCCCAATGCTCCTAATACTTCTGATGCTCCTAATACTTCTAATACTTCTAATGCTTCTAATGCTTCTAATGCTTCTAATACTTCTAATGCTTCTAATACTTATAATGCTCCTAATACTTCTGATGCTCCTAATACTTCTAATGCTTCTTAAACTTCTAATGCTCCTAATACTTCTGATGCTCCTAATATTTCTAATGCTCCTAATACTTCTGATGCTCCTAATACTTCTAAATCTCCTAATGCTTCTAATACTTCTAAAGCTTTTGATGCTCCTAATACTTCTAATACTTTTGATGCTCCTAATACTTCTAATGCTCCTAATGCTCCTAATACTTCTGATGCTCCTAATGCTTCTAATACTTCTAATGCTTCTAATATTTCTGATGCTCCTAATATTTCTTATGCTCCTAATACTTCTGATGCTCCTAATACTTCTAAATCTTCTAATGCTTCTAATGCATTTGATGCTCCTAAAACTTCTTGATGGTTCTTATACTTCTAATGCTTCTAATACTTCTAATGCTTCTGATACTTCTGATGCTCCTAATACCTTTAATACTTCTAATGCTCCTAATACTTTTGATGTTCCTAATACTTCTAATGCTCCTAATACTTCTGATGCTTCTAATGCTTCTAATACTTCTAATGCTTCTAATGCTCCTAATACTTCTGATGCTCTTAATGCTCTTAATAACTAGTTGTGTACTGTCATCGAGTTTGTTCTTCTACTCCAGTTCAGAAAATCTTTTCAAGTACCAAGTGCCTTCTTCGAATCTCTTCCTAGTCAAATTCAAACAAGGAGGTAATTTCTACTGCGAGGCACATTTCTATTTTTCTAAGGACTGCATTACCTCGACATCAATGTCAAATCAATAATTAGGTCACTCCTAGGCTGAGAGTTGTTTTATCTAATTTACATCGACACCTGGACTCCGGACCTTTCACTTTGGCTGACCCGAAAACAATTCGAGGGAAATCTACTGCATTCTCTGTTTCCGCTAGGAGTACCCAACGGGAACCTCGTGGTTATTTCACCCCCAAGCTACTAGTTCATAACCCAAAGAAAAATAGAAATTCTCCACTCACCTGAAATTTGTACTCCGCCTGCTTTTCCTTATCCAACTGCACCAATGTCGAAATCCATCCAGTATAGGCGTCGACAGTGAAGACATTCGCCAAGTCACCAATGTCCGTTCCAAAGGAATATCTCACTTCTCCATTACTTCCAAGATCCTTATCATGAGCAACAATTTTCAAAATTGCCGTCCCCTCCTCAATATTCTCGGCCAAATTCAAAATATACGGATTACTCTCAAACTTTGGTGCATGATCATTCTCGTCTAGAACTTGAAGGGAAATTTCCGCCAAAGCAGTCAATGGGGGACTTGAATCAGTTTCAGCTAAAATTCCAATTAGATGATGATCCCGAATTTCGCGATCTAAAGCCTCAATTAATGTGATTTGTCCATTTTGATCGATATCGAAGAGTGATGATTCCTCGAGTCCGGGGAGAATTCTATATTTCACGGTACTGTTCGTCACGGTTTTTAATTTTGTTATCACTGTCCCAACAACGGAGGACTCTGAGTAGAAGAACTTTTCGTTCATTCTTTCGAAAAGGGGTGGAGTGTCCTGGGGACCGGTGATTAGAATATTGAGAGGCACATCGGCGTGATAGGTTTTTAGACCCTTATCCTCGGCGCGAATGAAGATTTGAAATAATTGATTCTCCCAAGCGGTGGCGTTCTTAATCAGGAATAACGCACCGGACTCGGAATTAATTCCAAAGAGACCCTTGGCTTTTGATTCTTGGGGTTCGTAGATGGAGTACTCGATCGTTGCGGCATCGCCTTCATCAGCGTCGATTGCTTTCACCTTCAGGAAGACTGTGTTCAGGGTGAGATTTCCGGCAATTGTGGCCTTGTACTCGCCTAATAGGAAGACTGGTGGATTATCATTCTCGTCGCCGACTTTCACGCGGACCATCACGAATCCAGGTCGTCCACCGCCGTCGGTTGCCATTACGGGGATTTCGTAAAGCTTCCTGTACTCACGATCTAATTTCTTCTTGGTGGTAATTTCGCCAGTTTGTTTGTTCACATCGAAGATGTCCTTCATCGCCTCCGAGGGAATTGAATAGGAAATTTCTCCGTACTCGCCGAAATCCTCGTCGGTGGCGATGACCTGCGTCACCAGTCTTCCTGGCAATTGGTTCTCGAGGACAGTGACGTCAACTATTGGATTTGGGAATTTGGGATTGTGACGATTCGCTGGAAGGATTTCGATTTTCACTCTGGCGAAACTGGTGTAAACGCCGTCGGTTACGGAAACGTTGAGGAGGGTTAATTTGTTTTCACCGAAATTTTGCATGTTGATGAGGGTTATTATTCCGGAGTAGGGATCAATGTTGTAGGTCTGCTGATCGTTGCCGCCGACGATGGTGTAGGTGAGTTTATCGTCGATGAAGTCGGGATCGCTGGCAGTGACGACTGTGACGAATTGACCACGTTCTGCGTGCTCGGAGAGGAAACACGAGTAGGATGGTTGCTCGAATTTTGGAGGATTGTCGTTCATGTCGACAACGGTGACCCAGACGTGTGCTGTACTTGAGAGGGAAGGTACGCCTCGATCGATGGCGATCACTGTGAAGTGATGGGAGTCGTGGGTTTCGTGGTCGAGACTTCTCTTCAGGAAGACAACTCCATCATCCGGATCGATATGGAAAAGATCTCTACTATTGTTTGTGTCGTTCTGAATTGCGTACCGTACTTTCTGATTTATGCCTGTGGAAAAGAAGAAGAAAAATTAATTTTTTTTACTCTTGCACCAGGTGCGATATTTTTGAGAGAAAGAGTATTCTTCTGGAAGTTTTCGGAAATTTCTCATCTTTATGGTACTGGGAACACTTTTCGCAGGTTCCCGTCAAACTCGAAGAATATTTATCGCTGCCCCAGGTCTAAGAATTAGTTATATGAAAAAGAAGGAAAAAAATAGTTCCCAAAAGTTAAGAGTGGATTTTTACAAATAACTTTAATCAAAAAGGGACAAAACACGAAAAAATTGCAGTTTCTGCACTAGGTTCGATCTTTTTGAAAAAAACAACTTTCTTCTGGAAGTTTTCTAGCATTTCATATCTTTAGGATATAAGGAAAACATTTTTTCGGTTCCCGTCAAACTCCGCACCAAACTTTTAATTCCACGTTCATAATACATCACAAAACTCATATTTGGGCGAATTTGCGGTTTTAAATGAATTATTGTAATCACCAGGTGATTAAATACAGAAATAAAAGAATTTTTTTATTTTTTGCACTAGGTTCGATATTTTTGAAAGAAAGAATATTCTCCTGGAAGTTTTCATCAATTCCTCTTCCTAAGGTTCCAAAGAACACATTTGCAAGGTTCGCGTCAAACTCGCATTATTCTTTTAGCTAAAAAACTCTAGTAAAAAAATTTTTCACTAAAAAATAGTTAATTTTTTTTGCTTCACCTGTATCATTATCTCGGGATGTAACTTTGAGAACTGATGTTCCAAACGGCGCGGCTTCGGAGACGGAAATATTGTAAGAATCCTGGCTGAATTCCGGTGGACAGTCGTTGACATCCTGGACTAAAATGCTGACGAGCACCTCAGCGAATACACCGGAGACACTGTCAGTTGCTCGTACTGTCAATTCGTACTGTTTCTTCTGTTCGTAATCCAGCTCATCGACCACATAGATTACACCTAATTCGGTGAAGAGAAGGTTGTAGACCCAAAAGCACTAATTAGCAAAATATCGACGAAACTGGACCAATTTTTCTCGAATTTTATTATTTGTTTGTTGATATTAAGTTTTTAAATTTTTGTTTAAAAATAATTGCTTGTAAATGTCTTTTTTCTCTAGAGATAAAAATATTTTTTTTAATTTCTTAACTTTTTTATTTTTTTTTTACTTTTCTACTTCCTTCTATCTTTTTATTTTTCCTTTTTTAAAATTTTTTCCTCCACTAAATGTATAAAATTAATTCCATATCATTTTTTTTTCAACAAAAAGAAAATCCAGTTTTGTCGATATTAGAGAAATCTAATGAATGTAGCAAGTGCAATAAATAAATACTATTGTGTATATAAACAATAAAAATTCAGTTTATCTTTATTTTCTATTAATAAAAAGTATCTGTATCTATTTGAAAAAAAAAATTTTACGCTTTTGCCATATTTTTATATAATTTGTGGCAAAATATATAGAAAATCTAAAAAAAAATATTCTCCAAATTTCTTTTTTTTTATTAATCAATTATGTAATAATATTGTTTGCAAAAAAATTTAGTAATGTTTGTTTTTAGAGATACAGACACAAACGTGCAAGTGGAACAAAGCTTTTGTGAAATGAAAAGCGAGCTGACGATGGTTGACGGGTGAAGAATGCATAAAAAATTTTTTTTTCGAAATATTGTATAAAAATAAAAATATATATAAACATTATGTAAAATTGAATATTTGTTCACAATGAAAAAATTCCTTTTGAAAAAATAATTCAATTAAAAATTTTGTTTACTTAATTGGAAGAAAAAATTTCAGCATCATTCAATATTTTGTTTTATTTTTATAACAGTGCGTGGTGAAAATTTAAGGGTGAAAAAAATTTCAATTATTTCGTTAGTCGAGTAATTACAGAGTTTTTTTTAAAATAAAAATATTTGTTGATTAGATAAAAATTTGTTTATCAATATATAAATAATTCTATTAAAAAATAAAATAATTTTTTTTCTCTTTGAACTTTTTTATGTTTTTAATTTTATATTTTGTTTGCTTTTGATATTTTAGTTTTTTAATTTTTTAAAAGTATAAACGAGGTATGATTATAAAAATTTTATTAAAAAATTAAAATTGTTTTCGACTATTTCTGAAATTATTTTGTAATAACTATTTTTAGTAATAATAATTAACAAGCAAAAAATGATTTTTGTTTATAATTTTCACTTCGGAGATGGAAGAAGTGTGAATTAAATTTGAGGTGGTATAGTAGAAGTGCCTCGAATTTGCATCTAAATTATTCACGGGTTAAAAGGGTTTTGTGTCCATGCATTGTTAATTCCTTAGGGATGGTATGTCAAGACTTAAAATAAAAAAAAAATTGTCAAGAAAAAATTCAAAACACACTGACACAAAAAATTGCCGAATAAAATAAAAAATTTCAGTGGCAATTTAATTTATATTTTTTAAGATGCTGGAAATTTTTTTTTCAATATTTAAAAATATTAAATCAAAGGAAAGTTAAATATTTGTGTTTTTTTCTACATCGATAAATTCTAAATTTTCAAAAAAATTATTAATGAACTTATTCGTGCGAACATGCTAAAAAATAAATACAGCAATATTTTTTTTTGTGACTTTTTCAACGATCAAAAATATTTTTTTTAACTTGCAAAAGCGATATTTACATAAAAAAGCCCTCTCTACATTGCTCTGATGTGTTTATCTATTTAATACAAAAACGGAAAATTATTTTGTACAAAAGTAAAAACGAAAAAAAGAGAAAATTTGAATTTTTTTTCATTTTTAGTGAAAAAACTGAAAATTTTAGATTAAAATTTTTATTTTTTAATTCTAAAAATAAACATAAAAATGTTGTCTGAATAAATTTTAAAAATGTAAAATTCAACAAACAAATTATTGTAACATAAAATTTAATTGATAAATTTTAAATTTATAAAATTCGGTGCAATAAATTATAGCATAAAATTTATTACATAAATTTCAATATCAATTTTAGTAAATAAATTTGAATATTAAATTTTAGAAAATAAATTTCAATGAATTTCAATATAAAATTTTAGAAAAAAATTTTAAAATAAAATTTAGACAATAAATTTTATATTAAAATTTAATGAAGTAAATTTTACATTAAAATTTTAAATTTTAATATCAAATTTTAGAAAATAAATTTCAATATAAAATTTGAGAAACAAATTTCAAAATAAAATTTAAACAATAAATTTCATATTAAAATTTAATTAAGTAAAATTTACATTAAAATTTCAATACATTTGAATATCAAATTTTAGAAAATAAATTTTTATATTAAAACTTAGAAAATAAATTTCAATATAAAATTTGAGAAATAAATTTTATTATTAAAATTCAAATAAATTATATATAAAATTTAGTAAAATTTTAAAGTAAAATTTTGGCAGTAAATTTCATATAAAATTTTAATTCATTGTAAATTTTTAATATAAATTTTAGAAAATAAATTTTAAATGAAACTTTTAAATAAATTTAAATAAAAAATTTATTTTTTAAGTTTCACATTAAAACTTATTTTAAAATAAATTTGAAAGTAAAATTCAGCAAATAAATTTTAATACAGAATTTAGTAAACAAATTTCAATATAAAATTATAAGAAAAAATTGTTAATAAAATGTTTAAAGCAAATCTCATTATAAAGAAAAAATACAAAAATATTTAAATAAATTGTTAATATAAAACTTCTAAAAAATGAAAAGTTAAAAATTTTTAATAAAGTTATGTTTTTAGTTTTATTTACTTTCTACATGTTAACAAAATTTTTCGTAAATAGTTTTAGAATTAAAAAAGAAAATTTGCGTTTTTTGAAAATAAAATAAGACGAGAAAAAAAGTGGAAAAAAAATTATTGAAATAAAAAAGTGCACAGCAGACAATGTAAGACTAAAACAGCAACACAGCAGGCCGATAGAACTGGTTTTGTTTTATACTCACAAGGACCATTGTTACTGTCGGGGGCTGCGAAACAGGTAGAGATACAAATAAAATTTTTTAATTTTTTACTCTTTATCAATACAGAAGCGTTTTTTTTTTGTTAAACTCAATTCAATTTAAATATATAATACAAAAAAATCAGACCTTGAAAATTTGTATGTGGAAAAAAATTCTTTTTCTACTGTAAAAATAAGTTTTTTTTTGAGTCAAGAAATTTATTTAAAAAGTTGATTTTCAAATTTCAATTTTTTAATAATTCTTTATTTAAATTTAAATTCATGCTTCGAAATTTTCTACAAATTTTTATTTGAATGTTTTTTTCTCTGAAATTTTCTACAATTTTTTATTTAAATTTAAATCTTTTACAAAGTTTTCTACAATTTTTACAAATTACAAATTTTCCAAATTTTTATTCTTTAAATTTTTTCTAAAAATATTCTACAACTTTTAATTTAAATTTAAATTTCCTATCAAGTTTTCTATAAATTTTTATTTTTTAAGTATTTTTTAAAATTTTTAACAATTTCTATTTAAATTTAAATCTTTTTTAGAAATTATCTAAAAAATTAAGTCTTTTTCTAAATCTACAAATATTTTTAAAATTTAAATTTGTTTTAAAAATATGAAATATGGATTTAAATCTAAATATTTTTTTTAATCTACAAGTAAAATTTTTAGTTTTACATTTTTTCTCACATTTTTTTCAATTTTTTTTTATCAATTTTTAACTTTTTTCAAAATTTTCTACAATTTTTTAAATAAAATAAATTTTAATTTAAATATTTTTTCAAATCCATAATTTTTTACTTTAATTAAAATTTTTTTTCTCAGTTGACTATTTTTTTAAAATTTAAATCTTTTTCAAAAATTTCTTTAATTTTCTATTTATTAACTCAATATGTAGATTTAAATTAAAATTTTTTTTAGAAATTTTCTGCAATTTAACTTTAAATTGAAAATACCATAGTTCAAATTTAAATTTAAATTTAAATTCTTCTATATTTTGTCACAAATTTTGTTCATTCATAAATTTAAAAAAAATGTTTTTAAAAAAATTGTTTTTTAATAGTTTTGTAAATAAATTTTTTAAATCTTTTTCCTTTTTCTTTTGTTTTTAAACACAGACCAATTTTTTTTTTTTTGAGTTTAATTTCCATAAAATTTTCATGTCTGAGTACTTTATTGGAGTTTGGGTAATCAAAGGAGTTTTAGTCGGTTTTTATGGTTCACAATTTTATGTTTTTGAAATTGTATGTAAAATTACAGTGGCTTGTCGTTGCCAAAACAAAAAAGAAAAAGAAAATAAATTTTTTTTTTTAACAGAAACGAGCAGTTATGACAAATTAACGTAACTACGTTATTAAAAAATTTGTACAATTAAACATTTACAATATATAAATTCACACGCACATATACATTTATGGAAGACATTAAAGTTGATAGTGGTTTAAATTGAGATGAAAACAGTAGAGTAAAAAAATAGTAAAAAAAAATAATAAAAAATAGAAAAAATTGAAAAATGAAAATTTACATTTATTTTTGAAAAGAAGGGTATAACTATAAAATCGTTTTTGAAATTTTCAGTTTTTTTATTTTATTTTCTTAAATGGTGTAATTTTTATAATTAAATTCTAACGGAGGGTTAATGAATAAAATCCTTTGAGTTACCTGGTGGTGATTAAAAATTAAGTCTGTCACCAGTAAATCTACTTTACTCATGAAAAAGAAAAAATTCAGGTAGTCCCATAACCGGTATTTTTTTTTGCGAAATTTTTTATAAGAATATTTGCAATTACATAACCGTTTATTAAATTTTTAAACTTTATTTCATGAAAATTATATTTTACACAATACTTTATTAATTTAAAAAAATAAAAGTAAATTTTACCTTAAATTTTAAAGTTTATAAAATTTTCCATAAACAATAATTCGTCCGTCTATATTAAATAAATAAATTAAAAATACCAATATTGGTAAAAAATCATTTTAAATATTTTTAAAATCTTAAAAAAATTTTTTAATAAAGAAAGAATTTCTCTTTTACATTTGTAAAAATTTATAAAAATGAAATTTTGTAAAAATTTCAAAGTAAATTTGTGAAAATTTTTTATTAAAGCTGTCAATTTGTAAACCTTTTTATGGTTTTAAAAATTTTTATTTGTAAAATTAATTTAATTTGTAAAAAAGTATTAAAGTTTGTTAAAATTTTTAATTTCGTAAAAATGTTTAAATTTTTTTAAAATTCAAAACATCTCAAAAGAAAGTTTTAAAACTAAAATAAAAAAATTAAAGAAAAAAATTTTTTTTAAATGTTTAAATTTTTGAAAATTAAAAAAATTCTAAAAGAAAATTTAGAAATTAAAATCGAAAATCTTACAAAATTCTATAATACTTTTGATGTGGTTAAAAATTTTAAAAAAATTTCAGAGTTGTTCTGATTAGTTTGGAAGAAAATTATAAGTAGAGAACAATTTTTTGCTTCTCGTGTTATATAAATTCAATTAATTGCAAAATTGAGAAAATTTTAGAAAACTGTTTAAAACTTACGGCAAAATAATCCTTGGAAACTTAGCTTTAATTTAAGACCAAAAAACTTGAAAAATCTCAAAGTGTTCCTGAGATATTAATAAAAATGTAATTTTTCCTCATTTTAGCATTGCCGGACATTTTTTTTAATAACTCGAAAACTATTTGAGATTTTTTGGTTTTTTTTCTCTTGAATCAAACCTTAGGTTTCACTGATGATTCACTGTAAATTTTAGATCGCTCCTTAAATTTTTCTTCAATTAACCGTTAGTTGAAAAAATATTTCAAAAAATCAAAAATATTTGAAATATTCTCTCCAAATATTCAATGAAATTTTTTTCTTCTTTTTTTGTCATATAATGTCCGGGATTAATTTTTTCTATTTTAGACCGCAAAAATAAGTAAATTAAGAAATAAAAAATATACAAAAAAGTACAAAAGATTTATTTGCTTTTTGGTAAATTACAAAAAAATACGAAAAATACGAAAAATATGAAAAAATTCTAGAAAAAAATAAGAAAAATACCCAAAAATATAAAAATTACTCACAATCAGAAAATAGTAAAAAAAATTATTTCAACATTTTTTTAAACACAAGTTATATAATTGCAAAAGTTTTTAGAAAGTTTCTAATAAAATATTAAGAGCAGCAATTCCTCACCACCATCGTAATATGATTAATTTAATAAAGCTTTGATACGTTAAATTTTAACCTTGTTCTTTAGAATATTATTATTAATGGAAATATTTATCACATACGCATATATAATTATATCAATTGTATAAATAATATAAATATATATATAATTAAATAAGAGAAAAAAGTGAAAACTCACCGGTATTGAAGTCCAAAGCGAATTCCTCAAAGTCATTTCCTTTCGTGATGCTATAAATCAATTTTCGATTCAAAGGCGATTCTGCTTGAATTGACAGTGTTAATGGAGAATGGAGTTCGATACTTTCGAGAACATTGTCGGTATAAAATTGTTTGTCGAAGATTGGCATCGAGCGATCGATTACTTTAACATTAACAGGCACTTCGATTGAGCAAGGCGTTGAACCTGAAAAATTATTTCGTTTCTGTCTGATAAACAAGTATTTTTCGGTTCATTTCAAATATAAATAAAAAATTTTCTTATAAATAAATAAATAAATAAAAAAAGAAATAAATGAAAAAAGAAATAAATAAAAAAATAAATAAAAACAGAAATAAATAAAAAAAAGAAATAAATATATTTAAATATTTTTTTAAAAATGAAAAAGATTTTTTTTTAAATATTTCAAAAAAAGTTCTTCGATCATAAATAATAAGAGAATAAAATTTCCTACCACCGTCATAAGCAGCAATCATCAACTGATATTCCCGATTATGACCCTCCAAATTTTGTTTCAGAGATATTTCTCCAGTTTTTCGACAGACTTTGAATAATTCTCCGTGTCCTTTCTTCAATTCGTAACGAACTTCTCCATTGTCGCCGCTATCCATGTCAACGGCATGCACCTAAATAGAAACATTATTAGAAACCGAAAAATCGAAGCAAAAGTAGTTTTTTATCAAATATGTAAAATTTTTGAATCTTGCACTAGGTTTGATATTTTTGAAAGGAAGAGTATTCTTCTGGAAGTTTTTGGAAATTTTGAATCTTTAGAGTATTGGGAACACTTCTGTGGGGTTCGCGTCAAACTCGATAAATAATTGTCATTGCACCAGGTCTACAAATTCGGATAATTGAAAAATGTAGAAATTTGTCGCATTTAGGCAAATTTTTGGTATTTTTTCTGTTTGTTATAATCAAAAAGTAAGAAAACGTTAAAAAATGAACATTTCTTTATACGAGCACTAGGCTCGATATTTTGAAAAAAAAGAATATTCTCCTGGAAGTTTTTGGAAATTTGGAATCTTTAGAGTATTGGGAACACTTCTGTGGGGTTCGCGTCAAACTCGATAAATAATTGTCATTGCACCAGGTCTACAAATACGGTTAATTAAAGAAAATTTAGAAATTTGTCGTATTTATGCAAATTTTTAGTATTTTATCAGTTTGTTATAATCAAAAAGTGTGAAAACGTTAAAAAATGAACATTTCTTTACACGAGCACTAGGTTCGATATTTTGAAAAAAAAGAATATTCTCCTGGAAGTTTTTGGAAATTTGTCATCTTTAGAGTATTCGGAACACTTCTGTGGGGTTCGCGTCAAACTCACGATTTATTTATCATTGCACCAGGTCTACAAATTCGGTTGAATAAAAAATGTGAAGAAATTTGTCGCATTTAGGTAGAATTTTAATATTTTTTCTGTTTTTTATAAGCAAAAAGGGAGAAAACGTTAAAAAAATTGACATTTCTTAACACGTGCACTAGGTTCAATATTTTGGTAAGGGAAAGTATTCTCCTGGAAGTTTTTGAAAATTTGTCATCTTTAGAGTATTAGGAACACTTTTTTAGGGCTCGCGTCAAACTAGAGAAATATTTGTCATTACACCAGGTCTGGAAATAGTTAATTAACAAAAACTAGTTTTCAGATGCAAGCGGTGGTTTGTACAATTACCATTGTAAATATAAATAGTATTACAAACTAAAATAAGTGACAAAACATTTGAAAAGGAAAAAAAATTAATTTATGCTCTAGGTTCGATATTTATAAAAGAAACACCTTTCTTCTGGAAGTTTTTTTATATTTCTTGTCTTTAGGGTGTAAAGAATACATTTTTAGGGTTCGCGTCAAACTCCAAAAATATTTGTCATTTCACCAGGTCTAGAAATTCTGAAATTGATGAAATTTGTCGTATTTTGAAGATGATTTTATATTTTTACCGTTTGCAATAGTTAAGTGGGTGATAAAAGAATGAAAAAAAGGATTGAAAAAGAAATTGTTCTTTTTGCACTAGGAGCGATATTTTTGAAAGGAAAAGTATTCTCCTGAAAGTTTTTCAAAATTCGTCAATTCAAGAGGACCAGGAACCCTTCTGTGGGGTTCGCGTTAAACACGATAAATAATTGTTATTGCACCAGGTCTAAAACTTCGGTTGATTAAAAAAATGTAGTAATTTGTCGTATTGAGGCAAGGATTTTGTATTTTTGCCGCTTGTTATAATCAAAAAGTGATAAAAATGGTAATTTCTTTACATGTGCACTAGGTTCGATATTTTGGAAAAAAAGAATATTCTTCTGGAAGTTTTTGTGAATTTATCAACTACAAGGTACTAGGAATACTTCTGTAGGGTTCGCGTTGAACTCGCAGCGTATTTGTCCTAGCACTAGCTATAGAAATAATAGATCTTTAAAAAAATGGTATAAATATTCAATATTTAAGCATGGGTCGTGTACTTTCACTGTCTCTTACAATTAGAAAGTGATAAAACATTAAAGAACGGAATTTTTTTTCAAACGCACCAGGTTCGATATTTTTAAAAAGAAAATCATTCTTCTGGAAGTTTTTCAAAATTTGACATCTCTGGGACACTAGGAATACAACTATAGGGTTCGCGTCAAACTGAGCCAATTTTGTCATCACTTATTCTCAATAAAATACTGATAATACTCTTACCTTTGTAATGACGTCTCCCTTTTGTGCATCAACAGAAACAACAGCATAATAAGGAAGATTGACAAACATCGGACAATTATCGTTGATATCGAGAATTGTCACATTAACAATAGCGTGAGCAACTCTGGGTTTTCTTTTATCCATTTGACTTTTTGCTTCAATAATAAGTTCATAATTGTCACGAACTTCTCTGTCAAATCTTTTTCCCGTTGTCTTGATAGCACCCGACGTTGAACCAATCACGAACATATCGGTGGGATTTAGAATACTATAGAGCACATGTTCATGTAAATCACTACCCAAAACATTGACAATTTTGACTGTCGTTATTTTTGTTGTATTCTCAAAAATGACACCCTCATAAATTTCTTTCTCAAAAACAAGACCAGAATTCTCGGATTTTTCAACGATTACATTCACTTGCGTTACACTCGAATATTTTCCATCGGAAACTCTCACGTGTAGAAGATAGCGTTTCTTTAAATTCTCTGGATCGTGAACTGTTATCACACCCGAATGGGAATCGATTTCAAACGATTGTCCATGATTTCCGTCAATGATGTCGTATCTGGAAATTAGAAATTGATTTTTGTTTTGTATTTAATAAAATTGTAAATTTTTAACCAAATAACCTTAAAATACTGTTGAAAATAAATACACTTTTGATAAAAAGACGTTTTAAAATTTTTTCTCAACTCGTGCACTAGGTTCAATATCTTTGTTAAATTAGACATTCTCCTGGAAGTTTTTGTTGATTCCGCATTACTGAATTTCGAAAAAGAGGTTTTTGGGGTTCCCGTCAAACTACGCAGAGTATTTTTATGAGAACAATGATAATAACAGGAAATATCGAAAAAAATGTACTTTTTGTGAAAGAAAAATAGAAATTTTACTGTTTGTTACAAAAAGAAGCCATACTGTATTGTCACACTACGTATAAACAACATTTTATTTTTTTGCACCAGGTTCAATATTTTTAAAAGTATAAATATTCTACAGGAAGTTTTAGTTGATTTCTCATTACTGAGGTGCAAGGAAAAGGTTTTTACGGTTCCCGTCAAACTTCGTTAGAAATTTTAATAAAAATCTTGTAAAAAGTCGACAATACGTTTTAAAATGTTCAATTTTGCAATTGTGAAGATGTAAATTTTATAATTTTTGTCACAAATTGTTTATTTTGCAATACACAAACCTAAAAAGTAAAATTTATTTTTCTGTGCACTAGGTTTAATATTTCTCAAGGTATGAATATTCCACAGGAAGTTTTTGTAGATATTTTATTACTGAGTTCTAAGGAAAAGGTTTTTGGAGTTCCCGTCAAACTTTGTTAGAAATTTTAATAAAAATCTTGTAAAGAGTCGACAATACGTTTTAAAATGTTAAATTTTGCAATTGTAAAGATGTAAATTTTATAATTTTTGCCACAAATTGTTTCTTTTTCAATACACAAACCTAATAAGTAAAATTTAGTTTTCCGTGCACCAGGTTCAATATTTCTCAAGGTATTAATATTCCACAGGAAGTTTTTAGAGATTTCTCATTATTAAGATCCAGGGAAAAGGTTTATAGGGTTCCCGTCAAACTTCGTTGGGAATTTGAATAAAAATCTTGTAAAAAGAAGAAAAAACATCTTAAAAAGTTGAATTTTTCAACCAACAGTATCCATTTTTATGATTTGTTGTCATAAATTGTTTCTATTTTCACTAGTTGGTCGAATAAGTAAAATTTTGCATTCTGTGCACTAGATTCAATATTTCTCAAGATATGAATATTCCACAGGAAGTTTTTGTGGATTTCTTATTCTTGAGGTTTAAGAAAAAGGTCTTTAAGGTTCCCGTCAAACTTCTGTTGAAAATTTTAAGAAAAACCTACTAAATAGGAAATAAAACCTAAGAATCGATTTTAAGATTTGTAAAGAGGGAATTTCATCTTTTGCAGCCACAGATGGTTTTTCTATCATTTCGAAAAACGAATAAGCAAATAAGAGTGATTCATGCACTAGGTATAATATTTTTCAATATACGAATTTTCCACAGGAATTTTTCAGTAATTCCTTATTATTCGGATTCTGGGAAAAGGTTTTTGTGTTTCCCGTCAATCTCCGTTAAGAAAAGTTTGATGAAATCTTTTTAAATTGAAATTAGAAGCTAAAAGTCGAATGTTACAAATCTAAAACGGGAAATTTGGTGTTTTTTGGCATTAGAGAGTTTTAGCACAAGTTCGTAAGTCGAATAAGTAAAATTTCGTTTTTTGTGCACTAGGTTCAATATTTCGCAAGATATGACTTTTCTCCTGGAATTTATTTTTCGAATCTATCTATTACGGTTCAAAGAAAAGTTCTACAGGGTTCCCGTCAAACGGTGTAATTATTTTCGAACATTAAATTTCTTTTTCAATATAAATCGTTATTAGGTCGATAAAAAATAGTGTATCGCTGAAGAAAAGGAAGAATTTTTATAGCTTATGAAAAAATAGTGAATTCCTTACCTTAGAGGAGTTCCTTCAGTGCTGTCGGGATCGTTCGCCCTCACTGTAATAACCGCAACATTCTTGTAAGTCGGCAAAAGAACCGTCGTATTGTACTCATTTTTCAAGAACTTGGGTGGACAATCATTAACATCAGTCACAGTGATAACAACTTTAGCCGTCGTTTCCGATGATAATTTCGGTTTTCCCAAATCCGAGACCTTGACATGAAATGAAAATTCCGGCATTGTTTCATGATCCAATACCATAACTGTCCTAATGGCTCCAGTACTCGAATCGATGTGGAAAAATTTCCTCGGTACATCCTCAACAATATCGTAATTGAGAAGAGCATTAAGTTCCGAGTCGGCGTCTTCCGCTTTAATAACCAATGGCGTACTTCCATTTGTCAAAACTAATGATCCAATGATGGCGCCTTCACTGATTTCGCCAATATAAACAGCCTGCAGGAAATGAGGTGGATTATCGTTCTTGTCCAGAACGTGGACAATAACATTACACATTGCAGTTGCACCGGCCATATTTGTTGCCAAGAGTGTTAAATTGTAGAATTTCGTTTTCTCATAATCGAGAATATTTTTTGTTGTGATAACGCCAGTGCTTGGATTCACAAAGAATGTACTGTCTCGATTTCCACGCATGATTTCAAACATGAGGGATGAGGTACTTCTTGCCTCGACGTGTTTCACGTACGTGCCAATTTGTTGGTTCTCGTAAATCTCGGCAGCGAGTTCCTTCTGCAGGAATCTCGGGGGAGCATTGTCGGCCATTGTTATCATTACATGAACAGGAACTGAATTTGATAGAGCTGGTGTACCGTGATCCGTTGCCTTCACAAGAAGAATGTATTCTGAGGATGTGCTTAAATCTAATTCTCGTGCTACTCGTATTATTCCCAGATTGGAATCGATGCTGAAAACATTGCCAACATTTCCTGATGTTATTGAGTATGTGATACGTGCATTTTTACCACGATCTTTGTCGATGGCGTAAACCTGTCAAAAAGATTGAGAAAAATTAATTTTTTTTTATTTTTGCACTAGGTGCGATATTTTTTTAAGGAAGAGTATTCTCCTGGAAGTTTTTGGGTATTTGCCATCTCTAGGGCATTGGGAACATTTTTTGGGGGTTTGCGTCAAACTTGCAGTTGATTTGTCCTTGCACCAGGTTTACAAGTTCTGGTTATTATAAAAACGTAGAAATTCGTCCTATTTAGATTAAATTTTTATTGTATTACTGTTCCTTACACTCAAAAAGTGATGAAACGTTGAAAAACTAATATTTCTTTACACGTGCACTAGGTTCGATATTTTGAAAAGGAAGAGTATTCTCCTGGAAGTTTTTGTAAACTTGTGATTTTTAGAGTGTTAGGAACACTTCTGTAGGGTTCACGTCAAACTTGCAGATTATTTGTCTTTGCAGCAGGTCTAGAAGTTTTGATGATTTTAAAAACGTAGAAATTAATCCTATTTAGTTAAAATTTTAATATTTTTGATGTTTTTTATAGTGTAAAAGTGATAGAACGTTAGGAAATGGAAATGTCTTTACACTTGCACTAGGTTTGATATTTTGAAAAGGAAGAATATTCTCCTGGAAGTTTTTGTGAATTTGTGATATTTAGAGTGTTAGGAACACTTCTGCAGGGTTCACGTCAAACTTGCAGATTATTTGTCTTTGCACCAGGTCTAGAAGTTCTGATTTTTATAAAAATGTAAAAATTCGTCATATTTAGGCAAAATTTTTGTATTTATACTGTCCTTATATACGAAAAGTGATAAAACGTATAAAAATGGATATTTCTTTACACGTGCACTAGGTTTGATATTTTGAAAAAGAAGAATATTCTCCTGGATGTTTTTGGGAATTTGAAATTTTAAGAGGACCAGAAACACGACTGTAGGGTTCGCGTCAAACACGATAAATATTTGTCATTATACCAGGTCTAAAACTTCAGTTGATTAAAAAAATGTAAATATTCGTCGCATTTATGCAAATTTTTTGTATTTTTTTTGTTTGCTATAATCAAAAAGGGAAAGAACGTTAAAAAATGGACATTTCATTACACTTGCACTAGGTTTGATATTTTGAAAAGAAAGAATATTCTCCTGGAAGTTTTTGTGAATTCTACATCTTTGAATAGCTAGGGACACTTTTAAAGGGTTCGCGTCAAACCAGAAATTTATTTATCATTGCACCAGAACTACAAAGGTTTTTTAATAAAATGTAGAAATTTTGCGTATTTATGCGAATTTTTTGGGTTCTTGCCGATTGTTATAATCAAAAAGTGAGAAAACGGTAAAAAATGAATTTTTCCTTACGCGTGCACTAGGTTCAATATTTTGTAAAGGACAAACTTTCTTCTGGGAGTTTTTGTCAATTTCCTAGCTTTAGGGTATAAGGAACATATTTTAAGGGTTCCCGCCAAACTTTAATACATATACACATTTAATTTACCTATTTCCTTAAAATTTAATAGAACTTTTTAGGTGTAATGGTTATTTTAGAGTCAAAAGGGCTTAAAAACAGTCCGTCAGTGGTAGAAATAACAAAAAAATAATTTCATGCACCAGGTTCGATATTTTCCGAAAAATGAACATTCTTCTGGAAGTTTTTGTCATTTTCTCATCTCTTGGGTGTGAGGAACACTTTTTAAGGGTTCGCGTCAAACATGCATCCATTTTAGATTCAGAATTCAATTATAATAAAAATAATAAAATTCATAATTTACCTGAACCACAGTGCTGCCAACTGCTGAAGTTTCATAAATTTTACCCTGAATAATTTCGCTCGTAAATTCCGGTGCATGATCATTATGATCGTGTACAGTGACAATAACACGGGCGTAATTTCTCTTTGCCGGCGTTCCTTGATCTTTCACCATTACAGTTAAAATGTGTTCTTCAATTGTTTCACGGTCCAATGATTCCTTTAGGGTTATTGTTTCGGTTAATGAATCGACATGAAAGATTTCCAGTGACGCTTGATTTTGAGCTGAATGAAGACTGTAGAAGACCTTTTTATCCTCGTCCTCATCTGTCGCGTGTAATTGTAATACTGTTTCGCCTTTTTCCACATTTTCCGAAATTTCCACACGATAAATACTCTCACTAAATTCAGGTCTATGATCATTGATGTCAATAACGGTGACAAATAATTGCGTGTATGCTTGATGAATACCGTCGGTTACGCTAATTGTTAAATTGTAAAAGTTTTTTGTTTCCCAATCTAATTGCTTTGCCAGAAGGACATTTCCATTGTCTCTGCCAATGAAGAATTCGTCTTTGCTGTCGCCATCTGTTGGGAATTTTTTAAATTTATTTTTCTTACAATTTCGTCTCAGAAAATGTATTTTAATTTTTTGTTTTAATTTTTTTATACGTGTTTTTATTTTTATCTACTTTTTTTATTTCTATTTTTTCTTATTATTTTATTTATTCATTATTTACCTATTATTTATTTTTGTTTATTTTATTTATTTTTTCAGTTTGTTTATTTTGTTATTTTTGTTATTTACTTTTTTTTATTTATTTATTTTATTTATTTTTCGTATTTTAATTTTAGTAAATAAAAATTTCACTCACCAATTATGTCGTACCACAAAGTGTCACCGTCTTTGTCTGTCGCTTGCACCAGTGCAACTAGGAATCCCACTTTATCACTTTCGGTAATTTTAACAGTCTGATTGGTTGTTTTGAAAATTGGCGGGTTTTCCGACTCGGTCGGTAATTCAACGACTTGAACTGATACTCGAGTTTGATGACTTCTTTGTGGTTCCCCGAAATCTGCGGCTCGTATCTTTAAAGACAAATTTTTTTATTTTTTTAAATTTATTGATTTATTTATAATTATTATATCGAAATGATCTAATGTTATATAAAATGTAATATTCAACGCAACATAAATATAAAATGAAGTTAAAAATAAAGAAAAAAATAATTTTTAAAAATTATTAAAAAATATTGTTACAATGAAATAACCTCGGAAATAACGTTATGTTAAAATTGAAATTGGAACTTATATTGAAACTTAAATTGAAATTAAAATTGAAATAAAAGTTAAAATTAAAATCATTGTTAAAATTGAAATTAATGTTAAATTAAAAATTAAAATTGAAATTGAAGTTAAAATTAATGTTAAAATTGAAAAAAAATATTAAAATAAATTTGAGAAGAAATCATTTTATAATATTAACATATCTTAATTTTAAAAGTAATAAAAGATTTAAAAAAATGAATCATATGAATATATAAGAATTTTAAATAAAATGAAAACAAAAATTATGTGTCTAATAAAAAGAGAAAAAAATTATATCTCAAAAATCGTTTAAATAAAATATTTCATACAAGCATTTCGTATTCTTGACCAGCCTCGAAACCACGTTGAGAATAAACCATTCCTGTCGAGGGGTGAATTTTGAATTTTCCTTTTCCCTTTCCACTTTTAATGCTGTACTGAATTCGTCCATTGTCTCCAACATCTTTATCACAGGCAAGCACCTAAATTTGAAAAGAAATTTATTTTTATTTTATTCCTTTCAATGTTCATCATTTTTCTATATTATTAATATTTATTTTTAAAAATTACGAAAAAATATTAAAAATTAAATGTCGATAATAATAATTATATGAATTTAAATAATTATAATATTTATGATAGTAATAATAGTAAAAAAAATAATAATATTATTAATAGTAATTGTAGTAATAGTAATAATAATACTAGTAATAGTTTAATAATAATAATAATAATAATAATAATAATAATAATAATAATAATAGTAATAATATTTTGATTTGTTATAAAATAAAGAAATCAATTGTGACGAAAGAGAGCGAGAAAGAGTGGGAGAGTCTGAACATATTTGGCTTATCTACTGCTTGTCTGACTGGACCTTGAGTTAAACTACTACTTGTCTGAGCAAGACAAACTTTCTCTACTGAGTGTCTGAACAAATTTGAAATGTTTCACTGAAAAATGTATTTCCAGTGCATGTCTGACCGAATTCGCCTTTATCTACTGCCAGCTTGACCTTTTGCATTCCAGAGTAGATAAAAGAGATTTTTGTCAGACGCTCCGCAATTTATTTTTATTGGTCACATATATCAAGGTAAATCGAGCCTAAAATTAACTTTTTTTTTGCCTCATTCAAAAAAAAAATTTATACACAATTTTTTTTTCTTTTTCCTCAAATAATCTTCTTTTTCAATATCAAGAGAAATAATATTTTTCTTTTTACACTTAAAAAAAGAAATTATCCTTCATAAAAATATCTACAATTTTTTATTAAATTATTATTAATATAATTATTGAAATAAAAATTGAATTATCTTTCATATTTCTAAATTTATTGTTTTATTTATATATAAAGTAAATATAATGAATATTAAAATTGGATAAGTTGCAGTGTTTGAAAATTCTTTTCCATAAATATGAATTTTGAAAAAAAATATTTAATAAAATATTAAATAATATTAAGTTGTAATGAATATATTAAATTTCTCATTTTAATAAATTAATAAATGCAATTGAAAAGTGTTTAATAGCAAAAAATTATAAAAGTTGTAATTAAGTAAAAAAACTTGTTATAAATTATATATTTTAATTTTTATATGTAAAATTGAGATAAAAATTTCTATTTTTTATTTTTAATTTAAAACATATTTTTTACTCTTCATTAAAAAATTTTAATTTTTAATTTCACTGAAAATTTTCTGTTCAATTTTGAATTTTCATATTAAACGAAATATTGCCATTGACAAGTTTAATTATATAGTGTAGAAAGTTTAATTAAAATAAATTTAGTAACTCAAGTTTCATTGTTATATTATTATTATTATTATTATTATTATTATTATTATTATTATTATTATTATTTTTATTATTATTATCACTACTTAGTATTAATATTAAAATTTAAATTAAAAATATAAAAAATTATGAATGTTTTCCTTTAAAAACATTATGAATATTTAGTTAAAAAATAATTTTTAACTTTAAATAAAAAATTTTTGTCGAAATTCAATATTTTCCAGCACAATATGTATAAATGATGATAGAAAAAAGAACTCCTAGTAAATAAATTAAATATACAAAATTACCTTTCACTGAAAGAAGAGAATCATTATTTTGAAAATATTAAAAAAAAATATTAAAAATAAAAAAATTTATATAATATCCAAAAATATAATTGTTTTGTTTTTGTTTGTCGTAAAGGCTATTTTTTTGGTCACATAATGCACATTCTAAGCTTTTGCATTCTCAAGATTTCATGCGCCACATTGATTCATGTTATACACGATGCAGTGTTTTTTAAATTTTGTCATAGGCAATAACAATTTAAAAAAAAAAATTATTTTTTTTTAAATTTATATCGACAAAATTTTTTTCTAACCGTTTAATTAATTAGCACATGGGATATGAAAAATATACTGATTTTTGAAACATAAAATAAAAAATGAAGAAAAAGAATGAAAAGAAAAAAATAAAAAGTAATATAGAAGAAAAAAAGTTTTAAATAAAGTAAAAAGAAAATTTAAGTAAAGTGTAAAAGAAAATAGAAAAAAAAATAAAAAGGATGAAATAAAATAAAAAAAGTAAAATTGGATAAAAAAAAGTAAAAGAATAAAGAAAAAAAGAAAGAAAAAATTAGAGACAGAAAATAAAGTAAAAAAAAAAAAAATGATGATGATGAAAGTTAGAAAGGGAACTGAAAGTTGAAATTTCTAGTAATATTAAAACCAGAGGAAGCTCCTTATGAAATAGAGTGTTAAATTATGTTGTGGTTATCCTTGTACATCAATGTACATACTCGCTCGATTCTGTATTGTGGTGAGGAGAGTAATTATTAATGGGGAAAATGGAGCATTCTCAGGCAACATTCAAGTATACATACATACATACATTTATATTATATACATACAACACATAGACGATGAGATGTTGCACTTGTATGCAACTATTTTTCACTAAGTCAGACACAGGCGTAACCAAATTTTCCACACGTCAAAAAAAAAAAAAAAAAAAAAATTTATTAAAATTTTTTTAAAAGTATTTAAATCTACGTATTATATAAATATAATCATGTAAATTATATATTACATATAAATACATTTTTACAATGATTATAATTATTATAATAATATTATCCTGTATAAAGTAAACAAGTAGAAAATCGCATTTTTCGTAAGGCCGAAAGTCGCTTAGTTGCTGAGCGACTGTCGACCTTATGAGAAATACCAATTTACTATCCGCTTTAGTCATTGGACAGAAATTTTATAATTTAATAATATAAAAATTTAATGTAACGTGATTTATTTCAATATTATTTTTAATCGTCATAATTTTTATTATCGTATTCATCGCAATGGTAAAAGAAAAAAAAGTTAAAAATTCATTTTTTAAAAATTTATTCTGGCTACGCCAATGTTGATGACTGAGTTTGTATTGTATGTTTGATAAGAGAAATGGAAAATGAAATGTAGTGAAGACACCTTGCGTGTATATTATATATTAGAATTAACGAGATGTACTCTATATGATAAACGTTATATATTATATAAAAATGATAATGAATACGAGAAAAGTTTTTGTTTGAAAAGTATAATAGTCCACTATTTCGTTTACTTGTAATTTTAAAAAGACACACATATATATATACATAAAAATAATAAATGCAAAAAAAGAATGAAATATACATCACTAATATACCATTCTTTTATGAAAATTAGATTTCCGACGCAAAGCCAGCCATTATATAATTAATTATATGTATATGCATTCGCAGAGATAGAAAAAAAATGTTTAAATCATTTTCCCCTCAGCAAATTTTGTGATTTAAAAAAAATTTTTTTTTTTCATTAAAGATTTGAATATTTCTTTTTTTAAATAATTAACGTAACACATACTTCACTATGCGGACCGCTAAATGTTGGAATTAATATCCTACTGTTATTATACAAGTTTAATGAGTTACTATTAAAACATTATAATGAAACTCGACGAAATTGCAAGATTATTATAGAAAATGGGAATTCCAACTTTTTAACGTCATATTGTAGAGTGTGGTTTGAGAATTTATAAATTGAGGAAGAGAATTTAAAAAAAAGTTGGCTATACAAAAGTAATTATTATTAAAAAATTTATCAAATAGTTATATTCTCAAACAATAGTAAAACTTTTTATTATTATTACAATAAACCCTAACTCCAAACATGATAATTAAAACAACTTTTTTACTATCAGCAATTTTACAATTTTTACGATTTTACATAATTATTAAACAATTATTTTAAAACATTTTTTGTATACCAATTTTTTTCACACAAACCTATGAAAATATTTTAAATACTCATTTTTTTGTTTAATAATTGTAATATTTTTTATGCTTTTAATAATTAATTATATTTACAATAATTATAATTAGACATTTTGGAGAGTCTGCCTCTTTATAAATAAACCACGCCTACATTGATAGGCCACGCCCACTTTTATTAAGTAACGCTCTCTTTTTAAAGACAATGCCTTTTATAACTAAGCCACGCCTACTTTTATTAAGTAACGCCCTCTTCTTTAAGACAATGCCTTTTATAACTAAGCGACGCCTACTTTTATTAAGTAACGCCCACTTTTTGAGGACATTGTCTCATTAAAAATTAGTCACGTCTACTTTTTATTATTTTATACTCCGCCCTCTTTTTTTATAGACACTGCCTTTTGTAACTAAGCCACGCCTACTTTTATTAAGTAACGCCCTTTTTAAGACAATGCCTTTTATATCTAAGCCACGCCTACTTTTATTAAGTAACGCCCTCTTTTTTAAGACACTGCCTTTTTGTAACTAAGCCACGCCTACTTTTATTAAGTAACGTCCTTTTTTAAGACAATGCCTTTTATAACTAAGCCACGCCTACTTTTATTAAGTAACGCCCTCTTTTTTAAAACAATGCCTTTTATAACTAAGCCACGCCTACTTTTATTAAGTAACGCCTACTTTTTGAGGACATTGTCTCTTTAAAAATTAGTCACGTCTACTCTTTATTATTTTATACTCCGCCCTCTTTTTTTATAGACACTGCCTTTTGTAACTAAGCCACGCCTACTTTTATTAAGTAACGCCCTTTTTAAGACAATGCCTTTTATATCTAAGCCACGCCTACTTTTATTAAATAACGCCCTCTTTTTTAAGACACAGCCTTTTTGTAACTAAGCCACGCCTACTTTTTATTAAATAACGCCCTCTTTTTTAAGACACTGCCTTTTTGTAACTAATCCACGCCTACTTTCATAAATATCAACAGTTTCCTCCTACTTTATGAAAGCCACGCCCATTTTTTTTATTAATTTCGCTATTATTCTACAAATACCAAAAATATATTAATTTCCATCCAATAAGATCGAAAATTAACTGTCGATTTAAAATTTTTCCTCAATATTCTAATTTTATTAAAATTAAAATTTTTTTTTTTTTGATAACATGCAACAAAGTGAAATGAAAAAAAAAATATTTTAAAGAACGGAAGATGGAATATTTTATCGATCACAAAATCTGCTGAGTCTATTATTGAAAATAATTTATCCCGTCAAAAAATTTTACATATCACGTGAAAATATTCAGCTGCATGTGAGGAAGTTTTTTTTTTTTTTTTAAATTTTTTTTTGCGTGCCATTGGAATCTTACCCTGAAGAAACGATCGCCTGTCAGGCTGTCGGGGCTAAAAGTCTCCCAAGTCCCATTCTCGAGTAACGTATCGATCGACAGGTCATACTCCCGCGAGCGGTTCTTCGATTTCTGTCGAGAAACCAGAGAGAAAGAGAGATAGGACGACTTTTATCACATTCTTCTTTTCACTTTTTCTTTTTTTTTTTTTTTCTTTTCCCTGCAGATGGTTTTTGTGTGTCTCGCGCGTAGTTTGTCTTACAATGAGATAACACTATCGAAACGATCTCGTGAAAAAGCAGTGATAAAATATTGGATAAAAGGAGAGGAGAAAAAAATTGTATATATATAAAATATTCTGAAACACGAAAAATGTTTAAACCTTTTTTGAATTTTTCTGAAAAAAAGGTATATTTAATGAATTTTTAAATTTTAATCTAAATTTTTATTTACTTTATTGTAAATTTAAATGCAATAAATAATAATTTAGTAATTTGAAAAACATTAACTTTTTAATTAAAAATATTAAAATTTTGTTATTAAAAAATATTTTTGTTATTGAACAAATTTTTATTATTCAAATTCAATAACGTAATATAAAATATTAAAAAGATTCGCCGATATTTTACCACTAGGGATAAGCTTTTTTTCCTATTTTTTTAAAGAAAAAGCAAATGAAAGGGGGGTAGTTATCAAAACTGGAAGGGGAATTTAATCTACATAAGCGTAATCTAGTTGAGGCACTTTGTATTTAAATTCAAAACACGCGCGATTTTTCCTCGTTCAAGTAAAAGTTACATTAAAAAAATTTTTTTTATTTTATTTTTAATTGTCACTTTGTGTAAGTTAACAGGAAAAAAATGGTAAAATTTTAAATTCATAACCGACTTTATAGTCTTTAATTAATAAAATATTACCAAAATTTTCCAGTAGAATAAAAATTTAAAAGAAAATGATTTTCAAGCAAATAACAATTTTTACAATAAAAACAAGTATTTAAAGAAAAAGGTTTGAACGATTTTACAAAATTTACAATTTTAAAAAAAATAAAAAAACTATGTTTTTTGTGCATTAGAAATTGATATTTACAGAAAAGTGATAAATGAAATTTGTTTTTATTTTATACAAAGTGGGAAATATGTGAAAGGGTGTATTTTCAAGTAACGAAAGTGCAAAAATTGATTACGTGTAACAATCCCAAAGTGCTTCAAAGTGCTTGAAACATTGGAACAATATTAATCTACCCAACAAGGTGAACAACATTTTTTTTTTGGTCTTAAATTTCAGTCTCAAATTATAATACTCAATAGGGGAGGATTTTCAATACATTCCTTTTTTTGACTGTCAAAAAAAAGCGCTTTCACTTTCAACTAAAAACAAGGTTAATATTACAGGGAAATTTTTTATAAAACTACATTTTTACAATATTTTGTTACCATATTTACCCTATTTTCAATTATGTTAAAAATAATCTTTTTTCCTAACATTTCTTCTCTCACACATTCCACATTCAAAAAAAAAATTGTGCATTTGAAATTATAAAAATTACTTTCATACTTGCTTGAAATTTGAATTAGTGATGTTAATTAGTAAACGAATTAATTGAAATAATTGAATTTAATATTATAAATTTGTTAATAATTAATTAGTTATTAATTAATTAGTTAATTAATTATATAAGTTACAAGTTAAATTAGTTAATTTGTAAGTGACTTTCTCATTTTAAACTCCGCCCAATATTTATTTGACCACGCCCACTTATTTCTATATACAATAAGCCCCGCCCACTTTTTTCGAGACTCCTAAAAATTTCCGCCCCATTTTCAAACCACGCCTATTATTAAAATTTCGGTTCAATATTTGTTGTCCTCGAAGTGGTCAACTGATAATTATTAAGACAACTCCGCCTACTTTTCTATTTGTGACGCCTATTTTATAGAAGCTCCGCCCTTAGTAACGAAGCCACGCCCATTTATGTTCAAAGTAAGAAACATTTTTTATTTCAAAAACTAAAAGTTTCTACACCTGATGAATTTATTTTTTTCTAATCAATTTTTTAATATTCATAGTAATTTTTAATTATAATGATAAATTATAACTAATTATAATTATAAATTATAACTAATTATAATTATAAATTATCATAATTATTTTTTATATTAAAAAAATTATCACTAATTCAAATTTCGAATAAGTAGTTTTAATATTAGTAACGGGACATAAAATAAAATTAGAAAATAATTATTTGCATAAAATTTAAAAAAAGCTTTTCAAAAATTTAAGAAATAATTATTTTATATACATCGGTCCTGTCGTTACTATTATTATAAATATTTTATAAAGATAAAAATTTCTTACACTTGTAAAACTAAATTAAATAAAAGAAATTCAATATGTATAGGAATCTCACCTGGAATAGCGGTTTGTCAATGTCTTGCGATGCTGGAATTTGAACGATGTAAAATTTCTGCTCGAACTCAGGACCGTGGTCATTTACGTCCTCAACTTTGACGACAACACGAGTCGTTGATGAGAGCGGTGGTTTACCATTGTCTTTCACTGAAACCTAAAAATACAATGCATTTTGGGTGAAAATTGAAAATATTCTCGGAAACAGTAAAATTAAATTCACAAAATTTTAACTATAGTTACTTTAATATGATGTTATTTATTTTCGTAAAATTGGAAAAAGTATAAAAAGTATTTTTATTTAATAGTAAGTTTATTAATTTAATTACTTGTTAGCATGTATTTTAACCATTTTTTTAAAAATTATACGTTATTTTATTTATTTATCCGCCCATTGATACTCAATTCACGCTTTTTCATTTCAAACTCCGCCTATTTTTTGTTTAACGCTCTTTCTTGTACGCCCTTCATTATTAAATTCCGCCTACTTTAAAACGAAACTAGGCAACGCCTACTTTTTAAAAATAAGCTATTTTTTTATTCTCCGCCCACTTTAGTAGAAACTAAACCACGCCTACTTAACTGAAACTCCGCCCTTTTTTCAAGCCACGTCTTGCTGTACTACTCTTTCTCATACCAAAACGAAAATTAAACCACGCCTACCTTTTTTTTAAAAGTCCGCCCACTTTTTGTTTAAACACTTCCTTCCGTATATTTTACTTATTTTAGGTCCATTACTTTTAAATACGGTTGAATTTTTATAACCACGCCTACAATTATATTACGCCAACTTTCGTTTAGACCACGCCCCGTACTGTTAAGCACCGCCCACTTTTTAAGACCACGCCTCTTTCTACTAAATACCTCCTACTTTTCAAGATCATGGCTACTTTATAACCACGCCTACATCTCTTTAGTCCACGCCTCTTATGTGGAAATAAAAAAAATGGGCGGAGCATAAAAAATGAGGCCGTGGCATTAGAAAGTAGGTGGTACTTAATAGTAAAAGGCGTGGATTGAACGGATTTAGGAATGATAATGAAGTAGGCGGGTAAACGAAGACCATTTATTCCACGCGTAGCATAAGAAAGTAGGCGGTGCTTAAGTACCGACTACTTTTTTATGCCACGCCCACAATTTTAATGCTCCGTCTATTTATTGTTAATTCCACGCCTCTTTTCTGTAGTACGTGACAATTTCGAACCATATAATGTAGTATTTGGATAAAAATTGTGGGCGTGGGATAAAAAGTAGGCGGTACTTAAGTACCGCCTACTTTTTTATGTCACGCCCACAATTTATATGCTCCGCCTATTTTTTGTTAATTCCCCGCCTCTTTTCTTTAGTATATGACAATTTTGAATTTTATAATGTAGTAATTGGATAAAAATGGTTGGTGTGGCATAAGAAAGTAGGCGGTTCTTTTAAGTACCGCCCACTTTTTTATACCACGCCTATTTTTGTTAATTCCACGCCTCTTTTCTTTAGTACATGACAATTTTGAATCTTATAATGTAGTATTTGGACAAAAATTGTAGGCGTGGCATAAAAAAGTAGGCGGTACTTAAGTACCGCGTAAATTCTTATGCCACGCCCACATTTTTAATGCTACGCCTATTTTTGTTAATTCCACGCCTCTTTTCTTTAGTGTATAGCAATTTTGAATCGTGTAATGTAGTATTTTGATAAAAATTTGTGGGCGTGGCATAAGAAAGTAGGCGTAACTCAAGCACCGCCTACTTTCTTATGCCACGCCCACATTTTTAATGCTCCGCCTATTTTTGTTAATTCCACGCCTCTTTTCTTTAGTGTATGGCAATTTTGAATCGTGTAATGTAATATTTTGATAAAAATTTGTGGGCGTGGCATAAGAAAGTAGGCGTTACTCAAGCACCGCCTACTTTCTTATGCCACGCCCACATTTTTAATGCTCCGCCTATGTTGGCTAAAAAAAAGTAGTAAATTTGAAAATTTGTAGACGTGGTAAAAAATAAAGTAGACTCTTTTTGAAATTAAACGAATGACAAGATGATTATTTACAAATAGAAAAGTTTTGTTAATATTTTTTACTGAAAATTGTAAGGAAAAAAATTTTTTCTTTTAATAAGAAAATTGTGGTAATATAAAGAAAACAAAAAATTGGAAATATTTATGTCTGAAGAAGATAAAATCGACGAATTTTTTTCATATTAAAAAAAAAAAAATTTTTCACTTGCCGCCTTGCGATTTCTCTTAATCGCATATAATGTTTTCGTGCTAAGATTATCAGAGCTTAAATCTGGCGGCGTTCGCATACGAACACTCACGTTTTGTGTAATACTTGAGCTTGATAAACTTTTTATCAGAAAGTTTTAATCATCAGTGCGCAAAATTTTGCTCTCTATCAGTTTGTTGGACGAATATATTCACGTACGAAAGTCTATAGAGAAAATCGTACGGAATTCTCGCCACCCCCCCCCTCAATCTTCTTTGTTCTTTTTTTATCCTCAAGTATAATAAATCTACTTTTTTTTCAACAGCGTCTGAGAAAATTAAATTTTTAACCCTAAAAAAAAAATTAAAAAGAAGGAGAAAAAAATTCATAAATCCGAAAGAAATTGAGTATAATATAGAAAACTATTGGAAGTGTGATAAATTTTACACAATTTCCGCGTGGACAATTTTTGTTACGTTACGAAAAGGTAATTTCCGTTGAGTTCGCCATTCGATGAAGAGCCGTTAATTCTACGTCTCTTGAGGACACTTCACGAACTTTGGCGTGTCCCCATTTTTCGGGTAACATCTGCACTAAATTAGGGTTGGCAAACTCGGGTTTTCCTAAAGGATGGAACGTCTAACAGTTCCGCAATATTCACACACACACACACATTCACCTCTTTTGGCGTATATATATATATATACTTTGTAACTAAGTTTTTTTTCCCGAAAAAAAGTATATTGCCTCAATGTCCCTTGTGACAAGGAATTTAAGATTCAAATAACTTGAGTTGGTTTTGAAAAAAAAAATTTCCAACACAAAGTAAAAATCTATTTCGATCTAATATAATAAAATGTAAAATAGTAGAGAGAGAGAGAGAGAGAGAGAGAGAGAGAGAGAGAGAGAGAGAGAGAGAGAGAGAGAGAGCGCGCGCGACATGAATATGCACTCGGGTAAAATTCGAGAATATTTTCAATTAGAAAATCTTTCTATAGATTAAATTTAAAAATATATTGACAGTGAAATAATATTGAAAAAAAATAAAATAAAAAAAATAATAAAAAATAATAATATAATAATAATAATAATAATAATAATAATAATAATAATAATAATAATAGTAAAATATAAAAATAAAAATAAATATAAAAATATAAAATTTAAATAAAAAAAAAAAAAAATAAATAAAAAAAAAATATAATAAAAATAAAATAATAAAAATATAAAAAATAAAATAAAAAATAAATAAATAAATAAATATAAAAATATAAATAAATAAAAAAAATATATATATATATTAAATATATTTTTAAATATAATAAATATAATTAATTATAATTATTATTTATTTGTTATAATAATAAAATTTAAAAATTATTAGATACTCAAAAAAATGTTCTACTAAATTTATTTACAAATTTCTTTAACAGTAAAGTTATTCGAAAGCATCAATAGTTTTATTTAAAATAAATATTTAATCATTTCTTTTTCATTGGAATTAAGATGTTCAAAAATTTCAAATTCAAACCTTTTCAAGTTAAACAACTCATAAGAATATTATTATAAAACATAAAGAAATGGATTACAAAAATAAATAATATTGAATGTTTCTTAAAATTTAATTTTTACGAAGAATTGTATTAACAACTTTTGAAAATATTTAATTTCTTTTAAGGAATTTAATTAAAATTTTAATGAAATTTATTATATTAAAGAATATTATAACAATTTTTGAAAATAATTGAAAACATTATTTTGAAGAATTTTATTAAATTTTTGAAAAATAATTTAATTCCAGAGAAGAATTTGAATAATAATTTTTGAAAATAATTGAATTCATGAGAAGAATTTTATTAATTATTTTTAAAAATAATTGACTTCTTGAGCAGAATTTTTAAAAAAATTTTGACAATAATTTAATTCTTGAGAAGAATTTCCCTGTCTATTTATAAAGATAATTTAATTCTTGACGAGAATTTAAAAAAAATTTTGAAAATAATTTAATTTTTGCAAAGTATTTTAATTACTAGAATTGAATTCTTGTGATGAATTTTGATATTTATCAAAATGATTGAATTTTGAAAAAGAAATTTATTAAAATTCCTTAGAATAATTTATTTTATGGGAAGAATTATGAAAATAATTGAATTTTCACATAGAATTTTATTAAAATTTTTAAAAATAATTGAATTTCTAAGAGGAATTATAATAAAATTTTTAAAACTAATTGAATTTCTGAGATTTTTATAATTTGTAAAAATAATTGAATTCTTAAGAATATTTTGATAAAAAATATTTAAAAAATTGAATTCCTTTAAAACTTTTATTATTTATGAAAATAATTGAATTTTTGAAACAAATTTTATTGAAACTTTTCAATAGAATTGAATTTCTGTAAAAAATTTAATTATTTATTAAAGTAATTGAATTTTTGCATTAAATTTTATCAAAATTTTTAAAAATAATTGAATTTCTGAGAAGAATTTTATTAAATTTTTTTTAAAATAATTGAATTTCTGAGAAGATTTTTAAAAAAATTTTGAAAACAATTTAATTTCTGCGAATTATTTAATTACTTTTCAAAAGAATTGAATTTTTGATTGAATTTTTGATATTTATCAAAATAATTGAATTTTGGAAAATAATTTTATCAAAATTCCTTCGAATAATTGATTTTATGAGAATTTATGCGATTTTGTTGTTTATCAAGCTAATTGAATTCTTCTGCAAAATTACTTGAAAATTTTTGAAAATAATTGATTTTCTGCGACGAATTAAATGTTATTTATGAAAATATTTCAATTATTGCAACGAATTTTATTGTTTTATTTGAATAATTGAATGTTTCTTAAAATTCAATTCTTTCCTCAAAGTTTTAATAAAATTTTTAAGAATAATTGCCATTTTCAAGGAATTTATTTAAAATTGTATTATATTATTTATGAAAATAATTGAATTTT